TACCGTTAGGTCATGCTACGATAGATAGGGGAATCAAGGACCTGATGGGAATGTACAGGTTCATAGTTTGATAGGTCATATCCATGTTGGAGGGCGGGTAGGCGTACTGCTGTAAGTCCTACTCGTTCTTCCGGTGTGGATTAGGGGATGAGAATGAACCGTAAATTGAAGTGTTAGAAAGGGCTTGTTTTGCTTAGAGGGATATTGTGGGCCGGTGTAGAATTTATATTGAATGTTTGTTGTTGATTGCTTGTGATGCACATACTTGGATTGTTGTTATATATTTTAGTCGGTGAAAAGAACCAAGGTTCTTTTGGTCGGGAGTGTTACGGGAGAAACGAAGACATTTTGCTGATTAAAACCTTCATGTATAAATATCATTAATTTCACTGTTTTTGGGTACATTTGTTTTACTTAACTTGTGAACTTGTTTGAATTATTATTTGCGGACATTTTGGACTCCCGTTTCTCTTTGTTGTTCGTTTGCAGTTTTTTGCTCCAAGAGCTAATAAATTAGAAGGTAATTGTAATTATTATAATTATTGTTGTTAGAACGACATTGGTCGTCTATTTGTAATAAAGTATTTTGGTCGAATTTGTGATTTGGAATAAACTTTGGTATCTACTTTGGAGTTTCGTTCTTGGTTTAGAAATTTGGGACCGTGAATTACAAATAGTCAACAACCGTGCTTCGTAAGATCAACGAGCAAAAAACTGGACGTAACAAATACAAAGGAATTTTACTCGAAAAGTCCTAAATCATAGCTGACTCATTGGCTATCCAACTCGATGTAATGAACTTGGGCTTGATCCATTAAGGAAAAGAAGGCTTAAGTTCAATCTAACACTTTACTCACATACTCATCTTGTAGTTTGGTCCTTATCCAACTTTCGAGATAAAGTATCTACGGTCAAACTTGAGAAGAATAAATCCAAAACTCGAGAAAACTTCTTCCTCAGTAAGTATGCACTTATATGGAATAGGCCTCCTTCAAAAATACCCATGGCAAGCGGGTTTCATGAGTTTGTACAACTTCTAAATGAACCTCTCAGCTGCACTGACTCTTATGCACATTCCTCCATAACTATTAACCATATCGCATTGATGTCTAAACAATAGTTCATGAGTATTAACAGCCAGACAAGTTTGCGAAAGGAAATTTCAGAATTAGGGTTTCTCAACAGTATGTGAGACACAGAGCACCAAGTAAAACATAAAATAATTTCTTTTAATCATTTAACGTCAGCCTAACAACATAAGAACTCCGCCAGTAGAACCTTCAGGGCTACTGCCGGTCCCAAGCCCGGGTAAATGAGGAGGGTTGGACATGGGGTTGGCGACCCCATTCCGTCAAAAACTAACTTGCCAAAATAACGCTAACCAGGAAAAATAATCTAAACCATTTTAACTCTGCCCTGGAAGTTGGAAGAAGAATTATGACGTCTCGTGATGAAAGCCGAGTCCCCTCGGAAGTCACGGAGCCGATGCCTCTTCTGACAACCAGAGCAACTATTCTTTAAAGGTACATGGGAGACTGGAAGACTATTTCAAATTGCGGCAGAAATGAAAAGATACAACCTCGAGGTGCTTGGAATCATCGAAACGCATTGGACACAGGTAGGACAACTGAGACTAGCTTCAGGGGAACTGCTGTTATACTCTGGTCATGAAGAGGAAAATGCTTCATATATACAGGGAGTTGTCCTGATGCTGTCCAAACATGCACAAAAAGCACTGATAGGATGAGAATCTCATGGACCCAGGATCATTAAAGCATCCTTCAAAACAAAGAAAGAGGACATTACAATGAACGTCATCCAATGTTATGCACCTACCAATGACTACAATGACGACGTCAAAGATCAATTCTACGAAAGGCTGCAGGCAATCGTCGAAAAATGTTCACCAAAGGATTTGACCATTCATATGGGAGACCTGAATGCCAAGGTTGGCATGGACAACACTGGATATGAAGACATCATGGGACGACATGGACTGGGAGGAAGGAACGAAAACGGTGAGAGATTTGCAAACCTATGTGCCTTCAACAAACTGGTCATCGGTGGCACAATATTCCCGCACAAACGCATACACAAAGCCACATGGATTTCACCGGATCACACTACTCAAAACCAGATTGACCATATCTGTATCGACAAAGCGTTCAGAAGGACCATGGAGGATGTGAGAACCAGGAGAGGAGCTGATATAGCCTCAGATCACCATTCGCTGATCGCCAAAATGAGACTGAAACTAAAGAAGCACTGGACAACGGGACAGACAACATCACAGAAGTTTAATACGGCCTTTCTTCGGGATACTGTAAAGCTCAACGAATTCAGGATAGCCCTTACCAATAGGTTCCAGGCCTTTCAGGATCTACACAATGGAGAGGACGCAACATTGGAGAACAATTGGAAAGGGATTAAGGAGGCAATTAATTCAACATGTCACGAAGTTCTGGGTCACAAGAAGTACCATCATAAGGAATGGATCTCTGTTGATACTCTTGCAAAAATTGAAGAAAGGAGGAACAAGAAGGCAGCAATCAATGTCAGCCGAACGATAGCAGAGAAAGTTACCGCACAAGCTGCATACACAGAAGCAAACAGGGAATTAAAGAACAGCATCAGAGCTGACAAACGAAAATATGTGGAAGATCTAGCAATGACGGTGGAAAAGGCTGCAAGAGAAGGAAACTTGAGACAATTGGACGAAACAACAAAGAAGCTGACTGGAAACTATCGTAAACCAGAACGACCAGTCAAAAGCAAGGAAGGCAAAGTAATCAGCAACACTGAAGAACAGCAAAATAGGTGGGTAGAGCACTTTAAGGAACTCCTGAATCGACCAGCTACAGTGAACCCACCCAACATCGAAGCAGCATCCACGGACCTCCCAATTAAAATTTGCGCACCTACGATTGAGAAGATCAGTATTGCCATCAGACAAATCAAGAGCGGCATAGCAACAGGACAAGACAACATTTCAGCAGAGGCGTTGGAAGCAGATGTGGAAGCAACTGCAAAAATATTTCACATCCTCTTCAAGAAGATTTAGGATGAGGAACAAGTACCATCAGATTGGAAAGAAGGATACCTCATCAAAATACCAAAGAAAGGCGATCTCAGCAAGTGTGAGAATTACAGAGGCATCACTCTTCTCTCAATTCCATGCAAAGTTTTGTGTATTGTTAAACAGAATGAAGGACTTCATAGACGCCCAACTTCGAGATCAACAGGCTGGATTTCGTAAGGATCGATCGTGTACTGACCAAATTGCTACATTACGCATCATCGTGGAGCAATCAATTGAATGAAACTCACCACTCTACATCAACTTCATTGACTACGAGAAAGCATTCAATAGCGTGGATAGGAAAACACTGTGCAGACTTCTTCGACACTACGGTGTGCCTGAGAAGATAGTTAACAGCATACGGAACTCTTATGATGGATTCAACTGCAAAATCGTACACGGAGGACAGCTAACAGACTGTTTCGAGGTGAAGACCGGTGTCAGGCAAGGCTGCTTACTCTCACCCTTGCTCTTTCTTCTGGTGATCGACTGGATTATGAGGACTTCAACATCTGGAGGGAAGCACGGTATCAACTGGACAGCTAGGACGAAGGCTGGACGATTTGGACTTCGCGGATGACCTGGCTCGTCCATTTCACGCGCAACGACAAACGCAAGAGAAGAGGACCAGTGTAGCGGCAGCTTCAGAAGAAGCAGGTCTCAACATACATAAACGGAAAGGCGATACAACACAACATGCGCCAACCAAATCACTCTTGATGGAGATGCCTTGGAGGACGTTAGCACCTTTACATATCTGGACGGCATCATCGACGAGAAAGGTGGATCCGATGCAGAAGAGAGTGTGCGTATCGGCGAAGCAACGGCTGCATTTCTATGATTGAAAAATATCTGGAACTCCAAACAACTTTCAACCAAAACCAAAATCAGCATTTTCAATACAAATTTCAAGACAGTTCTACTGTATGGATCGGAAACTTGGAGAACTATCGAAGCAATCATCCAAAAGATACAAGTGTTTATTAACAGTTGTCTATGCAAAATACTTCGGATTCGTTAGCCAGACACTATCAGCAACAACGTACTATGGGAGAAAACGAACCAGATTCCAGTGTAGGAGGAAATCAGGAAGAAGCGATGGAAGTGGATAGGACACACACTACGAAAACCACCCAACCGCATCACAAGACAAGCCCTCTTATGGAGCTCTCAAGGTGAAAAGTAAAGAGGAAGGCCAAAGAACACACTAGGCCGAGAAGTAGAGAAAGATATGAGAGGAATGAACAAACATTGAACAGAACTTCAGAGGGAAGCCCAGGACAGAGTAGGTTGGAGAAAACTGGTTGGCCGCCTATGCTCCTTTGGAGATAACAGGCGTAAGTAATTAAGTAAGCACATACGGACTATCATCTCCCTCTTGGACAAGCTGTTCATGATGCATATCTTGAGACCTGCTAGTTGTCATCTCCTCAGATCACTCAATTAATCTATTTCGCCTATTATCTCTGTTCCCTCCCCCGTGCTGACACTACAGTCCTCTCTCACAATCTTCACTACCAATTAATAAACTAAATTCATCTATATATTACTCAGTTCTGAAATTTTATTCATATTTGCATTAGAATTTTAACCTTATTATCCTTATTACTCTCCACATTGCAACTAACTGATCTCCGATCTGGTAAAGTGATGGCTGCTGGTATCCAGAAACCCTACTGCCCTGAAACAAACGTTTTCATTCGAATCCCGAGACATACAAACTCACAACCAACTGGCAACTGACTAGAATTAGACAGTCGAGTGGCTAGACCTCCATCCATTGGACATTACCGAACACCTGGAACTGTACTGAATGAACAAAAATCAAGCGCGAAGAAATCAAAACGGTTTCCATTAGCTCGTGAAAAGGATATTGGACATTGGATATTTGGATGGCCTTAACCTTGGCAAATGTTTAAACATGAAGGTTCGTCTTCTCACACGCAATCCTTCCGATTTCCGCAGGGAGACTGCTGACGATATATTCAAAAGTGCGTCACTCTAGTATTAGCGAATTAAACCATAGTTCCTAGAAACCAATGCGTTGCAGAGCATCCATTTTCGTGTGAAAGAGAATATGTCAGGGCAATTAACGCTGCCAAGCTTGGAAAGATGATGGGCAAGCCCTTTTTGGGAGCACTTGAGGGATCAACTGAAAGGGTCACAGTTATTTCTTTAAATACAGAAACCTTGGACATAGCAACTTTTGGAACAGCCGATGGCAAAGTTTGTAGTGCGTTACTTTGTTAGTTCATATGGTTAGGTGCAGTGCTGGAACGTTGCAAAGAGATGTAAATTGGTTGAGGTTCACGCACATGAAAATGAAGTTCGCGGCATTTGTTATTGCAATAAGTCTCGGCTGATTTACACTGTAAGTGGTTCAATTTGACCCAATGTATCCTTTTTAGTCTACTATCATTAAGTTGCTCATCGTGTAAATTATTTTGTACACAACACCTAGACTGAATGATTTAAGCTCTATGATATGTCCATACAAGTTATACTACGTAATTTATCGGATATCTAACTTGTGACCCCTTAACAAAAGGACACAATAATACTGGGTAAACCAGATGTGTCATAAAAATCTCAGTATTTTGACACAATATTCAAAGATTCAGGTTTTGCATTATTGACTAGCAAATGAAATTATTACAAAGCATGTCAAAGTATGTTGTTAAAAGTCTGGTATTGTTGGCCTTCAATCAAACCACAAAACGTCTCCCACCAAAAACCATTAACTTTATTTAAGAATATAATCTTTAAAATATTTATTTACACAAAACTTCACACGCTAAAGTGCCGAAACAAAATGTTGCTATTCGTTAACAGCATTGAGTGGCAAAAGTTAATTTATTCCCATCTATCTTAACCAAATTATTTCCAACCAGTTTGCATTGCATTGTGTAAACTACTGTGATCTAATTTTGTTATTCCACCCATTTCTTGTCTTGAAATATAAGACCTTGGATTCCTACTACTGTCGTCTTGTCACTGTGGGCCTTATTAATCAGTGAGGTTTAGAAAGCTGCTTTGCTTGGTCCCTATTACTGAGCTAGAATATTCCTTTCTTACCACGAGATATTTGGTGTGTGCTTTTTCCCTTAGTAGCCCAGGGAAATGCTGTTGAAATTCGGATCAGTAACAATCAAAGGTTTTAGTTTTCCGTTGTCCTATTTCTATTTCAGCTCTGTAATTATTACAGTTCTCTCCTCACCCTAATCCAACCAGTCGCTTGACAGAGTAGGCAGTATCTAGTTGTATCTAATACATGTAAGTCAATGACAATCCGCAATCCTATCTACCAGTTCGCTATTTATGCCTGATACTCTACGCCTAACTGCGAAATTGCTAACTCTACCAGATGTAAACATTATGTGCTTCAAAAGCATCCATGATACTAGCAACCTACACGTACCCTCTACTTTGAAGCTTACATAGCTGTGAAGCAAGCCAGAGCAAACCGTTGCTCAACATACTCATTGTTAGACTGATTGGTCTTCTTAAACTAGAGGTAATATCCTGCTTCTTTATTTCAGATAAGTAATAACCTCAAACATCGCTGTCATTTTCTCAATGCCAAAATGCTGTTTATACTGTTTCCGAGTAGAAATTACAATTTGAATTGATGCAGTTGTAATGAGTTGATTAACCCATTAGATTCCATTACTTCAGCGTTACGGAGTCATCCTATTGCACTGTTGGCAATTTCACTCAGTGAACTACCTAAATGTTTTGTATTTTGGTTCAGATATATATAAACTGAATAATAAAAATATTATGGTTCTCTTCGGTTGGTATATTTGCGTACTCCTATCAAACAGTAATTATGCACTATCTCAAACTGTTCCCTCTAGTAATGATCAACATTAATAAAAGGGAGCATAAAATAATTTAATAATATTATAAAATAATACCACTAATGTATTAGCTAAATATAATGAGTAAAGATTTAGCATCAAGTTTGTCAATTTATTAATATAATGCAGATTACTTCTGCGTTCCACTTCTTATAGCACTTTATTATATCGAAATTCAAATAATTTCCTCCCGGTGTCCATCTATTTCCATAATCTTCAATCAGTTTACTACATGCTGCTAACTTGTTGTCCATCTTTTAATTTTATTACCAGACCCCTGTTCGAAATTTAATATTCGATTCATTTAGGTTCCGTTCCCTATTTGAAGAAAGAATATATTTCGTCATGTTTAGTTGACCATCAACAACAAGTTAAAGCCTCTGTGTTATACCTCTGCCTCATTGTTTTTAGTAAAATCTTCCACAAAGTAACTGTCGATTTTGAAAATTTGGTCAATAGGATTGCTAATTCTTTTAGCTCTGGCAAATCTTGTGTCTTCAAACTAATTAGTTTATCATCCAGTTGAATTGTAAAATGAAATGCTAGTTGTTACTCGTTCGCTCTTTTTCAATGTTCGTTTGTTAATCCTATTATTTGGATCTATTCTATTTACATCGGATTTCAATTCACAAATATATCTCAGCAATATGTAATATCAAAATCAACACTTAAGAAACTACGTTATTTGCTTTACTAATTTCATTCTGCAGAAGAAACTGTTAATATGTTGGCTACTATCTACCTAGTTACTAAACGTATATTCGACCTAGGCAACTTAAATTAATAAACGTAGATAAATACAAGTTACTAGCCGTGTCACTTTAAACGGATTCTCCAATGATAAATTTTTCGAATTCCTCGTAACAAACTGACTTTATAGAATAACTAGATTTTTATTTTGATTATTAAACAACTTGCTGTTTAAAGTGAAAGTGTCATTCAGTATATTATAATACATCAAGTTCACAACTACATTAATAACTCTAAATCTCACAAAGTAGTGTTTGAAATTATGTTTTCTTTCATAGTAAGATATGTAATCACCATAATTTACTTGAATGAACATATCTTCTTGACCCTGGCAATTAATAGTTCATACAATTGATATCATGAAGACGGTAGTAATCGTAGGCATATACATTCTACCTGTTGAGCAAACTGTGAAAATCCATACTAATTGAGTCGGTAATGATCACTGATCAATTGGATACTAAAAAACTGGAGTATCCAGATACCTTTTGAATTATTTTGACGACTGACTTTATATCTTGTCTCTTAAAATAGCATGTAAAACCGACACTTGAAATGCTAGTTGATGAAGTTTCTAAGTGAAATAGATTCAGGGACATATCACTATGCAATTACTTTTCAATAATAAATATATCGGACAGATGTGTATTATTCCTTACACACTTGCAAGTCACTGAACAGAATCTATTAAGATCGCCTGAGTAGCTTCTTCACTCTTCGTTCCACTTTTCAAATGGTGTTCATACGTGCTACATAGGGTTAGTATTGGGAAGCGTGTAGACCGTGTAAAAATAAGAAAAGAATAGCACATCAAAGTGCAGGAGATTGATCATTAACATGCATGTTAAATAATTCACATTCAGTTTACTCATAAGTGAATACTTATTTTAATGTTGAGGTGTTTGTTCATCAAGTATTGTAGACTTTTTGTGCAAGAATACAACATGCAGCAAATAATTCAAACATGAAACAAGGTTGATTTGATCACATGGTCTTACTCATTGTGTGTAAATAGTAGTAGTAATTATCTAAACATATATCACTCCAACTGAGTCGAATTGATTCAACGTATATGTGGAATTGTAATCTATGTGAAGTCGGATTACTTCAATCATAAACAAGGTTTTTTCGTATCATCAAGTTTGTAATGAAAACATAGATCACTAAACTCAATGTCTTTTATCTTCCAAAACAATCAATTATTAATTTATTCTCACTCATTTTTGTTTTAGTGTAGTTTAGATGGTCAACTGAAACAGTGGCGAATGAACTACGATGATATTGCATCATGTTGGAAACAACCAATAAGTAATGTTTTAACGAAATGGGCTCCTCATTGTATGGATCACCATCCTTCATCAAATGAGTTCCTTATTGGTGGTCCAGAGTCTTGTCTGCTGTACTCTTCTGTCAAGCTTGATGTGCCATTGCGTGAATGGAGTTGGGGCCAAGAGCCGATTCATGTTGCTAAGTTCAATCCAGTCGAACACAATATTGCATGTGCTCTAACCAAAGATAATTCATTAATGTTAATCGACTGCAGACAGGATCAACCTATCCGCAAGGTTATATATATATATATATATATATATATATATATATATTTTATTCTAATCAATGATCTTGTAGATCGGGCTATCTCCCTTTTAAAACAATTTAGTAGATGACTCGAACACTTAACTAGACCTATTAGGAAGTTGTTTTGTTATTCTCTGATACTTCTTTAACTTTAATCTAAATCTAGAATGCTACAGCAAACTAAAGTATCTTCAAACAGATGTTACTGATTTTTGTCATTTTTCTCCTTTGAAACATTATCGAATTCGTTTAATAAACTGTCAGAAAATTATTTTACCCAGTTTATCTTTCATAAAATGAATAGTTTACGCTTAGAAGATTGACAAATACAGTTGAATATCTGTAAGTCATACCTATTGCACTAGTTATTTTGTATAAGACTTTTCAGAGAGATAGTAACCATAAATGAAACAGAAGTATGAGTTATGTAGCCTGAATGGAACAAGGCGTTTTAAACTTATCGTTTGTTTTTTGTTTTATGCTCATTTGGAAACACTTCAGTTTCTTATTCACTACCGTTTTATCAATTGAACACCATTTCAGTATGAATTCAAACAACCATAACCTACTTAGATAGCGATTGTGAATTACCAGTTCAGTGTTAACTTTCGCTGTGCTACAAATTCTGACTTTACAGTTTTTATTTCGCCCATTTAATTGATGTTCGATTAATCTGAACAAAAAAGTTCTTTTTTCGCCAATATTCATTAAATATATTGAAGCGTAATTCTTTTTTTAAGTATTTGATCCTTTTTGAAGCAATACATCAGTCAGTATTATCATGGGTTACATAAGTAATAATCTGTTCTAGCCCCAAATTTACCAACATTTAGCACGAAGAAATTTATAATGTCTTAGGGTTCTAAAGATAGTGATTTTAAAGTAATTTTTCAGTATTTTGATCCCAAGTTAGTGAGTGCATATTTTCCATTTAAACTGACAATATTGTATAGAGTTTAAATAAGTATTGGTTCCAATGGAACTGTAATATTTTAATTTCTCTGTATTATCCGCATTTCAGGTAAAAATGAACCTAAAACTGAACTCATTTTCATGGAATCCAATGGAACCGTTTATATTCACTGCTGGATCAGAAGACTATAATGTTTATACATTCGACAGCCGTTTCTTCAAGTTCCCTCGCAGAGTTCACCGTGGTCACGTAAATGCTGTACTTGATGTAGACTATTCGCCAACTGGAAGAGAATTTGTAACTGGAAGCTACGACTCAACAGTACGCATACTTGTTTTATGACTTCATTTCTTTACAGATTCGACTTTGGAAGTGTGATTCTACAGATTCGTTTGATGTTTATCATACCAGACGCATGAAGCGTGTTCTTGTTGTCAAGATGACATTAGATGCAAAGTTTGTTCTGTCATCATCATCAGACCAAAATGTTCGACTGTGGAAAGCTCATGCTAACGAAATCATAGGACCGGTATTTTCCTTTAACCAATTTATTTACTTTTATTCTGTTTAGGTTCAACCAAGACAAAAAGCATCTTTGCAGACGTGTGAATCTTTACGAGAGAAATTCAAAGACCATCCAGAAATCCGGAAAATTTTAAGGCATCGTCATCTGCCTAAAACGATTCACGCCTCCAGTAAAGAACATGCAGTAATCAGAGCCAAACAAAGACGCAAGGAAAGGAATACTCGTGTATTTAATAAGAACAATCTTCCATTTATTCCTGAGAAGGAAAAACATGTAGTTGCACAATATAAATAGTCTTTATGTCTTTGTTTTTCTCTAAAAAAAAGTACGATACTTCGAGATGTGCATAAACTGCAAGTGAAATTTATGTTCCCAAAACCTGACCGTAATATGAAACCAAAAGACCAGATAAGTCTATGATTAGTCTGCTGGTGCTATAACTCACTAACTAGTAGTGTTCAAGTAACTTCGTGAAACATTTAAGTAATGTAACTGGGATTTCAATCTGTTACTCGCGCAAATACCCTGGTATGGTCGAGTGTGGAGAGTTCGCCCTTCTAGAAATGCTCCAGTATGTTCACTGCAAGGGAAGATCTACTCAATGCCTTTTCATGGCTGTGTTTTGTTCACGAAACTGTTTTCACGAGAAAAGGACGTCCAGCGCTTAAGTCGGGTTCGTACGTATGATTCACCAAGGGGGATAGGAGAACCTTGATTCCGAACCATTAGTGCACTGTGGGCTTCTCGATCTGGACGGGACGTATGACATATGAACCTATTGTTGGTCACTAGCTACCGTGGGACTGCATCCCCTTGTGATACTCCACTGTCTTGTAGATCAGACATTAGAGTCAAAGCGCCGGGGAGCCGTTATGTGAGCGAACCGTTTTTGGTCTCGGTAGTCGTTCCACTCGTAACTTCAATAATGTTTGGCGTATAATTATCATTAGGTGCCCACTTCTAAGATTGGTGTCCGGTGCCATTCGCTCCAAGAGTCGTCGTGATGTCTTCTTAGTTACTAAGTCTGAATTGCCTCCTCTAGTAATAAGCACATGAGTCAAAAGAGACTAATTACTTTCAGTCTAGAAATCAGTGTAAAGTTTTACACAAATAATTCTTAACTTCAGTTCACAGGTCAGTGGCTGTTTGAGCTCAGTAGCTGGCTTTAGAAGTGAACGAAACTGGATTCCAGTGCCAGGGTGCAAGCACATCCGGCTGATGGGTCCCAGACAGAACATAAAGCAGATCCTGGGTTTCTTCTCCAGCCATCATCTACCTCTGCTCATAACGCTTGTAACTTGATGGTTATATCGCATCAATCCACACTAGTGTGCCAGATGAGACTGATCGATGGCAGTCGTAACTATCAATGAGAAGATTTAAACTACCACTGCAAATAAATTAACGTTGAGAATTAGAGCAGAATAATGCTGTACTGCTATAGTAAAACTTAACTATGCACTAAATCACACTGGGTACTCAAACCTAATCTGCATCAGGAGAAAGTATCTCTTGTAATTTGGACAGGCACCACATTATACGGTTAAACTGTGCAAAACTTATTTCATTTATCAATTTTCAGGACCAAGCGTTTCCAATTTTTACGTAGTTCATGTCAGACCACAAGTCTTATATTGCAATTTCTTGCGGAGTCAAAGAGACCCTATCCAAACCCTCGAACAACTGCTCTCTTGCTAGTTTCTTCGGCAGCACACACCCATTTGCGAACATCGGGCCTGTGGAAAAGTTGCCTGATCCATGCGAAGTTGCTTTGTAAAACGGTTGAAGTTAAGGTTGAAATTTTGATTAAATTTTAGGTATAAATTTACTCGGTTTTAGTGTTACTATTTCTACTTCCTCCAAAAATTATTTATCGCTTATTTTCCTATTCAAATTATATGGTTTACCGATCTGTTGAGATATTCATCGAATATTCTAAGAAAATTATTTTTGGAAGTCTTATTCTATTGATCAATTCCTACTGGTCAATATTATGTTCGTCCTAACTTTCAATGTCACGTACTTCAATGTTGTTTCCCATTGGTCGTCCTAACTATCAATGTCACAGACCTCAATATTGTTTCCTATTCGACCTAACTGTACAAATAAATATGCATCATCTGTAATGCTTATTCTTCCTTCTGTACTCGGCCCCATAAACAACATCTAACGGTGTTGTGTTCTGATATATTGGAGATTTGGAAACAGTATTCGGGGTCGTACTGGAATATCTGAATTTGGTCTATCGGTAGGATTTCGAATAGCTACATAGCAGCATTATAACAATTGGCGACGGGGATTTGGCAAACGAGTTGGTGACTAATTACGGACCCAGCTAAATTAGAAAAATTGTTTGCACAACAGGTTACTCAGGCGTACATCACTTCTCAAGTCTCATCTACGCCGAAAATTCCTCAGTCAGTCGATGATATGACCAATAGTATTTCAGAGTTTTTTTTATGATCCTGAAGCCAATATTACATTTGATACTTCGTTCAAGCTTCATAAAGATCTCTTCAAAGTTGGTTTTGCTGACTGAGATGATTCCTGAAAGGTGAGTCTTCTTCGGAAACTTGGTCAGTCAGAGCTTGTGCAACTGTAACTGATCCGGCTCCGGTTGACTGTCAGTCGAGTATTGATGAGAAGGAAGCGTCTGATAGTAACAGCCAGTCTACAGTGTTGCATGATAATGATGCTATTGATGTGCATATGTCTTGTGTCTCTGAAACGGAACATGAAGAACAACAAAGGAGTTTATCGGTTTCGAATTGCGATACTAATGCTGTTCTTTCATGTAGCGAGACGAGTTGTACAACAATGGAAGAGTTTCACTCTACGGATGCTGGTGTAGCCAGAAACGACGCGACTTGTCTGACAGGACGGAATCATGATGACAACGATAATAATCTGGATGTCACTGATGTGACAAATGAGTTGTCGACGATGACGAGTGCTGATCAAACCTCTACTGTACCAGGAGATGGAGAGTTAGATATTGTTCCTATGTTATGCCACTTACAGTCATCAGGAGCCGAGATGTCAAAATTGGAAATCCCACCCTTGCATATTATCTATGGGTCAAGAACTTCTGTTGATTAGTCAGCATCACTGACTTCATCGTATCTGCCGTTCGGAGCAAGTGGTGGTGGATTGACGTCTCATCCCCATGATATGGAATGTAAATCCCGAATAGGATATGGCCAGATTTACGAATTGTTGTACATGCTCATTTGGGTTAATTGGATGAAGTTGATACTACCGTTAAATCACGTTACGATAGATAGGGGAATCAAGGACCTGATGGGAAGGTACAGGTACATAGTTAGCTTGATAAGTCATATCAATGTTGGAGGGCCGGTAGGCGTACTGCTGTAAGTGCTACTCGTTCTTCCGGTGTGGATTAGGGGATGAGAGTGAACCCTAAATGAAGTGACAAAAGGGCTTGTTTAGCATGGAGGGGTTTCGCGGGTCGGTGTAGAATCTATTTTGAATGTTTTGTTTTTGGAAAATCCCTCCATGTATTTATATTTGTGTTATGATATGACTGACTCTTTCTGTTTGATATTTTGGTACTTTATTTGATTCCATTTTGAGATTTTATCATTGTATATTGTTATTATTTCTATATCTTGTACTTATATTGAAGTTTTTATGTTTCCTTCTGAACTGTATATATGTTGTTTAAATTTTATATTTAATATGGCTACAGCCATATTTGGATTTGATACTTTAGCAATAACGGACTGGAAGCACTTATTCTTCCAGAAACGGAACCCATTGTGGTAATTGGAAGCTCGAAGGTCTAATATCGTTTTGGTAATTGTCTGTATTTCTATTTTATCGATTAGTAGAACCGTTTTCTCCCAGAATTATTGTTTTTATTCCTTGACTGGGTGAACTCGTATAAACCTACACTGTTTGAGACGGAGTGAACTGCAAGAGTAGAAAATCCATAACAATCAGTGCTTCTCGAATGTCGTACCTATTTGTCTTTGTATCCTCACTGTAAATGTAGACACGATTGGCCTTATTGACAGACATTCACGTTTTATACTAGCCAACCAGAACACCTAAGTCAGCTTGAGGTGCATTTGCGTGTACATCTTTCATTGCCGAAATTTTTGCGTTACCAGAATACTGTAGCAACGAAAACATTCCTGTTTTACCAAGAAATCTTTGATCAACTTAAGAAGAAATCCGGCTGTTCCTGGGTTTTTCAGCTTCTGTTCGGCAGCTTATCAGATACTTTGCTTAGTCCACTTAGACAGAATCCACTAACCCCTCATTATCTAGAGTAGGCTTATACGCGTTCACCTAGTCAAGGACCGAAAACAGTAATTCTGGGAGAAAACGGTTCTATTAATCGATGAAATGGAAATACAGACAACGTTCTGTATCCTAATTGCCAAATTCGACAATTGCTCTGGGTCGTTGTAATGAGCATTCCCAGATCTAAACAAGTCTTTTAAAGTTTCACGAGCGATTACGTGCGATTGTCCCAATAGCTGCTTTAGAATCACAGCCCTTTTATATCCTTCGTGGGGTTCCATTATAGGACATCCCTCAATCGCATCTCTCTCCTTTCCCTTACAATAATGGATTAAATACAATAAGCGCAGATTACCATCAATAACTCTAGGTTCTATAAATGTGTCGAATTGTTTTACAAACCTAAAGTAATCGCGGTGTCTGCCATCGAAGAAAGGGGGTTTTACCTTTGGCAACTCAAATCCTTCCCAGATACCTCTAAGTCCTCGTCCAAACATCGTTCCTTAGTACCCTGTAATGATGACTTACAACAATAAGTACTAAGCATAATATCGTCCTTACTAGAGAGTGAACCCTTTAAAAATGAAGTTTCATAAGGGACTTGCCTCATATCCCGCGATTCTTCAAGGACTCCATCTCTCTTCGTGTTTGCTTTCTTACGAGAACTCATGACCAATTGAAATTCAACGGAAAGGAAACAAGAAAGACCAAATATAAAATTTCACCGGTAAAGCTTCTTTGGCAATGAGAAATCCAAAAGGACCAAAAGATCGTCTTCCCGAAATACAGTCTAAAAACAGTAAATGATAAGTAATCCAAAGGTTCTTCTTCCAGGTATTGTTTTGAGATTGTAAACGATAAAAATTCCAAGGGAATCTTCCTACTTTTATCGTTTTGAGCTGTAATTGAATTTTCTACCCCAGCAGTTCACTCCGTCTCAAACAGTGTAGGTTTATACGAGTTCACCCAGTCAAGGAATAAAAACAATAATTCTGGGAGAAAACGGTTCTACTAATCGATAAAATAGAAATACAGACAATTACCAAAACGATATTAGACCTTCGAGCTTCCAATTACCACAATGGGTTCCGTTTCTGGAAGAATAAGTGCTTCCAGTCCGTTATTGCTAAAGTATCAAATCCAAATATGGCTGTAGCCATATTAAATATAAAATTTAAACAACATATATACAGTTCAGAAGGAAACATAAAAACTTCAATATAAGTACAAGATATAGAAATAATAACAATATACAATGATAAAATCTCAAAATGGAATCAAATAAAGTACCAAAATATCAAACAGAAAGAGTCAGTCATATCATAACACAAATATAAATACATGGAGGGATTTTCCAAAAACAAAACATTCAAAATAGATTGTACTCTGATGTCTCACATTGATCTTAGGTTATTTTTTGACCACGATCTTAAGACTAAGAATCACTGCAGCATGGTTGCAGCCATAGCATTTGGAACAATATGGGTTCGGATACAGACATTTACCATTTCGAGTACCATTTTGTTCATAGCGCACACAAAACTTTAGTAGGACCCAAACTTAAATCCTGCGTTCAGACTGCAAGCTCCTGTTTGAATGGTTGTTCAAGAATCTTCAAAAAAGTACAGACGGAAGCTACTCGAGAACTCCGAGCTAATCAGACACAGAGCAGCTTAAAGAGTCAGAACTCTTTACTTTTCCCACTGTAGTTAAAAACTCGGTCTGATTTTGATGTATAATAATAATGATAATAGTATTAATACTTTTCTTAGCTACCAGTGTGTTACATGAGGCATGTTAGTTTACAAGCGAATTTGAATTTTTAAAAGCTTTATCACATTTAATGTAATAGGCTGCTCAGTTAGATTGCTATTATTATTCTTTTTCTGACAAATCAAGTTTACATCAGTTTACCGACACGAAAACTTCACAGCCAAATTTTTAGAATATTTAGAAATGATTTTGGAACTGAAATACCATATCCTTGTACTTTTGTTTGGCCTATGCAACTTAAGAGGCACAGCTGGTGAGTTAAACGGCTGACGACGAAAAATTATCTTTGGAATACAGGTTTTCAAACCAAATCAACTCTCGTAACTTGTTACCTGAAGACGTACTATCAGCACTTGTAATCAATTAGTTCAGAAGAAGAACGTACACTCTCAGGAGCTTATTAGAGAAGGAATAACACAGACCGTAGACTTACTACCCCCAACAAACGAATCAGAATCTGAAATTCAATCTGTTACACTTCGGTCCTCTCTCACAATTTTCACTACCAATTAATAAACTAAATCATCTATACATTACTTAATTCTGAAATTTTATTCATAATACCATCAGAATTCTATTCATATTATACTTATTATTCTCCATATTGCAACTAACTGATATCTGGTCTGGTAATATGATAGCTGCTGGTATCCAGAAACAAACGTTATCATTCGAATCCCGAGACATACAAACTCACAACCAACTGGCAACTGACTAGAATTAGACAGTCGAGTGGCTAAACCCTCATTCTTTGGACACTAACGAACACCTGGAACCGTACCGAAAGAACAAGAATCTAGCGCAAAGAAATCAATTGTTTTATACTAGCTCGTGAAAACGATATTAGATATTGGATATTGTCGACGACCATTGCGGGCGCGTCAATTAATAAGTTCGGCTAGTACAAGTGTTTTGGACGGTTAGTTCACTTGGTGCCGTCGTAAATCCCTTGCATATACAGTGTCTTAGTATGATACTAGATAAGTAATAAGCTTCAGAGTTCTTTTGGCCTTACCTACTCATCGAGTTAACCACTGAAGATGCAAAAGCGGCGTAAGAACAATAGCAAAAAAAACAATGAGGAGTTTGATAAAAAGATAACTGAAGTCTACTGTGTCTGTCGTTCTTCAGACGCTGAAAGATTTATGATGTGAGTTACTCATAGAATAAATAACAAGTATACAGAGCATGTGATCAATGTGAAGAGTGGTATCACGGAGATTGCATTAATGTCACTCCAAAACAAGCAGAACAGATAAAAACATTTTATTGTCCTCAATGTCGATGTAGGTATCCATATATTTCATCTATTGATTGAATAGGTAGGAATCCGTCTTTGGAGATCGAATATAAAAATACAAGAAGTCAGAAGCCGAAACAAAGTCGTCCATGTTCAAGTCCTAACAATGATATCACTTCTTATCCAGACCAACTTTCACCAGGTAAACAGTTCAAAGGGAAAAGAAGGCCGTCAGATGTTCCGGTTAGTACTTCAGGTAGTGTGTGCTATGTAGCAACTTATTTCTTGTAGAAGCGGGTGCTCGCAATACTACAGTCGACCACACATTGTATTTGCAGTCTAAAAATACGCGCAGATACAATTCTTCGGGTCCTGATATTTCCCCTAAATCACCTAATGCCTCAGATTCAACTAATTCGGCTGTGTATGATCGCATATACTGGGGACACGAAGAGCAACCTGGACTTGGGGATGATCCAAAATTGGTATCTAGTTCGTTGGTACCAAAGAAGCGGTCTGGATCACCTCGTCTGCGCCCTTGCGGTAATTGCACAGGTTGCAGCATACAAGAAGATTGTGGGAAGTGTGAATACTGTAAGGACAGGCGGAAATTCGGTGGCCCCAACAAAATGCGTCAAAAGTGTAGGTTACGACAGTGTGCTGGGATGAATGCTTCCCGCAGCAGAAATCCTTCTAATTCTTCACAAGGCGTTGGTTCTCGACGTCGCAAACAGCCACCGATACTATCAACACCCATGGACACACCACCATCCCATATGCAGTCGTATGCAGATTTCGATGACGAACAGTTTGAAGTGCCATTAGATTTTTCTCCACGACCATATTCTGATAATATTACGCAATCGTTTCTGTCCCATCACTCTGCAACTTCAGCTCCACTGAGCAGTAAAGTACGCAGGGGTGATCACCGTATTCCAGCCATTAACGAAATTGACGGAATTACTCATCGAGTGTTTGGACGATTCAGTAGCGATGGTAAGTCTTAAAAATTCTCATCCTAACAAAATATGTGCCTAATTCTTACCGTTAGTTTTTGCTAAGCTTGGGTCCATAAAGCACTGTATACGTCACCTCAGAGTAGATATTCTAATGTAAAACCCAGTACTCTGTTTGCTTCTCTTTGCTTTTTCTTCAATACTCAAGTCAGTCAATCAATAGTAACGTAGAACTTTGTACGTACGTACATCAGTTCAAGTTGCTATACTGCATTAGCAGAGACGCATCTGTCAGTTCAATCCAATAGTGGTAGCGGTAGTAGAAGTATTAGCAGTAACCGAGATTAGGGTTGGAAGATTCGAGAAGTATAATTCAGTGAGACAAATTTAGAAAGCGAAAGATAGAGCTGATGAGAAATCCAGAAGGTTAGGGTTTTAGAGAACACAATGAATGAATGCACCTGCGCCATTGCAAACGATTTTGAGCCATGTCGTTCAAGGTCTCTAACCACTGGTGACTTTCGTCTCGCGGACTCTACGTAGTCTACATCTACCAGCATGACTCAATCCAGTTGTCAGTGATTTCATGGATTTATGCCATGTTTTGGCTTGGTCGCCTCTAGCTTTCTTCAAACCAGTCCCTAACTAATACTTAGCTTCGGCACTGTTTACCCAGACACATTTACGATAATTCAGTTACTGATTCGATGGGTCGGGCACGCGTTTCAAGTGATTTCTTTAGTGTATTGTTTGACGGCTATCGTACTATATAAAAAGGCGAAAAGGTAGTCAGTTCGTAACATCGAGCCGCTTTATCAAATAAACACGGTTATCGAGTTAGACGCACCATAAAAAAGTGGTTAACAGTCTTTAAAATAAACGTTTTGTTTTTAAATAATAGACTGGCTTCATTAAATTATCCTCTTGTTTTCTGCAAACGCGTAATCAGTTTTTCCCCTCCATTCCAAGTCAGTTCATCATGATCTTGAATTCCCCAAAGAGACTAGTATTCACAATTACATTTCATGGAATTATTCTCACGAAGTGTATATGTTGAATCATTCCAATAGCAATATTTACAGTTCAAACTATGACTTACTAGCATGGGTCACATACCATTCTACAAATGTCTTTTTTGTTACTGTCTAGCAGTAAAAGATATTTCAAATGTTTACATTCTGTAAACGACGACCTCAATTGTTTTGAGTAAATTTTGGATTCATTTTTCAAATTGACGGCTGTCTTGTCTCATAAAATTTTATTTGATTGGAGAATGAATTTGAATTACCTTTTTTTTCAATCGGTCGTACAAATAAAACTATATCATATCTCTTTCAAAAAGCGTCTATCTCAGTGGTTACATTGAACTCAGCAAAAAAGTTCAAACGAAAATTAGTTTTTACGAAAATTGTCATGAAATTTATTTTATTTTGCTGAATCCCATATAAATTAAATGGTTTCACTTTACTCATCAGGTTTGAAACCACATTCTCGCAGTAAAGGACCCATACCAAAGATTTATCCCATTAATACTGATGAACCCATAGATTTTGTCGATAATGATTCGGATGATGACATTGTGCTTCCAGAAATGGCACATTGCGCAGGTCCAGCTTGCATGCTAGCGGCTATTCCCGGTGAAAAATACTGTTCGGAATCCTGTAAGCTGAAACATTCGAAGTACGTCCCATATTTTTCCATTTTTTAACAATATCACAATTTAAGTAGATAACAGATTTTTTCAACAAAAGGTCGCTGTTTACTCCGAAGTTTCTAGCTCGAACGAAAAATCTGTCAAACTCCCTGGTTATCAAGTTTCATGTTGTAGACCAACCAAAGGCATATTTTTGTGCGTTCTATTCTTACCTAGACTTTGACCTTAGCTCATCGAGTTTTATCGTTTTTATTAAAAATCATAAAAACCCTACATTTTCATCATTTGTCTACTATTCGATGACTTCAACTTGATTATATACATTCTAAGTGGCATGTAATGAGTAGTGTGTCCTATATATTGCGTTTGACTTCCCGAAAACATACGGTCTGTCTTGTAAATACCAGTTTGTTCTGATTATGTATCATCTGTGTGTTTTCTAGTCGTCAGATATTAACGTAATCAGGTTCTTTAAAGTCTCGTATCACCTTTTAATCGTTATTACTCAATCGTCAAACTCCAGCACAAATCGTTACAGTCAGTCCTTAATGAAAACTTTGTAATCATTTATGAGTCACAATCAATACCCTTGTATAAACAAGGTGCACGATGTACACAATATGGAATATACGTTTATATCATCACAACAAAAGAATTTATATTATCTAAACATAAACATTAGTACAAGGGAGCACCAAAATATGTATCAACCACACTAAATTTGAGAGTGTAGAAAGCGAAAGGAAGGTGAGCATAATAAAAAGAGAGCAGAAATAAATATAAATCAGTAAATGAGACTGAAAAATAGTAATGAGAGAAACATTTCAGTTTTAAGAAAAACCTAGAAGGATTCTTTCAGAGTTACAGTTCGACCGCCACTGGCTTCTATTCTAAAACATGTCTCTTAACGTCTCAAGCCACTGTGTTGCACTATCTGTAGGATTCCAGCCAAGGAGTTTTGAATGATCCACAGATGCAAGTCGTGCTCTGCTTTTTTTCATACACAACACCATGTCATACACTGACCATTTATCGGCTTCCAACCATTTTTAGCGTCAGCAAATAATGTATTATGTAGAATTTTCTGGAACAACATTCGTAATACGTATCCGATCCATCAACCAGTCTAACATAACAAACGCCCCAAAGATAGTCGAGATTGGTATGAGCCACTTGAATTTCACCATTTGTGGACTGATCTCATCACACACCATCATCAGCACTTACACAGCAACCTCATTACACTACTTGACTACTTTTATCTGCTCACAACCAAGATGTAAAGCACGTACAGTACTTATGGACACATTGCCAACCAATTCATGATTTCAAAAATGTGTAACCAATTAAGTGTAGATTTCATGGCTTGTGAATCATCGTACAGTAATACGATATCCGCGTACTCAAGGTCAAAAATATTTTCTCAAGACAACATATCCACACCACCATTACGTGCATGCATCAGACATGTTTCCAGGACGTCATCTATGGCAAATCCAGGGAGGGATAGTGAGATTGGGTAACCTTATCTAACATCACTGCTCAGATCAGAGAATGGAGAGAAGTGGTCGTTTGCTGAAGTTTATACTGGGCCTTTAAGGTGTTAAAAATCTTCTCAGACACTGCTTCAACAAACAATGTCAGTGAACAGTCATACCAAATGAATTGAAGGCGGCCCTGATATCAAGAAATAAAATGGTTGTTTGTCTGAAGTAAGCATGGTGGTGTTCCAACATATGGTGGAGAGCGAAGACATGATCAGTGTATCCTCGATCAGAAAAGAAGCTAACCTGCTTCCAAGTTAATTGTTGTCGGGCTTTAGACAATCTGCAAAGTATAGCGGAAGCCAATAAATTGTTAGAGCACTCCAATTGCCGAAAATTTGCAGACAACTCATTCAATCGAATTGTCAATTAAGTTGATGTAGAGTGGGAAATTCCACTCAACTGATTTTTCGACAATGATCCATAATGTTGCAATTTGGTCGGTACATGATCGATCCTTACGGAATCCAGCCTGTTTATTTCAAAGTTTGGCGTCTACAAAGTCCTTCATTCTGTTTGATAGCACTGTTGAAGACTCTTCTTAGTACTAATATTAGAGTGATGCCGCTGTAGTTCTTATCCTTGCTAAGATTGCCTTTTTTTGGTGTTTTGATCAGGTGTCCTTCTTTCCAGTCTGTTGGTAATTGTTCTTTCTTCCAAATCTTGCTAAAGAGATCGTGGAGCATTTTGCATGTAAATTTATATTTGCTTTCACTGGCTCAGCTGATATGATGTCTAGTCCCGCTGACTTGCCGCTCTTGATTTGTCTGATTGCCATACTAATCGTTTCAGTTGTTGGTGGATGAACATTCATTCGGAGGTCCGAAGGTACTGCTTCGATGTTGGGAGTGTTCGATGGGGTTAGTCGATCCAAAAGTTCTCCAAAGTACTCTACGCACCTATTTCGCTGTTCTTCAGTGTCAGTGGTTGCTTTGCCTTTTCTGTTCTTCACTGGTCGTTCCGGTTTACCATATTTTGCAGCAAGCTTCGCTGTATCTTGTAGTTGTCTCATATTCCCTTCTTGTAGCTTCTGCTGTCGTGGCTCGATCGTCCAAAAATTTTCGCTGACCAGTTCCGTGGCAACTTCCTCTCCGATTGCCTGCTTGCTTATATGTATTCGGCGTGTGCCTTGGCTTTCTCTGCTCCTGTTAGTCAGTCATTCAACGTAGAACTTCGTACGTACGTACATCAGTTCAAGTTGCTATACTGCATTAGCAGAGAGACGCATCTGTCAGTTCAATCCAATAGTGGTAGCGGTAGTAGAAGTATTAGCAGTAACCGAGATTAGGGTTGGAAGATTCGAGAAGTATAATTCAGTGAGACAAATTTAGAAAGCGAAAGATAGAGCTGATGAGAAATCCAGAAGGTTAGGGTTTTAGAGAACACAATGAATGAATGCACCTGCGCCATTGCAAACGATTTTGAGCCATGTCGTTCAAGGTCTCTAACCACTGGTGACTTTCGTCTCGCGGACTCTACGTAGTCTACATCTACCAGCATGACTCAATCCAGTTGTCAGTGATTTCATGGATTTATGCCATGTTTTGGCTTGGTCGCCTCTAGCTTTCTTCAAACCTACTCCTACACCACAAAACATCGCTCTTGTTAGGCTGTTATTGATTGCTGCCTTCCAGTTCTTGCTCTCTTGCATTTTATCCAGAGTATCCACAAAGATCCATTCCTTGTGATGATGCTTCTTTTGGCCCAGAATTTCATGATATGTTGAAATTATTGCTTCATCGATTTCTTTCTAATTGTTCTCCATGGTAGATTTCTGTTCATTTAGTAGATTGCAGAGGGCATGAACCCTATTGCTGAGGGCCATTTCGAATTCGTTGAGTTTGTCAGTATCCCAAAGAATGCCCGTGTTGAACGTTTTGAATGCTTCTCCTGTTATCCGATGCTTCTGTATTTTCATTTTCATCTTGACCTAGTGGTGATTGGAGCTATATCAGCTTCTCTTACGTGTCCCATGGTCTTTCTGAAATTCATATTGATGCAGATGTGATTGATTTGATTCTGTGTAGTGAAGTACGGAGAAACCTGTGTAGCTTTGTGGGAATATGTTTCCGCCTTTATCCATTTTGTTGAAGCCACATAGATTTGCGAATCTCTCACCGTTTCCATCGCATGCCGTTCCCTGATTTCCTTGTATCCAGTGTTGTCCATTCCAACACTGGTATTTAGGTCTACCATCAGAATGGTCAAGTTCTTTGATGAGCATCTCGACGATTGACTGCAGCCTTTGATAGAATTGATCTTTAACGTCTTCATTGCAGTCATTGGTAGGTGCACAGCACAAGACGACGTTCATTGTAATCCCCTCTTTTTTTGTTTTGAAGGAGGCTTTGAGGATCCGGGCTCCATGAGATTCACATCCTACCAGTGTCTCTTGTGTTTGTTTGGATATCGTCAGCGCAACTCCTTGTTTATATGAAGCATTTTCTTCTTTACGACTCGAGTATGGCAGCATATCTCCTGATTTTAGTCTATTTGTCCAACGTGCATCCATTGTGTTCCACTGATTCCAAGCACCTCCAGGTTGTGTCCCTTCATTTCCACTGTGTTCTGATTGGTTCTTCTGATCTTCCACAATCAGTGAACAGTTCATGTACGTAAGAGAATGGTTCCTCTATTTGTCAGCATGGATATGGGCCTCGTGACTTCCGAAGGAACTCGGCTTTCATCATGAAACGTCATAACGTTTCTAACTCCAGAGTTTAAATGGCTTGAATCATTTTTTCTTGTTAGCGTTTTTTTAGCGAATTAGTTTTCAGCGGAATGGGTTCTCTAACCCCAATACTCAACCCTTCTCCTTTATCCGGGTTAGGGACCATCAGTAGCTGCAAAGGGGCCCGAGGCAGTTAGTATCTAACTTCATACGAACATTTTGTTCTGACTTAAGTGTTGAGCGATATTTGAATTAATCTCTGCCATCGCTTAACCAACTGATTGCTATTGTAAAATTTGACACAGTAGATATGGCTCTTATATAAATATCCTACTGGCTACCAAGCTTTATCATTTCCATTATTATTATTATTTGTCTATGGATCCAAAATGTAATGTGTAATTATTTTGATAGCTCATAATTTCATCACGTTATGAGTTTTTCTTCTTCTTCTCTTTACAATCTGATGTAAGTTACACAAATTTAGATTTTATTTTGTATTGACCTGATTTAATCATTTCCGTTTGAACTCAAAATGTTAAATTGTCCAGTGGTAAGATACTTAATCTCATAACATTCAAAACACTCATACTCAGTTAATTGTTTTATTCGCTTTACATTCCTTGTTTACAACCTACAACATCTAGTTCTCGCTGCCCTATTCGTTCAGGTGTTCCCAATCTCCGTCCTGGAATAACTACTATTGCATCCCGTGAAGCTAATCCTATTCCGTAAGTGTATATCAGTGACTTATATGTATTGTTATTTTCGTTTTATTATTAAATTCGAGCTATAAAACCTGAGGTTCCTTGTTCGTTTGATAACTACTAACTTTATTGATCAGAAGTATTATAACCAGCGCTATATTATAATTGACCATGTTTGAAGTTACATTTATTCGGAAATATCTGTGAGCTTTCAAGTTTTAGAAATCTCGTGTAAGTTGTGTACAATATCTATTTTGTAAGCCGCCGAAGCTATTTGATTAAGTGTTAAATCCACAACTGATCAGTTTTATGAAAAAGTGCATTATTTATATCCTAGCTTTCATTAAGCTGTAGATTATTTGAGTTGATCTGAGTAGTTTGCAGTACGCCTTTATATCATTTTTCTTTCAGTACACTCTCTTGAAAGTACATAAAGTACCATCCACCTACAAAATTTAATTGTTAGCAACTTCATTGTGTTGTTGACGAGAACTCAATTTACACTTGGTTCATATATAAAAAATCAGTGTCAAAGATACCTGTGCTGTTTTGTAGATCATTCTTCGATTTCTCTTAGTCTAGCACAGTTTATTTCGTGTTCTACATCTAAACCTTATCTGCACAAACGTTTAATCGAATGGCTTTTTTTTACTACTCTCTTGTATACCAATCTTTTTGTTATCAACGTGTTTTTCCGTATTTAGGTACTCTTTGCCCTATCCAGATCATATGTATTGCCGCCATCATCGTGTTCAGAATTGGAACAATACTTCATCTCCATCTTACAGAACTACAAATCAACCTTTCGATCAGTTCTCTATTGATCAGGCTTACATTACTACTGATGGTTTACTACAGTCACGTGGACATCCGACATTTAGATGTTCTTCTGGACCAGTACATAGAACTGCACCACAACGGCATTCTAATTCTCATCCTGTTTTGATTAATACTAGCACTCGATTGGATGGCGTAGATACTCAAGGTAATACGATGATTTGTGACGTTGCTGACACCGCTGCATTTATGGACTCTGTGGCCTCAGCAGTACGTAGAAATAATCATGGGACAATAAATTCATTTGCTAAAGAGCTCGGCATAGATTTGCCATCCGCTCATCCTTCTACTGGAACTCGTTTATCTTCTTCACCTAGTTTATCTGGGATTTATTCATGTTATACTGGGTCGAATCGTAGCGATAATATTCGACCAGTCGATTTACATGCTGTAGATGATGATAGTGAACTACCACCGGAGGTAGATGAGGAAGCTGATGTCAATCAAATAGTTTCCGAAGTGGGCGGACATCCTGTTTATGGTTATTATATGATTAGTTATGGCAACGAAACCAACGGTCATAATTCACGTGTTTCCTTGACAAACACTTCTACACCTACATTAAATGAACATCGTCTTAGTGCAGGCTCATTGCGTACTCGAACGAATATCCGCCACCTCAGTAACAGAATGATTAATCAAAGTAATGGTGAATCAACAAATGGTATTCCTGGCCCTCACACTTCTAGTCGAACATTAACAGTTGGGAGTGTAGGCTTTCGGCATACGAACTTAAATGTTATCCCAGGGACAGTAAGTCAGGATAATTGTTTAAGTCCATCTGGGTCTACTGGTGTAAGTGATATAGGTGTCTCTAATATGGGATCATCGATATCCAATTCCAATGTGGCACCTCACTCTGTGCCTGTTTATATACCTGGTCCCGACGAATTCTATACAATCAATGATTCAGATGACCTAGAAATCAATTGGCCGCAAGAAACAGTTGCCGGAGTAAATGGTTAATTTTTAATTGTATTATATTCTTCAAAACGTTTGTCACTTCATATGGAAACATTGGTTCATCAGTTGGCGACTGGCTAGGAGCTGTTTTACGCTCCTCTTAATTGGTCCTATGTATTTCTAATTAATGACCTCTACTGTATCATGCTGTAATGTTACTGAGACCTAAAACTTTTGACCTCTATTTACCTCTTTGTTTTATTCATCATTACGCTGCAGTGTTAAGTCGGCAAGTTTAAAAATTCTCTGTATTTATACCGTTTATCAGATTTATTCAGTGGCTATGGTTTAGTCCCCTTGGTTTGCTAAGACATTAAATCACAACTTTTGCCTTGTATACATGTCTATTATATATATATATATATATATATATATATATATATATATATATATTCTCTACCAGCGGCGCCAAAAACGTTTCATTCACAACAGTCTTGTACATATAAATAGCTGTCTTTTACTTTTTCTAATTTGTATATTTTTGCGTTTATCTAAGCATATTCACTTACATATTCTTTACATTTTTGCGCAGTGGTTTATTCAAATCATCATTATTAACGAATAATATATTATAAACGAAAAATTTGTCCTTTAATCTTTCATCCAACTAGGACTGTCTATAATTATAAGAACGACAACTATTCTTCTTCTTCTCATTATTATTATTATTTGTGTTTTGAATTTCGCCTTCTTACTAACACTATCATGCAGTTCGGTTCATTTTTATCTTGCGACTACTGTTACTTCTTTCAAAAACACTATTCTTCTGATTTTTATTCCATATATATATCTTTATGCGTTGAGTCCACCTGCCACTACTGCATTCTCCTATTGTTTTGTCTTTTAAATCCTGTCCTCGTAACTTAATCATTAAATTACTTTTCCCACTTCTCATGTTTAGTATCATATTTCTATTATTTACTAATTATTATCATTGCTATTAGTTACAATCAGTAGTATTTGCACTAATTGTAAACTGAAAATAAGATAGGATATAAGCCATTTATTTTCTACACTTCCTTACCTTGCTTCCCTCCAAATTCTCAATCTTTGTAAATAATGAACATAAATATTCTGTGTAATACGTTCAATGAGAATAAGAAACATCAAGTTATATAAAAGGTGTTTTTCACTAATTCCATAACAAGAGTAACAATTAAAAAGGCATATTTTATAATTTGTAGTTCAACTTCGTAACTGCATGCCGGTTGTCAACACCAATATGAGCAGTACCAGTTTTGAATGATATTGAAGATTACTAACATTATCTGTACAAACAGTCGAATTCTCCATCTGTAAAAATATTCAGACAAAATATTTACACCATATGAATATCATAATATGAAATGTTATTTATAGCCACTTAGTCGCTAAATATACTCGTGTCCCAGGGTATACGAGTAATGCTTCGAAAACACCGATGATCCAAAACTAGTAACCTACGAAAGTCCTCTACTCTTAACGACCAAGTTTCGCATCCGTACAGTAGGACGGAGCGAACTACTGCACAGTACACTCGTCCATTGGTTAGTAAACGGATATCTCGCCTGCGCCATAGGTGACGCAGGTTAGCAAAAGCCAATCGAGCCTTCTGTATCCGAGCTGAGATTTTGTCAGTCACCAGGATATCAGCACTGATGAGACTCGAGATACGTGAAGCGGTCTACACGTCCGACTACTTCACTTCCTGTCACTAGTCTAGGTGTGGTCAGCGTCTTCACCAAATAGAAAAATGTCATCGGCATGTTCTAGGTAAACAAGCGTGTCCCCTGGTAGAAAGTCGACTCCTGAAAGGTCGGACGAGGATAAGGTTATGTCTAGGAGCATGTCTATGACAAAATTAAATAAGATTGCGGAGAGTGGACACCACTTGAAGTAAAGAATTCCGATGACAGCTTGTATAAGGTTAGTGTACTTTGGTACACCTTTCAATGACAGACACTGCCACAGAACCTCACGATCATCAGAGTCGAATGCCGCATTTATGTCCAGGAAGACAACTATTGTTGGACGCCTAAAAGTGTGTCTGTGTCCCAGGACCTGTCGTCGTGAGAAAATATGTTCTATACATCCGCGTCCAGGTCTGAAACCAGCCTGGTTTTCTTTAGTCTGCTCTTCACGAGCTTTCGTTAAGCGTCAAAATATTATTGAGAACAATATTTTAGATACTATATTAGTTAGACTTATTCCCCTGTGATTGTCACAAGAAGACTTGTGTCCTTTCTTATAGATTAGGACAATCAGTGATTGGGACCACTCGGATTCTACCTAAGATCTCAGTCAACCTAGCTGCTAAAACTGGACCACCATCCTTAAATATCTCAGGGTTCAATCTGTCAGGACCCAGTGCTCTCTCTCGCTTCAGATTTCCTATCGCTTTCTCAACTTCATGTAGACTGGGGGGGCTTACGTCCATTTGCCATTCGGGATGACTGGAGGTCGTGCGTAACGGAAGTGTGGCTGGAGGCCAGTTGCACTGATCCCTGAAGTATTCCACCCATCGATCCAATCTCCTGGATTGAGAATAAATAATAGTCACATCCTTTTCCGAGATAGTCGCACTTACAGTAGGATTCCTAATACCAGTTTCCTTGACAAGTCGGAAAAGTTGTGTACTGTTGCCTATCGCCGCCGACTTTGCCATCTCTCTCGCTTTTGCTTTCGCCACCCACTGTCGGTGCGTAGGCTTTTTGTCAACCTGCGCCTAAACTGACTTCGTTCTTCATCATGTTCAGAGCCAGGCGGGATGAGTTTTCGAGCATCCATTAGTTCGGTGGATGCTACTGAGATCCACGGCTTCATTCTAGCCTTATGGTTTACCTTACTATCAGATATCACTGCTGTTTCCACAGCCTTCTTGATATCATTCCAACCTGCTTCCGGATGTGAACTGCTTACATGGTTGTCTAACTCTCTTCCTAGTTGCTCCTGAAATATATTCTCAGCTTTATTATCATTAGGTAGAACCCTAAGAGGCTTCCTGACGGTGTCTTTCCTACGTCCAGTAAGCCTCAAACAAATACGCGCTCGCACTAGGGCATAATCTGAATCTAAACAAGAGCGGAGCTAATACTCAAAAAACCTCTCGTAAAAAGGCCGTGCGTGACCGGCCTCAAGCAGTTGTCCTTTGGGCTCTGCGGTCGCACTCCAGCGTCTCTAAAACCAACGCTAATCTACCTTCCTTTTCAGGTTCTTCAATAAACAACCTTCCATGGTGTGGGCAGCCGGGAAGTGACATCCGCCCTCATACCCGTGACAGCACGTGAGACCAAATCGGTCACAAACAAATCCTTTCTACACCCCCTAACATCTCTCTTATCACCACGTCTCACCCTTCTCACATCCCTTTAACACCCTGCACTGCTAATGCAAACGATGCGAGTTCACGAAACGTTAATCCTGGTCTCCTGAAACCCCGTTGTAGACTACATGTTGGAGCATTTAATGTACGGACATTGTGTCAAATAGGGCAACAGGCTTCATTAGCTAGGACATTAGAATCTCGCTTAATCGGTGTGTGCTGCGTCTCGGAAACGCGCATGCAGGAACTTAGTAGTATTTCTGTTGCTGGCCATTTCAGCCTGTGTATTGTCCTTTTTTTACAATTGACTAAATTGTTGCAGGTTTTCAAACTAACTGCATTAATTTGTTCTTTGCTAATTAATTGACAATCGTTATTTGTTTCGACTTCAGCCTTGCGAAGAATTTAGAGACTCATCTGAGAAATTCATCTTTAGTCAGATTACAACATACACTTATAACAGATATTGGTTAGATGAGACACTCCAGCATTCATATTTAGCTATGATGGTATTTCTAGCCGCCTAAAGTTAAGCTTTAATTACCAATGTGTTTGACCTAATCAGTAACTAAATCTCACAATTTTTTACTCATTTAACTTAAGATGCCACTTAATAACTTCCTCACTCCCAAAGTGATTGACTTCATTGGTCAACATTACTCACTTAAACTCCAGCAAAACCCATCTCGATGTTAATAGTAAGAGTTATTTCGATTCAGATAGAACAATGAGAAGACGTAGTCGAATTGGAAATTGTGATGTATTTGCACCATACATTCCGAACAGTCTGGTCACACATACTTGTCAAGGTATTTTATATGAAAATTAATAAAAGGTCAATCAGAAGAAACTTCTTACGTTTGTAAGATGTTGATGGTGAAGTTATACTGACTGCCCTTAGTGAACCCGCCGAAATTAAGATAACACCTATCATATTTTAGCGTTAAATCAGAAGCTCATTGAAAGATAGCTTTTATGTCCTTATGAAGTAGGAAAAATTCGACGTCTGGTCCTTGAAGTGGTTGCAATTGATAAAAATATAACCTATGGACGAACCAATTAGATTTTAGACTGGAAGTTTCAGATTTTGACGCGAAATTCACTAATCTATATGGCTATGTAACGTTTTGGCATTACAGTTGGTGTGAATTCTTGACGAAAGCCCTAACCCTAATTTTAACTAAATCTTATCAATGATTTAAATTTTTCTTAGGATCACTTTAGCATCTTACAAAGATCGTCTATTAATTATAGTCTCACCAAAAATATCTAGTATGCAACCGAACAGAAAATATGAAATGATATTTACGATAACCAAAAACCTTCTTCAGATACTGGGAAAGTGTTTATCATTAAACTGATGGTCACTCAACATTGTATTTTTATTCTATACTCTATCGATGAGTAGATACCGAAATTCCAGATCAATAGGCTGGATTTCTTAAGGATCGGTCGTGTACCCACCAAACTGCAACATTACGGATCATTGTCGAACAATCAATTGGATGAAACTCACCACTCCACAGCAACTTCATTGACTACGAGAAAGCAGTCGATAGCGTGGACAAGACAATAATATGGAGGCTTCTTCGACACTATGGTGTGCCTGAGAAGATAGTTAATATCATACGGAATTCTGATGATGGATTAAACTGCAAAACCGTACATGAAGGACAGCTGAGAGACTCGTTTGAGGTGAAGACCAGTGTCAAGCAAGGTTGCTTACTCTCACCCCGTCTCTTACTCCTGGTGATCGACTGGATTTTGAGGACGTCAACATCTGGGGGGAAGCGAGGAATACAGTTGACAGCTCGGATGAAGCTAGACAATCTGCATTGGCTCTTCTATCGCACACGCAACAACAAGTGCAAGAGAAGACGACCAGTGTAGCAGCAGTAGGTCTCAACATACATAAAGTGAAAAGCAAGATTCTCCGATACAACACATGCGTCAACCTAATCACACTTGATGGAGATACTTTGGAGGACGTAAAAAATCCTTCATGTAACTGGGCAGCATCATTGACGAGCAAGGTGAATCTGACGCATATGTGAAGGTGCGGATCAGCAAAGAAAGAACAGCAATTCTTCAAATGAAAAACATCTGGAACTCAAAATAACTGCCAACCGACACCAGAGTCACAATTTTCAATACATATGTAAAGACAGTTCTACTGCATAGAGCGGAAACTTGGAGAACGACCAAAGCCATCATCCGGAAGATACAAGTGTTCATTAACAGTCTTCTACGCAAAATACTTCGATTCCGTTGGCCATAAACCACCAGCATTACCCTCTGTGGGAGAGAACAAACCAAATTACTGTGTAGGGAGAAATGAGGAAAAAGCGCTGCAGTTGGCTAGGACACACATTGAGGAAAGCACCTAACTGCACCATAAGACAAGCCCTCGCTTGAAAACCTCAAAGATAAAGGAAAATAGGAATGCCAAGGAACACAGTACGTCAAGAAATGGACACAAACATGAGAAGAATGAACAGAAATTGGACAGAACCAGAAAGGGAGACCCAGGACCGAGTAGGTTGGAGAATACTGGCCGGCGGCCTATGCTCCATTGGGGGTAACAGGTGTAAAGTAAAGTAAGTAAGTAAAAAAAGTAACGTTCCATCACAGTTCTGAGCAGTAATATCTCTGCAATCAACTTCCAAATGATCTCATTAAATTGACTTAGTAAGCATATTAAAATGAAACAAATTTTTTATACGAAATACAATTGCAATTTTTTAACTATTAACTTACTGATTCGTCAACCATACGACATTTACTTGGCATTAATGGATTCTTTCGATATGCTACTGGTCTTGGCTTAGATTGATCTGGTAAATTAGTTAGGAATCATATTAAGGAGTAATATGCATGATATATCAATTAAATGATTGATTGTCTTCATGTAATTAGCTACAATAATTCGCTCAAGAAAGTTAGCCTATTAATAATGAATTAAAGTAGTATGATATTTTTATATAAAGAAACGTTGCAATTATACTACAGAATATTATTAACATTTAAAGAGCTTTTTAAAGTTGCTTTCTTTTTTATTGGTTATATATGAAATGTGTGAACTTGAAATCCTTTCAAGTAATTTATCAGACAATAGTCTCTAGTCTAGTCTAACTTTCACCTACGTTCGAAAAATGGAAACGTATCAATTCTATACAAATATTTGTTCAGTCGATCTAGAAGTCATTGATAGTGTACAGAAAAAACTATTAAATTATTGAAATATACCTGTAGTTCTGTGTTCTCGTTGTTTGAGGCATGATACTTATTGAAAATAACATTTGAAAAAGTTACGATCGTTCTGAAAATCGATATTTCTACGATCGAATTAGGGCAGCACTGACTGACTTAAATCAAATAAAAGATTTTTCAATTGACATTAATTCTAGTTTGATATGATAATATTAATAAAATGCTCCGATTTATTAAGTGTATACAATTTATTTCTAATCTACATATCATCTGGGATTTTTCGAATCGCACGCCTAACCTATTAGTATTATTATTATTATTGTTCAAAAAATGTGAATCCCATTGAATAAACGTAATTTAGAGAATTTCATTTCTTTGAGGAATTAAAAGATAACAACTGATGTATTTTAATCCTATTTCATGGTCTGCAACACTATTGTGATTTAATTTTGAGACAATTTTGAGGTTAAAAACTTTTGATGATGACAGATAAAAATAATCCTAATCAATAAATGTCAAGGTGAAGAAGAATCATACATACTGAGTCAGTTTTAAGTTAATACACTTATCAAGATATTTTATAAATATATATATATATATATATATATATCATTCACTTGCTTCAGATGAAAATTTATGTAACTTTTAATTCAATTATATTATTAGTTGCAGTGAAATGTTCACATTTCCTACTGTTCATTAAATAATGTCATTTGATATTGAAAGCATTCTTTTTTAAATTTAGTGTATAATACTACTGAAAAGTTTTGAAAAACTTTTTATGAAAAAACAAACAAACAAAATAATTAATTGTTCTTAAAAACTTTTCTCTTATTTATAAACACATTTATAGTTGAAAAGGATATTTGCTATTCGTGCACCATAACGAAATCTTTTTTGACAATTGCATTTGCACAGAACAGTTTGTGATCCTGATAAAGCTACATTGATCAATAAGAATAAATTTGTTTTCGGTATTTTTTTAATCCACCAACGTCTGGAAAAAGAAATATATTTTTTATGAAATGTTAATCAGTAGTATATTTGATCAAATATATGTAAATATATATATATATTTTAATGGATTCATTGGTTTTCAATCAAATTAATTGAACTACATCAATTCAGTATAAACACTCTAACTGTTAACATTGTTAATTTTAATATGAGCTAAATAAACTATTCCATCTATGCAAATAAGAATGACATTTGACTACATACAATTCAGTAAAGACAATATCCAGTCAACTCATATGAATTCTGTGGTCAATTAGTTGAGAAAAAGAAAACGAACAAACAAACAATAAAAATGTAAAAGCGCGGTTTGATTTTAATGTGAATTCCCATTAAACGGTTGTTTTTTTTCTGACAAAGATTTTGTTCATAGAATATTTTTAAATTTGTGTGTAGTGTGTTTTTAGATGAAATTCTGAAACTAAAGTTTTATTCAATAAACAGTAGTCAATTGAACGACCAAGTAGAATATTAAACTAATTAAAACACACACACACTCTCTCTGAATATTTAGATACACAAGGATTGTACTATTATTAACTACAGTCTATTATAACAGTTTTACTTCAATAGAATCATGTTATTTCTATCGCTCTAATTTAGTTCTTCCAACATTCAATTGATCACCGTATTTTGCAAATCTTCTCACTCTCCCTTCATATGACAGACAGTATGTGATTTTCATTTTTCATCAATTGGAATACATTTCCTAATTATTCATCTTTTTTTTTATGATAAGATCTTTGTTAAAAATATTCAAATTGTCTTCGATAGTTTTACTGAACTAAAATGAAATAGGCTTGATTAAATAGCTAGTAAAAGTATTAAACCTGTCAGACAATTAATTATCTCTCTAAATTAAAGTGTATCTGAAATTTAATTATTAGTTTTTAACTGATAACAATTGAAAAATAAACTTATACTAAACAATTAGAATGATTTTTTTTCTCCTTTAAAGACCATAATTTACTACTGAATAACACACATTTGTTATGTTTTGTGTGTTGATTGTTGTGTTTACTGAGAAATATTATTCGGTATTACATCAATCAATGTCGCTTAGCATACTTACCGTCCACCGCATTCATTACAATATTCACTTGTTAAATCTTTTTCACCAAACATTTCTTCATTATGCGTTGCTTTTAATGGACGATTATCACTCCATGATATTTCTAAGTTTTGTAATACAACATTATATGTAACAAATCTTTCTGTACATGGTGTCAACGGTTGTTTACAGTCTTCTAAACGACTAGCTAAATGTGGCATACGTTCTCTTACAACTTCACATATTGCTTCACATGCATAACGTCCAGTGAAGCTACTAGTTCCAGCTCCTGAATGACAACGTTGTTGTACGGATCGATGAACACATGCTAATAAACTACCTGGAACAAGTTTTCCTCCTTTGCCTAGTATACCAGAACCTAAATTCATTGTAGTTGCAGATGTTGATTCAGTGTAGTTTATAGCTTCATCTGTGTTGTTTGTAATACCGTTTTCTGATTGTGAATCTAGTATTGACTGAATTTGAGCAGTTTGTTCTTTCCGACATGTTTCTATAGCTGTTAATGCTCTCAACTGTGCATCATAAGGATCTTGATCAATCTTTCCAAAAAGTTCATTTATAGATTCTTCTTTTAATTCAGGTACTTGATTAATTTCTGATATTAAAGTAATATTTGTTTGATTGAGTTCTGTATTATTTGTTTTTGACATTAATTTTTCATTTTCAATAACTAATTCATTTTGTTTAAGATTATTTGTGATAGTGGTATGAAATTCATTGGTAATTAAATCTTGATTTCTATGAATTGATTGTTTCTCCTGTATACGTGTATACAATGGTCTTTGATGTATTACATTACTTGATAGTGAACTTTCATAAGGAAATTCATCTGATAAATCCTGATATCGATTATTCACATCATTGTTTTTTTCATCCATATTGTAATACATTAGATTTTGACGGATCATAAAATCTTCCGCTGGCGGGTTATTTTCTCCGCCTTGATATAGTGGAAACGTTTTTGTATAATCCTTGTATCTAAAATCTAGTTCCAAAAATAAACCACACTTTGTGTAACACATAAATAAATACTTTTTAAAAATAAAATACCATTTATGTAGAGTTAATTTAATCAATTAATCAAATGATAGACATCTTAATACTTTTTGTGGTTATTTCAGTGTTTTTTTATGTGGAAACATTGATATATGTATCATCACTTAAATTAACGACTATTACTTATATTTATTTCGTTGAATTTAAGATTCAGTTATGTAGGAAATCTTAAATTTAACACAGTGATTTTTAAATATACTCTAATGAACTGATCAAATACACGATTAGATTTGTCATCTAAAATTAAGTAACTTCACGGAATCGTATAATTATTGTAAGCTTCAGAATGTATGGCTTACATTTCTTATTAGAATATTGTTTCAAACTACTATTAAATTGCAACCGTAGTTCAATACCTGAAGAAAGCACTTTGATAATTTATGGTACTTCGAAGTAAACAGTTGCAATTTCATTTTCAAATTCTTACATACATTTCCGTTAGTGATTGATCAAAGTTAGACACTGACACAGTTGGATTCCGGCTCAGTGCTCTAGTGTTTAAGTGTTTGTGAGTGAGACCAAAGGCCCTAAGTTTGATGCCTGCATGCGGGGGGTCGTGTATGCGAACTGCTGATAGGTCCCATACTAGGATGAAACAAATGTCCAGTGTTTCCAGGTTTCTAATGATGTTCCGGACAATGACTGATTCATAATTGTAATGAAATTTAAAAATCTCCATAACTTGATAATGTAAAATTTGCCATTTGTGTTTTTTAACTGATTATTTCACTTAGCCAGAATAAAATTATTCTGTTTCTAATCCAGTTCCTAACCTAGCTTTCTCGAAGGGTATAAAACTTTGACAACCACAGCTATGATGTTACTGTGTAATTTTAGGCAGCATTCGGAGATAATGTAGAAAGAGTAACATAATTTACTCGACGTTGTATTATCTTGAATTTACTCACAAAAGACACGGAAATCACCGCTAACATTTCGTAGCATGTTGAAGTATCGAAGTAATAAAATTATGATGTAATATATTTAGTCATTTAAAATCTACTCTAATAATGAAATAGAAAGAGATTGTTTTTTTTTAAAATGTCGAATTTAGAAAGTACTCATTTAATATGCAGTTAGAGTTTTAAATCTAAATGAAATGAAATCGTAGGCAGTCTAAAGGAAAATCATATCATCAAGAAATTTTACACGAAATACTAATCAGTTTTTTTTCGTCTAATATTCTACACATCCTTCCAATCATTAAGATATAGTTTTTTGTGAGATTCCTTTTTCAGAAATAGTTGATAAATTAACTCAAAAATTAACAACCAACAATAATCACTGATAAATAGCTTAAGGAATCAACTAATATTTCGTTCAAATCTTACAAATGCAACTGTGTAAAAGTGAATCATTTGACCTTAATTCATTCAACAAAATGAGAATTATTTTATTCCACAATAAATTCACTTCAAAATATTCTCACTACAATCCAATGGAAAGAAAACAGTTTTGTGTGTGTATTAAGAAGATGAAAATTCGACCTGATTTATCAATAGACTCCTGTTAAATTGATTAGTTTTATGCAATGACATATAAAATTGTTTAAAATAAAATACTTCGGATGATTAATTCATCTAAATATATATATATATATATATAATGTTCAGTTCTCAGAAACAATTGTTTGATATTTTCGACAGTAAGTTGCCTTTTGAACCACTTAGTTAAGATGTATACTCTGAGAATATGTTCTTTACTGTGATTAAATTTCATACAGTGCATTTAAATTTCTGCATGAATTACAAATTCCTATTTAATTCAAAATAGCTATTTCTCAAAATGAATTACAAACTAAAGTAAGCATTTTTCAAACAAATGTGTATACAAAAAAAAACAACAAATTCAACGTTTTTCAAAACATGTAATTGAGTAAACAAATCATGAGACATATATATATATATATATATATATATATATATATATATATATATATATATATATATATATATATCAGGATTAGAACCTCATTCGTTTTATTAAAGCAACCTTTTTCTACGCTGTTACTTTGACTGAAATGACAAGAAATATCTAGTTTAAGTGCATTTAAAGTTTTGTTGCTTTCCAGCCTTCTTGCATTGAATCACTTTAAAATCGGATGTTTACAAGAAGCCATGAAAAAAGCAGAAAAAAAATAGCTTACTTTGACCGAATGTAATCCTGTACGATAAGAGATCGTCAACAAAACCAAGTATAAATCTATTGAATAATTCAAAACACAACAGAAACTACACTGAAACAAATTTCGAATAAATTGTCATGACACAATTTTGTTTTGTTTAAAAAAAAAACCCAGTACATTCAGATTATGTGCCTTGTGCTCCTTTTTTTGTATTATTATACATCTGTCTATAGTAATTCCTTTATATTAGTTTATTTTCATCTAAATAACTCTTATTCACTAAACTTGTCATTCATTCTAACAAAACTCTCTATGTGACAATGTATTGCTTAATTTATAGTTATTTACAGTAAATTAGTTGAAATAGAAAATGATTATCTTATCAGAAATAAGTTAACATTGTTTGTAGATGTGTGAGAAGAACTGTTTTTCATTAAATCACACTTAACTAATGAAATATCATGTAATTTATTGAGCAAAGAATCTGTACACGAGAAACATAATGCTTTTTATCTAGAAGTGAGCATAACATTTTTACTGTAGGAGTAAGTTTTCAACATATTAGAAAATCTGATTGTATAATCGCTAATCTTACAGATTAGATTCATTGTAATCTGTTTCAACGTTTATATACTCAAGAAGTCAGTTTTCATTAATACAAGACCGACCATTGAACTTTGAATTCTTGTTACAGGCTGTATGATTGGTTCTTATTCCTGATAGTGATTATAAGAAATCATTACATAGATTCCTTAAGCAGTAATAACTTCAAACGTACATGTCACAATGTTCTTTGTTCCAAAAGTGATGATAGAAAGTTAACTGATAAATCAAAACATTGTATCAACTAATCCATTAAGTCAAATGAGATTGTGGCGTCGGACGTTCGTTACCTTCGAGGTTCCGTATATCTCCGTCTTTGATGATCGCTACTAGAGAACACCAGTCGCTGCCATAATTTCTTTATTATTCAAAATACCTTAATGATCGATACAAACATCGGATTTGATTCAAATATGTATAGTCGATATTGCCGTCGAACTATTTAAACTGTTAGTTGATAAAGCTAGTCAAATAACTAACTATATGTGTAGGTGGTAAGTAATGCCCAAGCGTACATACGCATATAAGCTCAACAATGATAAAAGTACAAAATATTATATGTGAGATGCTACAAGGTTATCAAAATTAAAATATTTGTAGGTTTGTAGGCATAAGCGAGAAATTTCATTAAAAAAAAAAGTAATCAGTGTAAAAATCACTTACAAGGTTATTTCATTTATAAACCATAAAATTATTTTCCATACAACTTGAAATGGCTGAAATATGCAAAAGAGAAATAAGAAAAAGATAAGAAGCTTGATTGTGTACTACATTCATCAAAATCATTGAAAAGAAATCATACTTTCTTAATCACACTAGCAGATGAGAAATGGAGATTTGAATTTTATTTGAACATTGAATTGATAAATTATTCAGACTGACAACATAATTGAGAAAGGACTTGGTAGGTCACACGATTTTTCAAATCCATACGTTTATTATAGGTGCTTTATTTCATATGATTGGATTAGTGAATAGTTGAGAGCATGAATAATATAGTTAAACCGAAACAACGATCACAATAAGTATTGGCAAATGAATTTTAAACAGAATCAGTATCAAATTGCAAGAATAGAAAAGGAACAAGTATTGTGTAATTTAGGTTGTATTGTGTTGTCTAATGGACTATACCTGTAACTATACATAAAGAAAAAATAATTCTTCACATAATGAAACTGTCCTGAAAATGCTCTTATGGTGTATCAGTTGATGAAAGATTGAACAACAATAGTTATGCATGGGGAGAACAAGGTCAAGATGGATAATCTACTGAAAGCACAACTTGAAACAATCACTAAAAAGTAGATTGTATCTTAAAGGTTAAATAATCATATCAAAAGAATTCTAAGTAAAAATATTTTTAATGAATGATGAATCATAAAACACGATCAAACGTGTCAAGGATAAACCAATAATCTGACACCTTGACATTGAGAAACCATGTCATAGGAAAACCGGTGTGCATGAGTATCATTGGATTAATATCGAAATTCTGGAAAGGATACATTTTCAGAGTAAAAAAGAGTTTTTAAAAGTATTCAATTCTATCTGTGATTGACAAGCACATTCATATTAGACTATAATTACCAGTCCATGCCATAAAGATCAACTAAACAAGGTAGTTAACAGAATTAAACAAGAACATATAATCTGAACAGAACTTAATAAAGACAAAATACAACAACTATACAACTTATTTAGACATTGATTAAGCTTTAATGTTGTCTAGGAAAAGACTGAAAGTTATGAAGTTAAACCAATCAGCAAACACAATGCAATCGAGAATTAGATTACTTAAAATCTGTAATGTGGTGAATAACTATTTCATTTGTTGTAGTCTAAATATTTCATTATTTATCTCATATAACATCAAATATAAAACTTCACAGATTTCACATATAGAAACTTGTCATTTTATAATAATATCTCGTTTCAACTTATTGCTCGTTCTTATGAAGATTAAGTTTTCATTATCTTATTTATATGTTATATATGACTTGTCAATAATCATGGAGTTTTCATTTTTAGTCAATTAATCATTTACTGTAACATTAATGGTACTATCTATCGATCAGGTCAACATCATTTAACTTGGATCAGGGAAAAATCCTGATTTAAAACACTTAAATATAATTCAGTAAAGAGATGTATTTTTTTATTCTCTCTCTCTCTCTCTCAACTTCTGATGCTCCTCCATTCCATACTTCAATATGAAACAAAATAAGAAAAAACAGGTTGTGTAGTAAGATTGATGTAAGTACCAGTGAAAAAAAAATTGTAACCATAATTAATAATAAGCATAGCTGTACAAGATTTGTTAAATTTTTGAATGACTTGTGGCTGATAGAATGAAAATTATTTAAATCAGATATAATTTGAGTTTAATGAAAATTTTTGTATAGTTTTTGTTATCAAATATGTCGACAGAGTCAATCAGTTACAGCCTAGAACTTCGTACATTTGTTCACGTTACCATACCACATTAGCACATTGACGCAATTGTCAGTTCAAATGCCATAGTGGTAGAGATAGTAGGAGTACTTGCTTCAGATTTCCTATAGCTTTTTCAACTTCTTAAAGACTCGGAGGACTTATATCTATTTGCCATTCAGGATAACTGAAAATCGTGGGCAACCAAAGTGTGCATGAAGGCCAGTTAAATTGAGCCCCAAAGTGTTCTGCCCATTGACTCGATCTATTGGACTGAGAATAAATCATAAGCCAATCCTTTTCTGAGAAAGTCTTGCTAAAATATAGATTTCTTATACCGGTTTCCTTGATTTGGCGGAAAAGTTGTCTACTGTCGCCTATCGCCGCTGCGTTTTCTATCGCTCTTGCTTTCGCCGTCCACCACTGTTCAAGATCACTGCGTAGGCATTTTACCATTCTGTGCTTAAGCTGACTTTTCTCTTCATCGTTTTCAGAGCTAAGTGAGATGAGTTTACGAGCCTCTATGTGCGGTAGATGGTACTGAGATCCAAGGCTTCTCTCTAGACTTATAGTTCACCTTACTAGCAGATATCACTGCTGTTTACACAGCTTTTCGGATATCCATCAAAGCTGCCTCCGAGCGAGAGTTGCTTACATGGACGCCTAAATGTCTTTCTAGTTGCTCGAAAAATATATTCTTAGCTGTGTTATCATTAAGAAGAACCCCAATAGGTTTTCTTGCAGTCTTTCATAAGTGCAGCATGCCTCAAAAAAATACGCGCTCGCATCAGGGCATGATCTGAATCTAAACATGTGCCCCAGAACGAGCGACAGTCCTCTATCGAATCCCTTCATCGGTGGCTGATGGCGATGTGGTCTAGTTAGGTGCAGCGTTGAGACGACTTTGGAGGTCGCCAGGTCAACAGATGTTTTTCCTTATGCCTAAAGTTAGTGTTTGCTAGAAATAGGCAGTTATCTGAGCATACTTGTAACAGACGGTCATTATTATCTGTTCTCTGAGCCGCGACACCATAACATCCACCTAGGTGTCTTTCATTTTAACTCAGTCTACCTACTAGAGCATTAAAGTCACCAGTCATTATAACTATATCACGGCGCCTAGCTTTTCGGAGGAGGTCCGAAATCTTTCTGTAGAACTCATCTTTCACCTGGTCTGAACTGCCGTCAGTTGGAGCATAGGGAGACATGACAAAGAGGCAACGACGAGTGTCCCTATCTTTCCGAGTCCTTACTATCCTGTTCAGTCGGAAAGTGCACAGGCGACTATCCACTGGGATCCAGTCTAGCAACGCTAGTTCTGCCCTAAGACTAAGTGCTATACCTACACCAGCGAGACCCTGGGAAGCAGCACCAGGGCTTCCAAATACATGAGGAGTAAATCGAGTTGCTTCTTTATTCTGACAAGGTGAAATCAGAATAATGACTTTACTAAATTCCTGCATGCGCGTTTCCGAGACGCAGCACACACCGATTAAGCGAGATTCTAATGTCCTAGCTAATGAAGCCTGTTGCCCTATTTGACACAATGTCCGTACATTAAATGCTCCAACATGTAGTCTACAACGGGGTTTCAGGAGACCAGGATTAACGTTTCGTGAACTCGCATCGTTTGCATTAGCAGTGCAGGGTGTTAAAGGGATGTGAGAAGGGTGAGACGTGGTGATAAGAGAGATGTTAGGGGGTGTAGAAAGGATTTGTTTGTGACCGATTTGGTCTCACGTGCTGTCACGGGTATGAGGGCGGATGTCACTTCCCGGCTGCCCACACCATGGAAGGTTGTTTATTGAAGAACCTGAAAAGGAAGGTAGATTAGCGTTGGTTTTAGAGACGCTGGAGTGCGACCGCAGAGCCCAAAGGACAACTGCTTGAGGCCGGTCACGCACGGCCTTTTTACGAGAGGTTTTTTGAGTATTAGCTCCGCTCTTGTTTAGATTCAGATTATGCCCTAGTGCGAGCGCGTATTTGTTTGAGGCTTACTGGACGTAGGAAAGACACCGTCAGGAAGCCTCTTAGGGTTCTACCTAATGATAATAAAGCTGAGAATATATTTCAGGAGCAACTAGGAAGAGAGTTAGACAACCATGTAAGCAGTTCACATCCGGAAGCAGGTTGGAATGATATCAAGAAGGCTGTGGAAACAGCAGTGATATCTGATAGTAAGGTAAACCATAAGGCTAGAATGAAGCCGTGGATCTCAGTAGCATCCACCGAACTAATGGATGCTCGAAAACTCATCCCGCCTGGCTCTGAACATGATGAAGAACGAAGTCAGTTTAGGCGCAGGTTGACAAAAAGCCTACGCACCGACAGTGGGTGGCGAAAGCAAAAGCGAGAGAGATGGCAAAGTCGGCGGCGATAGGCAACAGTACACAACTTTTCCGACTTGTCAAGGAAACTGGTATTAGGAATCCTACTGTAAGTGCGACTATCTCGGAAAAGGATGTGACTATTATTTATTCTCAATCCAGGAGATTGGATCGATGGGTGGAATACTTCAGGGATCAGTGCAACTGGCCTCCAGCCACACTTCCGTTACGCACGACCTCCAGTTATCCCGAATGGCAAATGGACGTAAGCCCCCCCAGTCTACATGAAGTTGAGAAAGCGATAGGAAATCTGAAGCGAGAGAGAGCACTGGGTCCTGACAGATTGAACCCTGAGATATTTAAGGATGGTGGTCCAGTTTTAGCAGCTAGGTTGACTGAGATCTTAGGTAGAATCCGAGTGGTCCCAATCACTGATTGTCCTAATCTATAAGAAAGGACACAAGTCTTCTTGTGACAATCACAGGGGAATAAGTCTAACTAATATAGTATCTAAAATATTGTTCTCAATAATATTTTGACGCTTAACGAAAGCTCGTGAAGAGCAGACTAAAGAAAACCAGGCTGGTTTCAGACGTGGACGCGGATGTATAGAACATATTTTCTCACGACGACAGGTCCTGGGACACAGACACACTTTTAGGCGTCCAACAATAGTTGTCTTCCTGGACATAAATGCGGCATTCGACTCTGATGATCGTGAGGTTCTGTGGCAGTGTCTGTCATAATAAGGTGTACCAAACAAGTACATTAAACTTATGCAAGCTGTATATTCGAAAACCACCGATCGATTGAAAGCTTATGGCGAACTGTCACCGAAATTCTTCACTTCAAGTGATGTCCGTCAGGGATGTCCACTTTCTCCATTCTTGTTTAATTTTATCATAGACATGCTCCTAGAAATTACCTTATCCTCGTCTGAATTTTCGGGCGTAGACCTTCTACCAGGTGGCTCGCTTACTGACTTAGAATATGCCGATGACATAGTCCTACTTGGTGAAGACGCTGACAAAACGCAGAGTCTTCTGATCACCCTACGCGACAATCCGAGCATCCTCGGGATGCGGTTTTCCCCCTCGAAATGCAAAATGTTGCTTCAAGATTGGGTTGCATCGGCACCTGAACTAGTGATAGGGAGTGAAATAGTCGAAAGTGTAGACGCTTCACTTATCTTGGGAGTCTCATCAGTGCCGGTGGCCTGGTGACTGACGAAATCTCAGCACGGATACAGAAGGCCCGATTGGCTTTTGCCAACCTGCGTCACTTATGGCGAAGGCGAGATATCCGTTTGCTGACTAAAGGACGAGTGTACTGTGCAGTAGTTCGCTCCGTCTTACTTTATGGCTGTGAAACATGGCCACTCGGAGTAGAATATATTCGTAGGTTACTGGTTTTCGATCATAGGTGTCTTCGAAGCATTGCTCGTGTATCCTGGGACACCCGAGTGAGCAATGCTTTTATTAGGAAACGGCAGATCAATAGATGAAGTAATAAAACTTCATCAGTTGAGGTGGTTGGGACATGTGCTGCGAATGCCTAACCACCAACTGCCTCGACGAGCTTTGTTTTGTAGTGTAGGAATAAGTTGGAAGAAATCTAGGGTTGGCCAGACCAAAACATGGCAGAAATCCATGAAGTCATTGACGAGTGGACTTAGACATGTCGGTAGTTGTCGACTACCTGTTTGGGGTCCGCGAGATGATAATAATGGATGGTTAGATACCCTGAATGACATTGCTCAAAACTGTTTGCAATGGTGCATTTATTCTTTGTGTTTTCTCAAATCCTTATCTTCTGGATTCTTCAACACCTCTAGTTTTGTATTTCTAAATTTTTCTCACTGAATCATACTTCATAAATAATATCTTCTATTCCTAACTTCTCTGATTACTTCTAATACCTTAACTACCTCTTCTACTATTGGATTTGAATTGACAATTATATCTCTGTGCTAATGTGGTATGGCAACATGAACTGATGTACTTACGTACCAAGTTCTACGTTGCATCTGACTGACTGACTCTTTTTTAGAAGCCCTTAGTGGGAAGCCTTTACCGCCGGAGTCGGAAACCTGTGTGGTAGGGTGAGGTGTGACATTTTAGGGTCGACGTTTTCAAACCCTTCCTTCCTTGTGAGAAGGCAGCATCGCTGCAGATGGTGGTTGTCCGAGGGAAACACCTTACTGCTGCTGTCACACCCCTTCTGCAGTCATCAGTACGACTTCTCCCTCAGACCTGGAGTAGCTGCTGTTAGTCTCATCGTTCTCCAGTCGACCTGCCTGGCATGGTAGAACTTTCAGGAACATATGTTCCAGCCAATATAGATCGGTTGATTCATGACGGCAGGCAAGCCCGATCACGACGACAATGTTGCAGCTGTTGTCGGGATATTTCGCTAGAAGTGTGTTGAGACGCGGTAAATCTCATATCGTCAATTTTATCTGTCACTATTACCGAAAACATAGATATATGGTTGGTCATTAGGTTGTACTTCTGCTACTGTACTTAACTTCAACAAATGTTTGTCTTTACTAAAATATACATACACATATATCCGATGGAACTTGTAAGTGAACATATCATAAAGAAATTACTTACTGGGTATAAATGATTTCCGAAATTAGGAGTTTCTTGTACTGTTTCAATGCAGATTCCTTGGAAATCGTATAGATATGTTCTAGGAATTTTTAAATGAAAAGAGAAGTGATCAGATGAAAAGCGTAGCTGTAAATAACTTCTGTTTGTCTTTAGAGTGAGAAAATGTTTAAAACCAGAAAGTAATAACAGATATTCGAGTAAGTAGTTAGACTGCTCAAATTTCAATCTTTTTCTGCTTTGATTTAGGCTACCACATAGTGTTGTGGTGCGAGCTACTTATAAATAGTATATGACGTGAGTGTCAACGTAATGTCTGGCAGCAGAAGATGGGGGAAGATCAAGAAAGGTAGAGTTAGAAAACAATGGAATTTGTAGGAAACGCATGAGTAGTGATAATGGATTGATGTTTTACAACAGGAACAGTCCAGTTCGATATGATAAACTGATATTTTGCAAATTAACGATTTACGATATGGTTTTTGCGATTTTACTGAGTAACTCTATAATTTTCGTTAAATACAATCCGGTTGCCCCACCTATGTTCTCATTTACTACAGTGTTTCTCTTAATCTTACACAAACAGTGTAACTGAAAGCTGACTCAACTTATTCAGAACACTAATACACGATGAAACATGTGAGAAGGTTTATGTCATGTCAGTCAGTCACTGATAATCAAAGACATCATCTGATAAAGATAATGCACTTCAAGAGACTAGTCAATCAATCAATCAATCAATTGTCAAACAATTTTACTTACTCATTCAATATTGAATGATTGACCAAATCTTCGACTAGTGCACAGTTAATTTCTTTTAGACTTTGACCCACCTAAAATCGATGTGAACACGACAAGAAAATAGTTTTATCCAATGAATCTTACATTACTAACACATGATCATAATAGTACTAATAGTACAAATATCTGACAACAAATATAAAACTACTTAGAACTGTCCAGCTCAGTTGAAGATTGAGGAAGGCTTAATTAAAGATGAAGAATGATGTTTCATGTCTATGAATCGATATTTTTTAGTACACTTGAAAAAAATCAGCAAAACTCTTTATGTTATAGGGTTGTGGAGATTGTTGAGTTACACTTTTTTTCAAATGATGAATTCATAAATACTGACCAATGCTCATGCGTCCCATACCACAGTGTAATGGTCATTCAGTGCTTCCAGGTTTCTTTTAATGTTGGTCTAATATTGAACGATTCATGATTTCAAAACTCTTTGTATCGATAGTTGAATAACCAATCACCTCAGAAATGAATCATGAGGTATCTTAAAAGTGTTTTCCTCATTTTATGTGCCTAAAACCTTCCAAGTTCATGCTGAATCTTTTTTTCTCATATCTATTTAATAGCTTGCACAAGTTCTTTTGTGTACTATAACAAATCATAACAATTTGAGTCAGTTGAAGATTTTGAAGTAAAATTTTATAAAAAATGTTAGAAGACATTAAAATGTTGAATTTTGAATACTTAATCTCATGAAAGTTGAAAATTAATTACCTCTTTCTCCCCTACATTTGATACTAAAACCATTGCGGCTTGATTGATAATATAGCAGTCGAAACCAGGATCTCCACAAACATGACATTTTTCCGTTAAACATGTATTCGTAATACGATTAAATTCATTTTGTATTTCTGCATGAGTGATTTGCAATCCGACTACACCCATCGGCGCTTTACTTGGTTCATGAAATATTGTAGTTGTTACAGGAACAGGTACATCTATCTTTTCACTGGAAAAATGACGAAATACTAAACAGGAAAATAAATTTTGAGAATTCATAAAACTTTATGAAAAATAAGACCAGCATTGCAAACAAACAAAACAAATTGTAACTTAAATTATTGACTCCGTTTTTCAGATTATTTACAAAGTAAACAGTCGGTTTCAATGGTTCTCATCAATGGCTGCATAGTATATAATCACACTGATACAATTCAACAGTCTTCTAAAACAACAAGTGTATATATATTCAATCTTTGAATTCTTAAGTTGGAACAATCCAATTACACCAGTGTAATAATTATACGGTAGCGGACATGAAAATGCACCAAACTATACCGGTATAATAATTTATTCTGAGTTTTGCGATATCATAATACATTTGTTCACTAGTCTATGAGGATTTTTTTTTGATGATCCAATGGAGTCAATCAATTCTTGTCAGTAAAGGCTAGTAGAGATAGTTGAGGAATATTGGACTCATGAACTGATCATGTTAGACTACACCAATGTAAAGCAGTTAGTATCAACGATCCGGTGAGTAGGAATCAAGACTAAAACGCAAACCTCCAAAATTGTGCCCCAAGATTAAATAATTGTAAATAATTTTAGTGATCAAAAACTTCCTGCACTAATAATCTGTAATGTTTTGAGAATTTGTACTTTGTGACCAAATGAAGAATTTTTTTAGTTGAAATCGTTTACATGGTGCTGTGGTTAAACGTTTTACATTGGTCAGTTCCAATAGGTTTTGTTGTGGTAGAAAATGCACACATTATCTACACAATATAATTATCGATGATATAAACACATACACACACATACACACACAAAAAAAGAATAACTTGAATGAATGCAATTGGAATTTTCACACATTCCATATAAACTTACAATCATTTGGTGGTGGATGAAATACAAGAACATTATCATCAGATAAATATCTGCTAGTTTGAACAGTTTCTGAATACAATGCATCTTCCACTCCAGCAATATGATCTGTGATGAAATTTCTAAAATTCAATTGAACAAAAGAAGAAAAAAAAAAGGTGGTGATATCAACTGATACAAACAAAATTATAGTTGTCTATTAAATGTGAATTCTCATCATAAATCCATATGATTGAATATCAGTCAGTAGATTGTTTGTATATGTACAATTGAGTAGTGATAATTGTAATATATCTTCTATATATATATATATATATATATAGACATGAAAAACACATTTATATTCAAATTTTTTTAGAAGCAAAAAAAAAGAAATAATTGAAAACAAAACCAAATGAAATCAATTGTGCTTTATTATTCACATTAGAAATTAACTAATACGCACACACGCACACACACACACACTTACGGATAAGCAGGTGATGTGAAATTATAAAAACGAATCAAACCACTATGATGAAATGAAAAAGCTTGTTGAATTTTCCATCTAAAATAAATCAATAGAAACAATTCAATGTGAAATGATCGACCAACAACAGACAGAGCAGTAATAGTTATGTTGACATTCTATAGGAATATGAAATTTCTATGATAAAGTAATGAATGATGTGAAATTCACCGAGAGATTAATTACGACATCATTTTCAGATTGTATTTGGGTGTAACTAGAAAAAAAATTTAACTGAATTTTATCATTGATAATTGTCCTTTTTCTTTTTTAAGGTTTTTGAAAAAAACAACCGACAATTTGACATTTGTTATCAGTTATCTTCAACAGAACTCTAGTGGATATTATGTTAATTGATGAAACTGGAATAGTGGCTGAGATGTGTCAACATTGAAAATTCAACACAGTGATTTTCATTACCAACAGAACACAGAAATGTGGTAACATGGATAACTGAAATGAATATAATCATAACAAAAAAAACCCCATTCGAATTGTTCATTGTACAATTCATATGGTCATGTGGTCATGTGGTCATCAGCTGACGACTGATTAATCCGGTGTTAATCAGAAGAATATCAAGTTTAATTCTGCTGTAGATAGGCCCTTATGTATGAATTAAAGTTACCTAGTCGTTAACTCAATCAATCAATCAATCAAATCAATGATTTGGTACGGTTTGATTTGTCAGACAACATTAGAATATGTCTTGTGTATACCGGTGACAAATTCTATTAAAATTAAATAAAACTTTCAATTAATTAATTAATTAATAAGAATATTTTTCATGATAATTTTTTCTTGTTAGAAGACAAATAAAAGTTTTTTAATGGTACAGCTTAAGACAATAGTTGATTTAAATAATTGAATAGGAATTAAACATGTCATATGACATTTAATCATGAAGATACAATTGAACAATTCAACGGTGACTTTTTCCAATTATAAGTGGAATTAGAGTTTATCATAAATGTAACAGAGATTTCAATAAAATGTGAATATTATAAAAAAGATTCTTTAATTTATTTCATGTATTTCCTTATATTAGTTGAAATTCAGGTAGTGTTGCATAATGAACTATTGAATTTCATATGATAATTATTGAAATGTTAAAAAATTAAGTCAATATCCCACAAGTTTAAAATTTTCATTGTATCTTTTTGACTGTAGACTTGAGAAAAGAATTATTACTAGTGAGAATTATTATTATTATTATTATTATTATTATTATTATTATTATTATTCAAATGAATGAATGAATAAACATAAGAAAATACAATGTGTATTTTGCATTAGTCAGTTGATAGATTTTGTTTTAAGGCATTTCAGATGTAACATTTGTAAACTTTAAGATATAAATATATATACGTTTTATATTTAATTAAAGCATAACATACTTAGTAATCAAAGTACTTTTCGATATTTTATACCAATAGGCTGGCAGATCACGAGTTTCTTTTGCATCTAGATATATTCGACCAAGATACTCTTCATCACCTAAAAGATATCGCAAAATATGATATATCGACTTAGTACCTTTTAAATCTTCATAGAAATCACATATACTAAACTGTACTTTCATTCATTCAGCTTTGAACCAAACTGTTTCTGAGTGTATTTATACAACTTGGGTGCTCAAAATGAGAGTGGAATTCGTACCTATGTCTTGCTGATCAGAAAGTCGAACATTCCATTCTCTAAAAACTAAAACTAATTCATTTCTTAATACTAAGAATGATTACTGAATGTCTTCAACAGAATAGACCAATTCGTTTCATTTTCTCAACCGAATGATCAGTGAACACTAGTCACATAAACAATCGATAGCTGGAAATAAACATGACTCTTCTATCGAAAGCGAATAAAACACTTTTGAGATTTTTTAAACTGGTTTAGAACTAAATAAAAGATACTTTTGACCAATGTGTCAAAATCGTTCTCTGAGCTAGTTGTTTTGGTTGTGCAGCTTTCATTGTTCTTCTGAACAACATCATCAGCACAAACTTCAGATAGAAGTGAACCATTCGAATTTCTCCACGTTCGACCTGTAGCTTGTTCTGCTAACCTCCATCTTGATTGGTTGCTGTTGACCTTAAACCTGTCGTTGTTTGCAACTTTGTTTTGATTGCGTACCCCTTTTGATCTGTTTCTTGATCCTATGTCACCTATGATTTTCCTGATTAGTTGATAAATTGGATCAATGTCGATGTGTTTGTTAATTGCTGATTGACCTGAGTGTCAAGCTTCTAGAAATTCTCTAGTTTTCTTTGTGCTCCCCCTATCCAGTATTTCCAATATCAGGACTCATTGCGGAAGCTGTAATGCAGAGACTAGAGGCGTCGGTTTCACCATTGATCAAGTTATGTAGACGACACATTCGTCATTATTAAAAGGAATGAACTGGAGAAAATCTACAGTCGGATCAACAACATCTTCGATGACCTAAAATTCACGATGGAAAAGGAATCAAACAACAGTCTATCATTCCCGGATGTACCAATCACCAGAACTAACACAGCAAAACTGGAGACTCAAGTATTTCGGAAGTCAACTCACACAGATCTTATTCTCGACTACGGTAGCAGCAATCCAAGAACCCACAAAATCAACTGCATACAAACGTTGTTCAAGAGAGCGAAGACACATTGCAGCACGATGAAGCACCAAAAGACGAGGAAAAGCAACTTATGTCTATCTTCCAAAAGAACGGCTAACCACGCAACTTCATCAAAAAACACCAACTGAAATCGTCAACAGAAGCGAAATCAAGCAAGTACAGGAACCAATCAACAGATCATCCTACCATACATAAAAGACATACAGCACGACTACTGAGACCATTTAGAATAGGTGTGGCACACAATCCAACCGTATCACTTCAATCGATCCTATGTAGAGCAAAGGACAAAATGACAAAAAGGAAGAAAGACCAAATATCATCTACGAAATAAATTGCTCGGACTGCGAAAAACACTGCATAGGACTAAGTGGACGGCTTCTTCATCAACTCCGTTTACGTGAACAGCAATTGGCAGTGAAAAGCCACGACAATTCTTCGCTTATACCAATACACACGGACAATTATGGACACACATTTGATTGGAACAATGTGGAAATACTGGATAGGGGGAGCACAAAGAAAACTAGAGAATTTCTAGAAGCTTGACACTCAGGTCAATCAGCAGTTAACAAACACATCGACATTGATCCAATTTATCAACTTATTAGGAAAATCATAGGTGACATAGGATCAAGAAACAGATCAAAAGGGGTACGCAATCAAAACAAAGTTGCAAACAACGACAGGTTTAAGGTCAACAGCAACCAATCAAGATGGAGGTTAGCAGAACAAGCTACAGGTCGAACGTGGAGAAATTCGAATGGTTCACTTCTATCTGAAGTTTGTGCTGATGATGTTGTTCAGAAGAACAATGAAAGCTGCACAACCAAAACAACTAGCTCAGAGAACGAAACACCACCACAATCATCCATCTGAGCTGCAAATTTTCAGCATTTTATTACTAAAATGGTTTTGTATTTTTTCACGGGACAAATTTGATGTTCAGAGAATGATTGAACAGTTGGATATCACAATTTGAACCTTTCGGTGTTAATTCAACGGACGAAAACGAATGAGCATGAATAATGATTCACTTGGTAGTATAATATGGTAAATTTAGAAAACAAGCATTGTACTTTAACTAACAAGAATATTTGACCTTTAACATTAAAAATTAGCTTAAAATGGATAAATGTTATCTCAAGTAATCTGATGTGCGTTGATATATATATATATATATATATATATATATATATATATATATATATATGAACAATTAAACAAAACATAATTGTCTCACATTTCAATTTTTCGATCATAGACGAGTTCAACAGTACATTTCTAAGTGCACATAGACGATCATTTAAATAAAGTGATGCCAAATCATTGTTAAATTGACAAAATTCACTAGATGATAAAAAGTAAACAGTATCCCATCAGTAGAGAAACCATGTTCGGTTCAATGGATAAAGAAGTTTGAAATAATAATGATAACTTTCTAAACGATTTCCTGACTACTGTAGCCATTGATATTTGAACTGCAAATAATACTGGTTGATTTATAATAGAAAAGTTAAATTATTTGAATAGTATTCAAAACGATTGGAAATCTGTGTGAAACAAAACAAATTTACAACTGGATTTCTGTTCATGTCTCATTAGAATGGAATTGTTCTTTATAAAATTTATTAAGAGCACTTTGATTATAAGTAGCACACTGATTCGAATCCTTGCAGATATCTTTTTGAGAAGTATAAGAAGCACTAATAAAATCGATAATCAATTCACACGTATGTTAATGATACATTTATGACCTGTGTCAATAATCATCATTACACTGTCAATTCTTAATATGAGATATCTAAATATTTTTATTTACAATAGAATATTACTGTGAGATAGGTTATTTTGTAAAAAAACCTTTATTAATATGAAGTATAATAATAATTTTTATCAAAACAAAACAAAAACAAAAAATGAAGTGAACAATGCAAAAATTTGAATCACATCCATTCATTCACAATAGGCTGACCAAAAAACAGCCTTATAGTTAAGTCAACTCTTTCAAATCAATCAAGTAGGAAAACTAGTGTCAGAGGATAAAATTGGTATATTAATTAACCATAGTTCAATGTTGTTTACACAACAACACGGTTATTCTTTAAAAAATTTGTAGCCAATTATGAAGAGACTAAAAGAAAGGCAATGAATTTATATTACAATTCTCAATCAGTCAAAAATGGACTTGAGATATGAAAAAAAAATTAGAATAATTAGAATAATTGTCATTCAAAAAAGAAAAAAAAACAAAAAATAAGCAATTCATGCTGTTAACTGTTAGAATTAATTTCTTTGTATCAAACATTATTGTTCATTGAAACGAATGCTCATTTTGAAGAGAGAAAAAAAATACATGAATGAAATAGGAAAGATTGGTATAACCCGGTGCAGTTCATCAACAATTACAGTCACAATGGGAAAAAAAATCACTATCTACATATTTACCATGTAAGTGACACTCTCACCTACATGTTTATTCTAAGATTATTAGGCAGGACAATTCAAAATAATGTTCAATGCAGGATAGACATAACTACTAATGTTTTCTGTTGATTTGAGATTGAAAAATAAAAAAAATAACACTAAACGATTCACTTTTTTGTATCCATTGATCCAATTACTTCGAAAGAGAAAGTTACATTAGCAGATAGTTTAGCAAATTACTTCCTCTTATCAGTAACCTCTAAGTGTGACTTAGTAAAATTGTCTAATAGAATGCGAATATGCAGTAAGTATAAGTCAACTATTTATAATGATCGATCATCTGACTGAATGAAACTGACAAGTTTATTGTAGTTTCCTATTAACTTTCCTAAATGTCAATATAAAAATCATCATTTGAAATGTATGTGAATGAAATTAAAATAATTCCAACCTTTTGTTTAGCCAATATTAGCGCATAGTTTATATCTAATTCACTGACAAAATTACAAATTACTACCATGTCGAATGAAATAAATTTTGTTCACTTTTATGCATGTGATTGAAAAGAGAGTGTTGTTATAAGGAATTGAATTCTTTCAAATTTGTCAATTTTATATGAAAGAAAAATTCAATAAAAAAAAGAAAACGAAAACATAAACGATAAAAAATAATTCACTAAACTACATTAAAATAAATTAAAGATAAAATATGAATTTAATTCAAAGATAAGAGACATGGAGTGTTCAGTTAATGAGTGTTAAGGATATGACTTATCTCCTTTAAAGTCATAATTGTTTTATCATGAAAATAAGCCAATAAAACAAATTAGATATTGTTAATCTCAGGGGTAATTTGATTGTTCAAATATTTTGTCAACATGATCTTAAGTGTACCTGGAGTGCACTTTGAAAGTTGAAATTCAATCGAATAGTTACTTATTAATTTAAATAGAAGAAATGCTAAAGAAATTTATAATGTAAGTAGAAACAATCATTTATTTCATCAGTGGTTTTTATACTTTCAAAACCTAAAAAATTGAAATGGCATTGAATGGTGAACAGTAAGAAAAAGTATTGTTTGAATAACTAACAGAAAAAACTTACTATGGAATTATTGTTGCACCAATCCGACTATTATTGTTGTGAGTATCACATTTTGCCTGTTGATCACCATATTTCGGAGCGAAACAACTAAAATCATTTACTAAGCATACAAAATACAATTAATACAATTTTCTTTATAAGAATAAACTGTTTTTGTTTCTCTAACATTATTTTTCTCACTATTATTATTGTTTCAATGTTAGTTAACTGCAATCTTCATCACTTTGTCCAATCGATAAATAGTGTTTATTTGGAATCCAGACAGTCAGTGACATAGGTTGAAAATTACACAATTATTTACATGCATGATTTGGACAGTTTCAATGATTGCTTTTCATGTTGTCAGTCAGTCAGCCAGTCAGTCAATCAGATGCAACGTAGAACTTCGTATGTAAGAACATCAGTTCATGTTGCCATACCACATTAGCACAGAGATGTAATTGTCAATTCAAATCCAATAGAAGAAGAGGTAGTTAATGTATTAGAAGTAATCGAAGAGGTTAGGATTAGAAGATATTATTCAAGAAGTATGATTCAGTGAGAAAAGTTTAGAAGGTCAAGACTAGAGGTGTTGAAGAATCCAGAAGATTAGGATTTGAGAGAACACAAAGAAACCTTTGTTAATGTCTACACTTGAATGATTATCAAAAGTCACTGAAGAGATAACTACTTCGATTCATTCTACTGATAAAATGAAATACAGCAAGTAATCATAGTTGATACATGAATACTAAATTCAGCAACAAATTTAAAATACACGGAGTGGGAGTTTTAAAGATTTAACTTGTGAAGCCAAACATATGACTTGCAATAGATTTTGAATATATTAGTTTCAGAAGATGATGAATGATATTTTGAAGTGTCCACACTGAAAAAAAGAAGTTAGATAATATTTCTTGATAAAAAGAATAGACGAAACAATATGCTCGCTAATGACTGGTTTCGTGAGGAAGACGTGACCATTAGAGTTCAACCTTGTCGAGTGTAGGCAGTAACTACTAAGGAGAAATGAGTGAGGTCGCACAAAATCCCTAGATTGATCAGAGTCAAATATTAACACCATTGGATACCTGCCCAGTGTCCCAAAGGTTAGGCATTCACGTGCATGACCGAACGTCCCAGGTTCGAACTCTGTGAGTTGCAGGAGTCATTGATGCGCACTGATGATGAAGCCCATATTAGGGCTTCTTGGTTTCTAATGGTGGTTAATTAATGACTGTTTCAGGGTTTTCAGTAATGAACAACAATCTCAATTACTCTAAGTGAAGAATAAACACAAACCTTGGAATTCAATATAATCAACTGTCTGAATACTGAAGGTATGCAGATAGCTCAAATTATTTTGTTTGAATTTCCAAAAGAAAAGTCTTTTGGAAAAGTTAAAGACACTGAATCAAGTTGTAATGTAACAGTGCAGAATATCACGGGGATGGAAGTGAAAAATGTTTTGAAACAAGTAAACTTCCCCCATCAATTCTCTAATCTATTTCGCTTAACTTTCAAATTTATGGAAGAATCTTCGTCAAATGACGAAAACTATCATTGAATCAATTGATAAAGATATTTTGGACATATGAAATCCAAACTGTTTCTATTTAACGATTTAACTGATCATCTAAATATCATCTGTCAAGTTCACAAAGCTAAAACATAACATGTATGATGAGTAATATCATATTCCGAAGCTCCATTTTTAACTCTGGATGGCTTTCATCTTGATACAAAATCAATTGTCACAATGTAATCTTAACAACTGAACAAAGAAGAAGATAAACTATGGTTAGTTGAAATTTAAATGATCAATACGAAGTAAGATGAACATGTGAATGCACAACTATGCAAAATTACACTGACAATGGAATTTATTCTTTGTTAAGCGTTAGTCTGTTAATGAGGATATCATTTCAATGATAAATGTAAACTTTATTGTACAGAAAGAATAGTTTCATACATAATTTGCTTTAATCAAACAAAATTCTACTTATCTAATTATTTTTATGTCAAGAATATCAAAAGATTTACTGAAATCACAAGATCATTTCATTTCTGTGGATCCACTACATATATATATATATATAAATTTCAAATTACTCAATAACAAATTATTGATAAGTTTAGTGATAAAATAATTTCGAATATCAGAGATTGGTGAATAATTAAAATAAAGAACAGTGTATAATATCACACACATAAGCGATTGTTTTGTTATTTGTGATAAATATTATTGGAAAGATGATGACATTGTCAATTGTTCTTTGATGTGTTTATAAATGGTTCTGTTTTTTAGTTCTTAGCCATAGATCATACATAGTTTATTAGTTAAAATGATACAAAATACCAATTCATTAATACAAAAAAGAAACATTTTTATTCTGATTTTCTCTAAACGATACCCCTTTTTTTATTCTTTTTTTTTAATGATTAATTAATTTATGCTGACTTACTTTGTAAATTATTCAATAATTCTTTTGAATTAAATCGATATTCTGGAATTGGATAACCTTTTTGAGTGTTTAAATCCCAGTGAATCGCTAAGCCCAAAGTAAACGGAGTTTGATCAATCGGTGCTATGAAGTATTTCTTATGAGCTTCAAACATAGTATGCTAAAGATTGTGAGCAATGAAAAATATCATATTATGTACATTAGAAATTGAAATTTTCAAAAAAATTTAAGCATTTTCCTATTCATCAGCATGTCTCATAGATTAGTTTTATTTGTTATTAAAATGTTTAGTGGATTCACATTTCTCACTTGATAATTAAAGTTATAAATTTGTTTACTGCACTTCAAAAATTGATATTTCACAGTTGACACACCCATTCTAAATTTAACGGTTCCAAATTCTACTAGTTAAATGTTTTGAAAATAGAACAGAACTACTGTCCAATAGCTTCCAATGAAAACAAAAAAATCACTTTGAGGTATTCGATGGAAATTAATTAAAATTGAATACGAAAACACTATTCACACATATTAGAATCACTTGTATCCTGTTGGATATTTTTATTTTGACTGGAACCTATTTTTTTCCGAATATTCTTCAAAATTAATAAAAAAGCTAACATTTAATATATTGTTCTATCTTTTGTTTGCAACGTTGAGAAATTCTGTAAAATACCTAGTAATACAAACAGTGTCACATTAGGCAACAAACTGCAATAACCTTATCACTCAAGTATGACTGGTGGCCATTGTAATAAAATTGTAAACATAATTTAAAATACCGTCAAGGATGGTGGTGTTGATTTATTGTTCGGATAAACAGTATTCAATACCTATAAATGAACTGAATCACGTTACCGTTTGTCTCTGAATGTCCAAATGACCTCAATTATATAATGCCACATTAGCCTGAACAATAATATTGATACTGATCGTTCCTCGCAAAATCCTGTGACTGGCTGTGGTGAAGTTTCGTTCTCTGAGCTAGTTGTTTTGGTTGTGCAGCTTTCATTGTTCTTCTGAACAACATCATCAGCACAAACTTCAGATAGAAGTGAACCATTCGAATTTCTCCACGTTCGACCTGTAGCTTGTTCTGCTAACCTCCATCTTGATTGGTTGCTGTTGACCTTAAACCTGTCGTTGTTTGCAACTTTGTTTTGATTGCGTACCCCTTTTGATCTGTTTCTTGATCCTATGTCACCTATGATTTTCCTGATTAGTTGATAAATTGGATCAATGTCGATGTGTTTGTTAATTGCTGATTGACCTGAGTGTCAAGCTTCTAGAAATTCTCTAGTTTTCTTTGTGCTCCCCCTATCCAGTATTTCCAATATCAGGACTCATTGCGGAAGCTGTAATGCAGAGACTAGAGGCGTCGGTTTCACCATTGATCAAGTTATGTAGACGACACATTCGTCATTATTAAAAGGAATGAACTGGAGAAAATCTACAGTCGGATCAACAACATCTTCGATGACCTAAAATTCACGATGGAAAAGGAATCAAACAACAGTCTATCATTCCCGGATGTACCAATCACCAGAACTAACACAGCAAAACTGGAGACTCAAGTATTTCGGAAGTCAACTCACACAGATCTTATTCTCGACTACGGTAGCAGCAATCCAAGAACCCACAAAATCAACTGCATACAAACGTTGTTCAAGAGAGCGAAGACACATTGCAGCACGATGAAGCACCAAAAGACGAGGAAAAGCAACTTATGTCTATCTTCCAAAAGAACGGCTAACCACGCAACTTCATCAAAAAACACCAACTGAAATCGTCAACAGAAGCGAAATCAAGCAAGTACAGGAACCAATCAACAGATCATCCTACCATACATAAAAGACATACAGCACGACTACTGAGACCATTTAGAATAGGTGTGGCACACAATCCAACCGTATCACTTCAATCGATCCTATGTAGAGCAAAGGACAAAATGACAAAAAGGAAGAAAGACCAAATATCATCTACGAAATAAATTGCTCGGACTGCGAAAAACACTGCATAGGACTAAGTGGACGGCTTCTTCATCAACTCCGTTTACGTGAACAGCAATTGGCAGTGAAAAGCCACGACAATTCTTCGCTTATACCAATACACACGGACAATTATGGACACACATTTGATTGGAACAATGTGGAAATACTGGATAGGGGGAGCACAAAGAAAACTAGAGAATTTCTAGAAGCTTGACACTCAGGTCAATCAGCAGTTAACAAACACATCGACATTGATCCAATTTATCAACTTATTAGGAAAATCATAGGTGACATAGGATCAAGAAACAGATCAAAAGGGGTACGCAATCAAAACAAAGTTGCAAACAACGACAGGTTTAAGGTCAACAGCAACCAATCAAGATGGAGGTTAGCAGAACAAGCTACAGGTCGAACGTGGAGAAATTCGAATGGTTCACTTCTATCTGAAGTTTGTGCTGATGATGTTGTTCAGAAGAACAATGAAAGCTGCACAACCAAAACAACTAGCTCAGAGAACGAAATACCACCACAATTATCCACCTGAGCTACAGGGTTTCTCCGCCATCTCCTGTGACTGACCGCAGTCATAAAAAGTAGTAAATCCGCTTATGATGTACTTTTATGTGAGAGGTTTTCAGTAATAGCCTAAGCAATGGAATGTTTAATATCCAGTTAATTTATTTCTGAAAACTCAATGACATCGCTGATCATTTTTGCTAGTGAAATCCAGTGTACGTAAAGAAGTAAATTCTTCCCTAAATAATGACTATCTGTACAGAAGTAAAATCCGTCTTTAACATCTTCGAGGTGACTGCCAGTCCCAAGCCTCGATTAAGGTGTATGGTAGGTTATGAAGTTAGCGAACCCATCTCGTAGATAACCACCTCACTAATAAGCCGCCTAACAGAAGAAATAATTCAAACCATTTGAATTCTGAACTGGGAGTTGGAAGGTCTTCATTCAGAATACTTTTGATGCCGCTGGGTTTCTTCGGAATATCACGGCGCTCTGCCTCTTCTTGCGACCGGCTAAACTGTTTCCACAGGAACTTAGAATATCCACACGAGGTAGGAGAGTGGAAAAAACCAACCAAGTTGCTGCAGAAATGAAAAGATACAATCTGGTGGTACTTGTAAACAGAGGAACTCATTCGATGCACGTTGGACAAATAGACTAAAATCAGGAGATATGCTGCCATGCTCGAGTCGTAAAGAAGAAAATGCTTCATATAAACAAGGAGTTGCGCTGACGATATCCAAACAAACACAAGAGACACTGGTAGGATGTGAATCTCATGGAGCCCGGATCCTCAAAGCCTCCTTCAAAACAAAAAAAGAGGGGATTACAATGAACGTCGTCTTGTGCTGTGCACCTACCATTGACTGCAATGAAGACGTTAAAGATCAATTCTATCAAAGGCTGCAGTCAATCGTCGAGATGCTCATCAAAGAACTTGACCATTCTGATGGTAGACCTAAATACCAGTGTTGGAACGGACAACACTGGATACAAGGAAATCAGGGAACGGCATGCGATGGAAACGGTGAGAGATTCGCAAACCTATGTGGCTTCAACAAAATGGATAAAGGCGGAAACATATTCCCACAAAGTTACACAGGTTTCTCCGTACTTCACTACACAGAATCAAATCAATCACATCTGCATCAATATGAATTTCAGAAAGACCATGGGACACGTAAGAGAAGCTGATATAGCTCCAATCACCACTAGGTCAAGATGAAAATGAAAATACAGAAGCATCGGATAACAGGAGAAGCATTCAAAACGTTCAACACGGGCATTCTTTGGGATACTGACAAACTCAACGAATTCGAAATGGCCCTCAGCAATAGGGTTCATGCCCTCTGCAATCTACTAAATGAACAGAAATCTACCATGGAGAACAATTAGAAAGAAATCGATGAAGCAATAATTTCAACATATCATGAAATTCTGGGCCAAAAGAAGCATCATCACAAGGAATGGATCTTTGTGGATACTCTGGATAAAATGCAAGAGAGCAAGAACTGGAAGGCAGCAATCAATAACAGCCTAACAGGAGCAAAGAAATCTAAGGCGCACGCCGAATACTTATAAACAAACAAGTAAATGAAGAATAGCATCACAGCTGATAAGCAAAAATTTGTGGATGATCTAGCAACGACAACAGACGAAGCTGTAAGGGAATGGAATATGAAACATCTGTATGATACATCGAAGAAGCTTACTGAAATATCGTAAACCGCAATGAGTTTTGCGGATATAACGTCCCGAAAAATTCACCTGAATGATACTCACCACTATACATCGACAGCGTTTGATAACGTGAACAGGATAACATTATGGCCTACCTGAAAAGACTGTCAACATCAACAATTTAATTCAACATTTCACTCCTCATAAAAGTTTGTTTTTTCTGATTGTGATGCACCAGAACCATATTTGGCTGGTATTTGGGTTCTGTTTGAACCGCTTTTAGATCATGTATGGAATTATCTTATTCTAAGCCAAGAATTCTATTTTCAACCATTCAAGTGAATAGTGAAGTATTGGAAAATAATTTAATTAATTATTTATATAATCAGTGTTATTACATACATAATTGTCGACTACTATATTGATATCCATGTCTATGGAAGTTTTCTCTCGATTGATCATTGCAATCCTTAACTAAAAAAAAAAATCATTTATTCAAGGAAGAAATGTTAACTGATAAATTTAGAAAAAAAAATGTTTTTTTTTGAACATGCAACCAGACAATATAAAAGCCGAATAGGTTGATCACTGAATTCTTTGAATCAGTGAAAAAGTTTCTTATTTATTTCTTATATTTTTTTTTACTCAATTATTCAATATTTCATTTTTCTGCTTATCATATTCCAAGTAATCGAGAGATTAAAGTATTCGTTAAATAATTTTAAAGGTTCTAAATAAAAATTTTGTGAATGAGACAATGTCACAGGCCTGATAAAGTATCTCTCATTGTATTTCGCCAGATCTATTTGTTCATTATATAATTACCTCAATAAAAGTATACATGATCATACTGAACTGTGGAATATAAGGAATTATAACTCTTTCAGCTAGTGGTCTTGACTTTCATTTGAATTCATTAAAGAATTTGTATCAATCAGCCTCCTATCTTTCATGAGTAACCATTACTTGACCAAATCATCTTGAAAGTGAAAGTTCTACTCTCAACCGTTACATTCACTGACTAAATAAACAGGAAAATGCTGGGTTATTGCACACATCAAACATTGAGAAGTAATTGCACTACAAATTCACTAATGCATAAAGCCGTGTTTTTTTGAATGAATCTGAGTCTTTTAAATTAAACAGATCACAAAAGATAATTGATATTTTAAAAATCTTTATCTCTAAATTGGATAACTGAGGGTTGGAGAAGAACTAGGGCATCAATTAGCGTTATGATGTGTATTTTCGTTTATTGATCAGTGTGTCATTTGGTCACCAGTTCAACACTGATAATCGATCATCAAACTGGAGAGAGAAATAGACAGTACAAATACTATTGTAATAACAGCTTAATTAAATGAGCTTGATTACAGGTTCAGTGATCAATTTCCTCTATTTTACCGCTCCATATTACACACAAAGAAACATTGTTTTGATTTCTTTAGTAAATTCCTTGAATACTTCTTATCGATGTACAAATTCACTGTTTCAAAATCAATCACTAAATTGAAATATGAATATGAATAAAACCAACGAAAAAGTGATCGTTACACAACGTCGGAATTTCCGATACTGAGCCGTGCAAAAAAAAGATATTTTCAATGGATATCAAGTAGCGCAATGTTGTAGATAAAAACTAGCAAACGGCAGGGTTGAAGTGATAAAGTAAACAGTTGATATATAAATTAAAATATTTTTTCAATTATTCTCATGAGGCCTGCTTTTCCGTTTTTTTGTATCTGTCTTCCCAGTTCAAATTTTCCAGTCCTCTTTCTTATCGAGGTGATGTTTCATCAATTTTCAAATCAAAAAAGGTTGATTTAGACACTGAGATAAAAGTAAATAACGGGACTCCTAAACATTTCATGTGTAAGAAAATAGTTTATGTGATCGATATACTTACAGTTGTATTATAATCTGGCGTACCAGACCACTAGAAATCAATAAAAGGAAAAATGTAGATGAGTATAAGTAAACATTTCTATACAGAGTCAAATTAAAATTACAAAATCTTCTAAAGATTCTTAAGCAGAACTTCGACTGAGTTAAATAATCAATGAAAAGTAGAAACCACTGTCAAATCGTCCTATCACAGTATGAGATGTTTGTTTCTTCAGAGAATTTCATTTGCGTTAAATGCAATTATCATTAATAGAATTTAACAAAAAAAAGGATGTTCTGTAGACCAGGTCATGGACCAAGGCACTCTGTAGAGAGAGAGAGAGATGTTAATCGAGAGAATTTGTTCAAAAAATTGATGAAATAATTTGATGTTATCCTGTGATCAAATTAATTTGATACAAACGGTTGGTGATTATTCTTCAACCAGCTGATTAGGTCTACAAATTACTTCACTATGGGTAGAGGTTTCTAAGAGAATATTTCACATGGTTAAATTTGTTGATATTCTTTACAGCATCTCAAGATTTTGTGCGTAAGTAATAAAAGTCTTCGTTGAACTTGCTGCTTAAACAGTTGTTATTATCATATTCTTTTCTATCCAGTCTACTATTATGTATGTTTATTGCGATTTCTTATCTGCTCTATTAGTACTGAACACAAATCTTCTGCTTATTTTAGAAGCGGTTAAATGAAATCAATTACCAACGTTAAAAAACTTATGGATCATTTCAAATCCTGCTTTGTATTTATCAATAACACACTTTTTTTGTGATAAAAATAGGTGTATTATGTAACATTCGATCATGCTCAAATGCAACACAGATTGGAGACAGATAAAACAATTACATTTTTGTACTGTAAATGTGAGCGATAAGTGTGACTGAAGATTAGATGAGTGATGTACTACTCATAAATTACCTAGACGAAAGTGAAATATATTATGTAAGAGAATCGCGTTAATCTATAATATTTTCAAGATACCAAATTTGATATTTATGAAAGGATTAAAGATCAATGGAATCTATCTTCCATAAAAACTTTAAATTTCAAACGAATTCAGGAAATTTGGAAATAGACATCACAGTTTTTGAAAACTATTCATTTAATAATAAAACAGTATCAGTGACCACTAGGCTGACTATACAAGAAATATTTTGAGTTCAAACTTACAGGATCAATTTTGACGTCCTTCATTACTTCAACTTCGTTTATATCAACATTTTGGTAGTAACTTTTCAAAAGAGCTTTGTACTATAACATGAAATAAACCAAAAAAGGAAAGGATTAGTCAATTGCCGTTACAAAAATCTTCTTTTGTAGTAGTTGGTATTGTTATATTCCAACATAATTTATGGTGATTTTTGAACAGTTGAACTATCCTGCTATTTTCACTGATTTTTTTAATGAACACATACGAACCTTCAATGTATGCTATTTTGTTTTTATACGCTTACTTATATCTAGCATACCTACCATATGTTGTGTTATATATTTCAACTAAATTAAGTATGCAAGTTTGCCTTCTCTACTTCGCATCCCTTATCAACTCTGTTCATGTAAAAAAAAAGTCTGAAATAATTTCTTCCAACTAATTTCATATTTGTCACTCAGAAGGAGTTAACCTAAGTAAAATGTATGGAATCAGACAGTAGCCACATCTTCAACCTTTGAACACCAAAAAAAACAGGAATCAAAACAATGATCAACAAAATGGCCACTTAGAACGAGCTTTTTGAGTTTTTTCTAAGTAAGTAATTGGCGTTGCTTTTCACTAAAGTCTAGTTCATCGAATAATAAAAATGTACATCTTAAAGGGAGACATTTGCCTCTTTTCTTCTCAAATAATTCAACATATTCTTGAATCAGACAGAATTTAACGTCAAGTTGTTGTAACACTGAATTTATTCAGTCAAGCCATTTACAGTATCAACCATGTTAATTAACCCAACTAAACCCGAAATGTATTAAAACGGTTTCACTTGCCTAGATTTTATGTGTTAATTAAGTGAGTGTGTACGCCAAATAATAACCTAGAAGACCGTTAGTCTGCAAACATTTCATAAACAAGACAAGATTTTCACGTCAAACTCGATAAGGTGGTTAGTTCTATAAGGTGAGCCCAATTATTAAGGCTATACTAGAAATGAGTTCAAGTTTGAATGAGTAAAGTAAATGTTTAGATTTTGCGTTGTTTAACTAGGTGCTTTATCAATGGGATATTACAAATCTGGAGATCAACAACTACATAGTTTTGAGTAAATTATATGTTACACCTAGATATAATTATCGGGCTTTTACTTTCGACTGAGTATTTTTGTTGTGGAAGAAAATTTCATAATTATTTCAAAGTTTGAGTCAAAACATCAATAGACTGGACAAAATTAGTTGTGAAACCAACCAAACTTACAACAGGTCGATAATCTGGATGGAATAAAACAAACCCGTTATTATCCACAGCAAATAAATAATTATTGACACCAATCTATAAAAATGAAAATTAACAAATAAATGTTGATTTGATATAGCAGAAGTGTATTTAAAGTGATATTTTGGAACACTGAAAAGATCTCTGAAAGTTTTGTAACAACTCAAACCGACAACGGTTCACTGTAATAAAATGCGTGCACTTTTCTAGATAATTCCAGGGTTTCCTGCAAAATCAACCATAAAGTTACTAATTCAAACTGGTAGATTCTACTTTCTTATTATCATTTGAAGATCGCAAACAAAGGTTCAAAAAAAATCATCCTTTTTTTAATTAACATCTTAATTGTAGGGGTGGTACAGAATTTTCGCTAAGTAGCACACATCCATAACATCAACATCATCAAGGACTTTCTTCATCGTTGTTCCCAAAATGTCATCATTGGTAGAAGTGGGAAATCAGTTTATTAGTATGATATCACTGAGATGGTGGATAAAACTTGTAGCTCAGGTGGATGATTGTGGTTCTTCTTCTGAACAATGAAAGCTCCACAACCAAAACAACCAGCTCAGAGAACGAAACACCACCACGGATGATATTACTCTCATTCATAGGTGCCCACTGGGCAATAGTTTATTGTAGAAATCCTTCAAACAATGCTCAAATTAAATGTTTTGTTTTACCCGAAGAGAGAATCTACATGGACAAACAAACGAACAAACGGAATGACCGTGAGAGCTCCAGGGTCTCTGATAGTTGTTAATTTATGTATGTTCCATATTGATAGTTTTGTCCATTCTATCATACCATGCTTCTAGCTTTGATATGTTGACGGTATATTTGTCGTCATTAAAAAGATATTCCTTTGAAATTCCTCTTATCTAAAAAGACATGCTCAATTCATAACAAATTTATCTTCGAAAGGGAAGGGAAAGGAGTTCTGACTGAAACTTAAATTTAACTATCTGTGGAAAAATTACACATTGAAATCTGAACATTGACTTCAATTCTGCATATTCATAGAATGCAAAAATTAACCTGAATCTGTTCAGAAGAACTGTCAGTCATTAGCTCAGAAGTGAATAAACTAAAACAAATAATAGCTTACTATAAAATATATCTTACAATCAAATAATTTTCTTTGCAATATTTTTAGAACAAAGCGCTCTATCTTTACATTTCAGTGTTAATGAAACACTGTTGGTCAGTACCGTAGTTTAATCGTGCCATCATAAACAGATTGGAGAATTATCAACTTATATTGAGACTATCATGAAAAAAGCTATTTCATTAGTTCAACGGTTTAAATTAGGAAACAAGCATAATTTCATCAAGCAATCAAAGCAAACTTCAAAATGATAGAAAAATTTAAAATTCCAACCACCACAACACTCCCATTCACAACTGTTCAGCCTAAGACGTATTTTGATCAAACAGAATATTTTGCCTGGTCCTTTTTACAAGTTAATCCTGTCAGTTTGTTTATTTTTAATCAGAAATGATGAATAACAATTAAATTACAAAACGAATAAATCATTTTAATTTCTATTCATTAGGATAATAAAAATCTATCATAACCATCAAATTTGAACTATGAATTCATCTAATTGGCGAGTTTCAAACGGGACAAAATGCATGTGTTAGATTTCACCGGCTTGTCACGATCCATTCATGATTTTAATGCTTGTGACCTAATGGTTATATTGTGCACATATTTCCGAAATTAAATTGATCAGTTGCAGTGCTAATCATCAGACCACTACATAGATAAATGAATAATGCATCATTGAAATTTTCGCACATAATTTTGTTGAACGGTATATTGTTAATCAATTCAAAAATGTCAACTTATCTTAACAATCAACGTGTTACTCGTATACCAGGTGAACTGAAAATGTAACGACACATGAACTTAGCCTGATAAGGTAGAGATAATAAATTATCTGAACAGGAAAATATTTTATTTTGAAGAGCAATCCGGCTTATTAACTATGTTCTTTTACTCGAAAATGTAATAAAATGGCAGTACATATATGTATGTTATTGTTTTGAGACCGAATATCAATATCCAGAATTTATCCATTACAAATTTACACATGTACAATAAATTATATGTTTGAAAAATTTTTTATTAACAAGTAATTTTATCAACTAAAATGACTCTCCGTTGATAAATAGAAATTTTAACTTGACAAAAGTCTTTGCTTACTTTCCATCCACGTAGTGTATCTTGAAAAGTTTGTAATGGTACATCAACTCCGGCAACTCCAAGAAGATTTCCTTCCTTTAACCTTTTCTATAAAAAAGGTTAAATGATACGAATATTTAAAACAAAATCAGTTCTCTAGTTATAGGTTATAACTGACTGTTAGAGTTCAAAGTTTTTTTTATAATAATGAAAGATATATTAGTACAGAGATCATTAATGATCATACGTAATCGTTTGTACATTTTCAGTATTACTGAAGTTAATGAAGGCTAAGAGCTAACATTCAAACTTGAAACACTTTGGAGAAATATGCATTAATTCTACAAAACGTATTGAATTCTAAAGCTTAAATCAATATTGAAAACAATTAGATTCGTGTAGTTGAGTTAACAGTAAAAGCAAAGCACTTCTAAGAGTTTATTCAAATTTTTTCACAAGAGACAGTGCATAAATTGTGTTAATTGACTCAATAAAACGATAGTAAACTATAAATTATCCTGCTCATAGGTTTCGAAGTCGACTAGAATGACGTCAGGTAGATGTTTTTAAAACTTTACTATTTCGAAATCAGTTTGCTTAAAGTGTTCGATTTACCTGACATGGATGAGTTAGCGGTAATCAAGGTAACTCATATTATCACAGGTTCTGATGAAAGATCAGATGAGGTTTTAAATAATTAAACATTTTAAATCTTCTCACTCATATATTTCATGTCTCTGACTACTTCAATGACTATATCTGTTTTTCCGAATGAAATTATTTTAATTAACATTAAAAAATGAAACAATAAAATAATCATTCCTGATGAATAAATAAACTTAGTAAAACATTATTCAACTTACAGCTTTATTCGTTTTATCATAAACAGCTTTAGCTAATGATGTATACATTTTAGGCAATTCTTCTTTTGATGCAATCATAGTATCCTATCATGATGAACAGCATAAGAATTTAAAAACAAAACAAAAAAAATTGTTTACCAGTATAAAAAGAAAAAACAAAAAGAAAAAAGAAACAACAATCAATCAATCAAAAACAAACAAACAAACTGAATTGAAGGAGAATGAATGAACTTAATCGATAAAACAACAGATAGTTCTGTTCATTAGAATACCTTAGTGCACTAATCATCTATAAATACATGAGTTTTAAACATTGAATTTCTGATAAGCATTATATTTAACCATTTAAAAGATAAACTATACAATTATTGTCTGACAAAATTTCTATTCTAACCTATGAGTCAAATTAAGTTTATATTCAATAATAGTTTAATAAATTGTAAAATTAAATTTCTTTAGCCTGATCATAAAATGATCAATAAAGATATTTGAAGAGAAAACAATAAAAGCGAAATCATTTAATGATTTACAATTTTAACAGGATCTGGCTCTATGAGCATATTTTGCATAAATCCATCCATGAATGAACGACTAGGAGTATTCTGAAAAAAAAACAAACCAAAACAAAACAAAAACAAATGAACAATTATAGAATGTATAATTCCAATTCAGTTAATCACAAATTTCAACATTATTATGTCAATTAACATTTATGATTGTTGTTCAAATGTCATAGAATATAAATAAGCCTAAAGCTGTTTAACGCTTTCATTTTCTATAAAATACATACATAGTAGTGAAAACAATAAAAGGCCCAGACAATATCATAATAATAACTTAGATTTTAAGTACTAGCGCTGAAAATTCCGACTTTGATAAATTTTCAACACAAATGTCAAAACAGTTCTATGGTACATGAAAGAAACTTGCAGAACTACAAAATCTTTCATCCAGAAGATACAGCTGTTTAGTAACAGTTTTCTACACAAAACACTTCGGAACAGTTGGCCAAACACTATCAGCAACAACCTACTGCTTGAGAGAACAAACCAGACTACAGTTGAGTAGAAGATCAAGACGAAGACCTGGAATTGGATAGGACACTCAGTGAGGAAAACACCCAACGCGTCACTAGACCAACCCTCACCTGGGATCCTCAGAGCTAAAGGATAAGAGGAAGATCAATGAATATATTATTCCGAAAATTGGAGACAGACGTGAAAAGAATAAACAAGGAATTGAATAGAATTGAGAGAGAAGGCCAATGATAGAGTAGGTTGGATTATGCTGTTCAGTAGCCTGTCCTCCATTAGGGGTATGAATTTCACACATCACAGTTCCAGTCAGAATCCCTCTTACTAGCTTAATCAAAAAATGAGATAAGGTTGTTCAGTAACGGTGATTACTGTGTTCAGCAACAAGTACAACAAGTGCTCGTGACGGATGAGAAAATCGTGAATCTACGATATTTCAATTAATTTAAAGTGTGATTCTTCTGTGTTTGAAGCATTTGATTACTCCAAAAGTGTTCATCAATAACTATCATCAGTGATACAGGTGTATATCACTAAACAAAAGGAAGCTACGTTTTGCCCTCAATTTGTTAACTCTTTGATTGTAAGAAAGATGTTTATAACAAATTTATTATTGAATGGAAAAGGATTATCTAGTTTTTCTGATGTTAATATTTCAGAGTAATTTCAGAATTTTCTACAAATATAGCGATCAATCAATTCCCTCAACTTACCATAATATAAGGATTCGAAAAATTTTCCGGTTTCAATTTCTAAAAAAAAAATAATCATCATGTAAAATTAACGCTCAAGAAAATATTGAATCGATGTAATGTTATTAACTGTATGGGTGGAATCGAGAACGCGAATACATCTACGACTTGTTACTCAATATGGTGAAAATATATATTGTATTATAGATGAATCAATCTCTTGACAACTTTTACAATCGATATCTAACAGCCGAAAACATTCAATTGGACTGTGACAACAACATAAGTAAGTATCGATGAATAGATGAGATTTTAATTTAACAGAAGAAAATAGTTTAATAGGAATAGAATTTATAAACAGTAATGAAATAAGATAACATTGCTACTAGTAATATAAATAAAAAAAAGGAGAAACATTACGATCAAGTAGATAGATAAGATTAAGATGAGATTCAGGTCAGTAAAATTTTTGAAGTACTTGAAGAGAGTACCTGTACCTGAAGAGTAAATTTGTAAGTAAACAAGCACTCATTCAACTGTTTTCATACCTTTTCTCTTTCCAAATTATTATAAATTGATCAAAAGATTCGTACTCCGATTCCGAAAAAAGAAATATTCTAAATATCTTATCTAGATACACAGTTATTTCTTATTTCATGGTGTGTTTTGGTGCTATTCATTACGTTCATCAGGTAAATTATCAAATTGAAATATGGTGATAGAACGTTTGGTTCATTCTGCAATTGGATAAGGGAATTCTATGTAGCTAATCTGCGTTGCATAGCAGATTATTTAGTCAAAACATAAGCACAGTTGTTTATAGGACTGAATCAGTCACTCGAACTCAGTCATAATAAATCAAACAGTCATATCGAGTGATGGAATCCTAAGGATATTTTATGCTAAATTAAATGCTTAGAATATTTTGAGCCAGTTTGAATAGCCTTGAATGTTGAATGTTGTCTGACATTTTACTGGACAAATGCAAATCAGAGTAGATAATACGTTTTCTGTCCGTTCTCTTATTCTGTTAATGTTGCTAGTCAATATTTTCAGAAAACGTTGTCTATTCTATTATTACGTACGCTAACAGTTAAAAGTATGGATTTTAATTTCTTTAATATTATCAGTTGTAAATTTCTATACCATATTAGCCTACTACAATGATGATAAGCGGATCGAAAAAAAACATTTCTTCATTTAGATTGAATCTTTCCTTGCTTATTTAATGATTAATAATTGGTGAAGTATTCTGAGCACGTATAGTGATCTCAAAGTAAAGAAGTCGTAAAGACTACGAGGATAGATCACTAATCTATTTGGGTTGTAAAGATGGTGGTGAGGTTCAGGTCATCGAGGTTGGTGAAACCCCATTCGGAGACGCCAAGTGGTGTTTCGGGAAAAGGTATTCTTTCGAGGCACACAAACCTACTGCGCGGACGTGTTTTGTAGGGGACTATAACCCCGAGAATCTTGGCACGTAGACGTCAAATTCATAGCAGAGACACATCAGTTTTCGCCTCACATATCTCATGACATACACAGAAGCACACTCATTCTAGTGGTCAAGTATGCAATAGCGACACACTGAGAACAAACAAACATGCATCCCTTGGTATATATAGAGGTATAACTGTTCCCTGGGAAGCAGATGGTTGCCATATTAAATAGACTGTCTCTCATATATTACATGAATACCGCCGATACTGAAGCTTTCACCTAAGCACTTCATGACGTACACATAGGCACAAGTAATCTATTTGCCATCAATATTTTTACTTATAGGCATTTAATTTTTGATTTTGGTGAATTTTTATGGTCTCGTATTTTTCTTTAGGGCAGACTATTTAGCTAACGTAAGTTGTGAGAGCTCACGGGTGTACCCTTTGCATATATCTACGTACATAAATTACATGAGCTGAGACCCATGCAGTTCATACACACAAGCATACATATAGGGCAGTCCCTCTGGTTTTCCGACTAGAACCTCGAAAGACTATGGGATCCGTTACGGTATTGGAGTGGATGGTTAGCCCAGCCTCCACCGACCGCCCGAATTAGCTAACAAGGTTGCCCCCAGGTGTGAAACGATATAATCTTATAATCTTATGAAAACAAAATATGAAATTAAAATCTCTGAGTTCTATTGGGAAGACTTGACCCGTGAAGTTCAACCTGTTCGGGTGTAGGCAGTGTCTACCGAAGACTGTGTATGAGGTTGCGCAACTCCGTGAATTGATCAAGTTGGACATTAACACCGTTAGATACCGCCTCAGTGGTCCGATGGTTAGGAGTTCGCCTACAATACAGAAGGCCCTGGGTTCGAATCCTGCGGGGTGCAGGAGTCGTGGATGCGCACTGCTGAGGAGTCCCATCCAGGACAAAACGGCCGTCCAGTGCTTCCAGGTTTCTAATGGTGGTCGAACATTGATCGATTCATGGTTACAAAAAAAATCTAGTTATGTGTATTTTGTCGGTCTGCAAAAAGATTTTAGTCATCAATAAACAGGATGCTTACTTTCAAATTAAATTGACGGACAGTAACTCCAGTCCATATAAAGTAAGCGTCATCTTGTAAGGCATTGGATCGTGCAATGACATCCAAATATTTCTGGTATTAAAAGATGGAGTGTTTTAATCAAAAAAGAAGAAAATACATTTCAAATATTATGATGCCAAATGGTAATCAATATTTTATCAAGAAATAATCACTTGGTCGACAGCATTCAAAATCGGAATTCGCTTCAAAAAACAATTGATCGATTTGATTGTTCACAAAGATCAATTTTGTTGTAACGTAAAAAATTGTTGGGCATTGTTAACAGAGTCAGTCTCTACAAGGATGAATCGATGTCACCATACAGACTTGTTTTGATTCAAACGGCTGTTCATGGTTGTAGGTGCATGTAAGATAGAAGAATTTATACAGCGGCAAAAGTACACATATGACCAACAAGCCAAAGCTTATAATTTTAGTACCACAAATTTGTTGATCTCTGTTTCTGAACATTTTACTTTTCAGATGAAAAAAATATGATTTTTATTCAGTGTTGATCATTACCGGTTATAGTTGAGATTTTAACTGTTTATTTTTAAGACTATCGTGAGACAATTCAAAGAATCAGTGTATTAGATTAGTAGATTACCGTAACAAGTTCTATGTCATCGTGCATCAACAGTCATATTTCATAAAATGGCAAAGTGGTGCAGATTACAACAATATGATGTAATAATAAATAAAGTGGTCGATTAACGACTATTGTTAAAAGTAATATTAGAGTAATGTAAGCAGAGGTTTTTGTGTTTGTATCAAACCAATTAAAAGTAGATAAAACCATCTCTGTGTGATGAACAAACATGAATAATTCCGTTTGTAAATGTTTCAGCATGTTTGGTTTACACACTTAAAATCTCATATAGTTCTTCTTTCATGATACAATTTTATTTATTGAATGGAAATGATTAATACAATGATGAAATACTACATAGAAATCATCAAGTGTACACAGAAAAAAAATGCATTTCTTAGTGTAGATGTATGAGGCCTTGAAAGTGTTGTGTTACACAATCAATACTAAATGACCAATGAAAATTTTAAAATCTCACCAAAACATTCTCTTTTACATCGGCTAATGTGGCAATATTGACAGCATAACCTGTAGAGAGAAAAAACATTTACAGTGTAATTAGGTAAATTATTCAGAATAAAGTTAAACTCATTTGGTGATTTATACAATGAATAGTAAATTATTTGATACAATGATTATAAACACAAATGACTGGTTTATACTACTAGCTGATATTTTTCATCCAATCCTTTCTCTCTCTCTCTCTCTCTACGTAATTCATCTATGAAATAAATTGAACTACATGTTTCTTTTAAAGGAAATAACGATTCATCAATGACATTTTAGACTGTACAATTTCTTGAGTTCAATAATTAATTCACTGTCAGTCAGTTGTTGTAAAGAAAAATGTTATTTTCGTGCAAAATTGAATATCTATTGTATTCGACAGAACTTACAATTACAATCCCATTCAAGATATCGAATGATCAAGCTTTAAAAGTTATAATCCTATGCATGAGATATATATTTATTCATTTAGTATTTAAATAACTAATAAGATTCTAGTTGTTTTGAGACAGAATATTGAGTTGCATTTTTTTTTGCACATCTATTCAATATCAACTGTTTCACATGTTGAATGATTATATATATATATATATATATATATATATATATATATATATATATATATATATATATATATATATATATATAATGGCTAGTAATTTTTAGTAATCACACATTATAATACATAGAATAAATTAAGTCAACTTCACCTTCAATAACCTAAATATTTTTATCAACAATCAAAAGGGCGATTAATTGTTTCCATGACTATTGTATTACAACAGACAGTATATAAGGAGATAGGTGTACAGATTACGGCTAAAAGAGTCAGTGTTATAGATGCGATCATTTCTCTAATGAATTATTACATTAATCTATGATTAGGAAATCAACATTGTGTTGTATAGTAGATCAAACTAAATGCGATTGACCAGGTAACTAGTACCGAAATCCATGATTCATGTTGTGTCATTTCGAACGTATCAGTTAGATGTGCCCATATGCATTGCTGATGTGTTCACACTAACACCTGAATCCAGTGATTTTGGTTTCAATCACTTAACGTGCTATCCACATAACTACTGACTCCAGTCAACCAGTGACTTGTGAAATGGGTTACATTTTATCTCAATCTCCCAGTTTATATGTCAGTAGATCCAACTGACGAGTTCCGAAGGGAATGGAACATGAGTCATGTATTCGGTTATTAGCCGCTATCGAACTGTCCTTATCGATCAAATGTAAGTTTAAGCAGACTTTATTTCCACAGTAATAGACAGGAAGTGTCCAGGTTAGTCACATACTGTTGACAGGACAAATGATAACTGAAAAGTGAAAGCTTACCCGGGGTTACTGTGGGTGAATTATTCATTTGGTACAGCTCACTTTTCACATACATTTACTTCGGTCAATTTTTGGTATTACTTGCATGTATGTGTAACTTATAAACATATTTATTCAGCCTTTGACACTAACCTATTTTCCACGCATTCTAGTTTTTATTGATAGTATTGATAAAGTGATGTACTAAATTTATAATGTGAAAATATTTTACACTGTCAATCAACAATATCTAGAAAAAAACAACAACAACCGTAAGCCAGAAAGTTTGTACGGTGTTCCGTGTTTATATTTTGTTGCACACTGTTGTACTGAGATGAAATACGTTCCCACTATTATTTTGTATTTAATGGTCTGTAATTAAAACTGACTTTCATTAGTTCGAAAGGTTACATCGTTAATACATAAATTGCAAAATATTTATAGTCAACTCTATGTAGTTGTGAACAAATGTGACAGTGGTTCATAGTTGTGAATAGATGTTTGTAAATAGATATTTATGCACTAATTAGATCCCTTGTTTACAATTATTTCGATTCAGATAAAAAAAATCAAACAATTGAGGCTATAAATATGCAGTTTTATTTATTTTCTGCTAGCGATGATCGCATCACTTACTAATAAAGTAAGACATATATATTTGAATTACAATTTAACCAATTACACTAATATACTAACTATAGTAATACTCAGTTATAAATTTCCAATTGTAATTTTTGACTAATCAATTACCTCGATTAAGGCATGCAAGTTCCTGCACATATTCTTCAGCTGATGAATGTTGACCAAGTAGATAGGTGAATACACGTACGTTTTTCTATATATAGAGAACAATATTAGAGAAAATAAAAATTTTGTTTGAAACGTAAACTAATAGAAGATGAAGAATTCATTCTCTAAGTCAAATAACATCATAAATAGTATTTGTTTGATTCGAGATTAAGCATAGAAAATTTAAAACAAATTCGTTTTATTGTAGAAACTCAATCACCCCTTCTCGATGCTTTGATGACCAAACTACTGAGTTTCAATTCCCTGTACTAATCATTCCTGTTTCAAGCTCAGATATGGTGTGCATAAATATATACAAATTAATTCATTGGCTATGATTATTATTCCCAATTCCTAGATTTTTAACTTTGGGGAGTTTAAACTAGCACTTTTAAATCAGTCATTGCAACGATTGATTTCTGTGGATCATTTCGAAGAATTAACTGTGATATTATATATATATATATATATATATATATATATATATATATATATATATACAATGTGATAGTATTAAAATCAAATCATTACCTAGTTTATAAAAATGAAAATATTGTAATGCAAATTATCTAGTGATTGTTTTGACATCAGATGATGATTTACGCCGAATTAATTTGGAAATTTTTTTTCTCACTATGAATATTTTTTTTATCATTCTATTTAGTTTTTCTTTTTTTTGAGTTAAAATAATTTCAGTGTACAGTGTACCAGATATTCCATTCTCCTAAAGTCATTCAAATCGAAGAGATCAACAAAGTCTGAAGTGGTTCACAATTAAATCAGGTAAAGTATGGATTTCGAATTAATTGCTTATAGATTTAAATATTATGCACAAACAGATCGTCAATAAATACATATCTATGCTATTTTAATTGAAGTCAACTAACTAAATAATTTTTCAATCAAAATACAATTTCTTCTCGTTTCTGGTTATTATTACCCGAAGCGAATACGACCACATAGTCTTGTTTATATGAAATATTTGAGGTTAAGAATTTCAAATGAGACATTTTATTTGCTTAATATAACTATATTTCAGGCTATATTTTGATTGTTACTTTGAAATTAACGCTTTGACCGATACCGAAAGACCAAATGAAGCAACGATCAGTATATTTATTATTTAACCCTGAGAAACTTTACTTTCAAGGTTAAATTTTCCATTCAGAATTGATTAGTAGTTTATTAGTTAAAAGGTTTGAGAACTGTGTCACTTACCTGTGGATTAAACTCTTTCAATAAATGTTCATATGAACCCGGTGCACTATCTGTGATAATCATAATCATTCGATTGCATTTATGACTTTGTGGGAAATTTTCATCAACCTGTTTAAAAAAGATTAATAAATCCAACTAAAAAATATCAAACAAAATACAAAATTAATTCTTAATTATGGCATAATAAACAAAAAAATAATGATACGAAATTCGAAACTACTAGCAACAATACAGTATTCAATCAATTTTACTGTTTGATTGTTCAAACGATTTTATTTTCCGATGAAAACACATGTCTTTTTTAAATTGACATTATATTAAATAAAATTGTTGATTTTAAAAGAAAACTTTATTGAATGACAATTTATTGTTTAACTAATAAAAATTCATCAACAGTGCTATCATTCACTGGGCTCATTCTCGAAAAAGGTTTAAATTTTTTTTTTGAATATATATATATATATATATATATATATATAGTATAATGCATACAGCTAGATATTTTAGATTTTCAGATTACTGATACCTAGAAGATAAAAAACCCGAGTTCGCCTTCATTAATATATATATATATATATATATATATATATATATATATTCCACCTTCTTAGAAAAAGTAACCTTGACCGATGATATAACTTCATCCTTCAGGGCAATTCCCGATGGCCATCAAATGGCCTTGTCATTAGGTCACTACTGATTGGCTTACTATATCAGTATATTTTCGAACCGTTTCTTACAAAAACAGACTTAAGCTAAGTTGCGTAATAATACAGTTCTTCGACACCTGGAAGTAGTGTTTCACTATACAGAAAAATCATTACCTTGTTGAACAGTTTGAAAACTTCTGTTATTGCATTTTCATAGGAAGCTGTGCCATTTGGACTAAATTTTCGAAAAGTTTTGATCATTTTCTGTAAAATAGAACGAAATGTCATCAGTCAGCATTGCTCAGTTCACATCTGAAACCTAAAGTCCTTAAATACTGATTTTCTATGCTTTCAAAACTCTTAGAGATAATTACAAAATTATGAAATACGACCGTTATCATAACAAACTTTAGAAAGTTATTACTTGACAGGATAAGTTTATTGTCAGTTGCAGCATGGATAATAATGTACACAACGAGTTAAATATATCGGAAACTGGCATATAAGAAACAAGATAAATTTCCTTCAGTTCATGATTTTATCGATCATGATTCCTAACCCATGAGATGTTTTCCAAGCTAACGAATATATTTTATTTAACAATATCGTGAGTGAACAGAACTGTGTTTTAGATTTTACAACTGGAGGGAACTGTGGATAAAGGATTCTTTGTCGCCTAGAAATCCTTATACAAAGCTAAAATTCAAGTTAAACAGATTTCATCATCTCACCCAACTTTATAAGTGATAAGAATACTTTTCGATAAGTAAAGTGATTCTAAACAATTACTTTTCAAGTGTCGTTTAATCTGAGTGAAATAAGCGTTGAGTGGGACATATGTAGTGCTGAGTGATTACGATCACTGTGATGATTTAATTAAGACTAGACGATGAATATCTTATCAGATAAGGCTCACAATGGTTGACTACCCAGTTTTAGTTTCATTTATTCTTCACTATAAACTGAATAAAAAAGTCTTTGAATTAGAATACGTTTTCAACTGAATGGTTTTATCTATACATCAGGCTTTCATTCTACACAGTATTTCGGTACAACTTAAAGATAGTTTACAAAATGAACTCTTTCGTATAATCAAATCTAACAAAAATTTGTGGGATATGTTTTGTAAATTTCTAAAGATTAAATTATCTACTCTATGATATTTATTTAGCTCCAATAAAAAAAATATTTTTATATAATTCTAGATGTAAGTTTTCGTTTGGTTGATAAAGTTGTGTTATTTTCCTACCTTCCTTAAGGCATGCTTGATTGATAATTTATCTATGAATACTAAGCTTTGTTCACTTTAACAGTGTAGTTATATGTTCACATTGTAATTTCTTATTTATGTACATGCCTGATATGTAAATTAATCTAATATTATCATAATAAATGGAATTATGAATTAAGTTGTACAGTTGTACAGATTTAGTAATGTGATATTTCAGTGATCAGGTAAGCGAACATAAGGAACTAACTGCAATTCACATCCTGTCAGTATTAATTCATGATAGACCATCATAGTAGAAGTATATCATTAATTAAAACGTAGCTTAAAGGTGAAATAAAATATTTTGAGCAAAGAAATATTACACAATTCTTATTGATGTATCTCATCAAGTGATTATTGGTAAACATGATTCTTTTTCATCACAGAAATAATATTAGGTTATAGTTCTAGGTTCTGAACAATTACATCGGTAATTCGGAGATTTTCTATACAAACTAGAATTTCTTTTCACTTTGGCCATTATTCGCTCACGAAGTCAATCAGAGAGTCCAAAAAGAAATTATTCTTCCTATATGAAGTCAACTAATCGCGGTATATTTCGTATTTTTATTAGAAAAAATTACTAAGCACATAACTAGATCATATGAACATGATTCAAGTAAAACCCATCAGTATAGGAGAATATAGAAATATACTAGGAAAGTTTTGTTATTCATGAACTATCCACTTTACTAGCTCTCAATCGAATGAATATTACTTGATAAAACTAATTCATTATTAGTGACTTTTCATGAGTGAGATTGATTTTTTATATATATAGTTGAATGTTAAGTTGTTTGATGAGATGAATCTATTGAAACTATGAAAATGATTCTACTTTTAATTACAAGCATCATAAATGTCAATCCAGCAGCCGTAAATCATTGTCGATAATAAGTAGTAAAGTTAAGCTTAAACGGATTGATCATTTATGAGATGTTATATAATGTAGACATTCAATATATGATAATACTTCGTTGATTTGATCTCTTATCTACTTTCTGAAATATATAGTCACTTATACTTAATACTTACCTATAAATTATTTTTTTTATAGTTTATTCTAACAGTAATTTGTTTCATCAAAAAGTTAATTTACCATGAAAATTGAATACTATGAACTCAGATAGTTCAAACAGAATTTCTATTAAACGCCTAGAGACTTCGTCAATCAAAGATTGATAATCATTGCAGTATATCGGTTGGTTATTGGTGAATAAGCAGGAAAATTCACCATCTTTCGGTTATCTTAGCAATTGACTTTGCCACGGATTATCATCATTTTAAGCTTAGTCATCTGGTTTTGATTAGTTTTATGCAAATAATGGCGATAAATCTTTAGAACTTGGTTATTTGAAAAGAAAACGAAAGAATGACAGCAAGCTAAGCATCACACAATTATTCAACGTGAGCAATACAACATCAATCAATATAATTTACAAACTTTCATCTTCAACTGCAGTATGGACGACAAAGAGAGTTAAATCGTTTGAAAATAGTGAATTCATGAAAAAGTTAACTTAGATTAGCTACTTATTGATAAGTTTTGGATATTTTCATGCTTTTTACAATAGTAATATAATCACAATCACATTGTATAACTTACATCTTTATTCAATTTTGTACCCTGAATTAGTCTGTCAGTAATAAGTGGATCAGCGTACATAGTGCTATCAGAAAACTATTTAAAAGTAAAAACAAAACAAAACAAACTGTGACAAAAGTAAACCGTCAATGGAGTTAGTTCATTGAATTTCACAGTAGACAGTCTATTCATACACAAAATGGAATTTGTCAAAACCAATAATAAAAATAACACTGAGAAGTTGGTATAGTGGGTTTTTGCTTTTTAATTGAGAATATATTTCACAGCAGGCAAAAAAAAAGGAAATGAAGTAATTGAATGAAAAATTATTAAAGAAGAAATTGGCACAAATGATTAGTAATCTTAAATAGTCTTTAATTTTCACAACCATACAAATGGTAAACAATAGAAAAAACAAACAAACACACCAGTTTTATGTTAGAAATTAGCACAATTTAAATCACACTTTTACCGACAACGCATAGTTTGTATTGTTAGTTCTACACAAAACACTCACTGAAATAAAAAATCAACAAGTTCTTTATTAAAACAGTCAGAAAATGCAGTATTCTCTAAACAGTTTGATTAGAATTTGCTAAAACAGGACCATTCTATTATTTCATTTTAACAACGTTCATAATACAGCAAGCTGTACTTGTTATATCTAAGAGATATTCAGATTCGATATGAGTCACGTAATTTGCCGCCTTCAGTCAGTTTGTTGAGTCACACGGTAAATGTTTTCAATCTTCCAAACATTGTATATTTTCTACAAGCATATTTTACACTCAATAATGAGGAGCTGCTCCGTAATAATGATTCAGTAATATCAACTTAAAAAAAATTAATCTGATAGATAGGCTGTGATATTTTCTAAATTTGTGAATTAGTCACTACTATAAATATTCAAATTGGAATTTTAAAATTTTGTTTGGGAATGTCACCGTGCACTTAGCGTTAGACAACGCCTGTAATTTGTAATGGTTGAACATTTCTCCAGAGATATTTATTCTGTACTACTTCAAAACAGTCGAAGATTGTATTTTGTAAGAATCATATCTATTAAACTTTCTATGGTACAATACTCTCAATTGTGATACTTTCCTGGACTGATAAAATTTAGGCATATTTTCACTTAAGACTATTAGACAGTAGAAATATTGGTTATATAAACGTTAAACACATATATTGCAAGTGTGTAATATATAAGCCGAATAAAAATATGGTACAGCTTAAATGAATGTTTTAAGCGCTTATCACAATAAACTCTGATATCAGTCGTATTTATTGATGTGTAAATAAATTCTACAAATATTCTTAGCTCATTATTAACAGTACAAATGAAACTGCAGTAACAAAAACCAATAAATTTTGATAGAAAAGTGATAAGACGTAATTGATTGATTTAAAAACAATAACCGGAAAAAACGATCCTGCCAACAGGAAAATATATTTCGTTGTACAGTCAGACAGTCAGTCAGTCAATTACAACGTAGAATTTCGTACATCAGTACATAAGTTCAAGTTGTCATACTGCATTAGCACAGAAACGCCACTGGCAGTTCAAAACCCATAGTGATGGAGATAGTAGAAGAATTAATGGTCATGGAGAAGATTAGGGATCGAAGATATTACTCAAGAAATATAATTCAGTGAGATAAATTCAGAAAGAGGAAGATGTAGATGATGAGGAATTCTGAAGATTAGAACATGAGAGAACGCAGTCAATGAATGCACCTGCGCCATTGCAAACGATTCTGAGCCAGGTCGTTCAATGTCTCTAACCATCGGTGACTTTCGTCTCGCCGACCCTAACCAGGTAGCCTACATCTACCAACATGACTCAGTCCACTTGTCAGTGACTTCATGGATTTCTGCCATGTTGTGGTTTGACCACCCCTAGACTACTTCCAACCTACTCCTACACCTCGAAACATGGCTGGACGAGGCAGTCAGTGGTTAGGCATACGTAACACATGTCCCAACCACCTCAACTGATAAAGTTTCAACACTTCATCAATCGATTTGCCGTCCCTACCTAGTACTCGTTTCCTAACTGTAGCATTGCTTACTTGGTTGTCCCAGGATATACGAACAATGCTTCGGAGACACCTATGATCGAATGCTAGTAACCTACGAATGTTCTCTACTCTCACCGACCACGTTTCGCATCCGTATAGTAGGACTGTTGCGCAGTACACTCGTCCTTTAGTCAGCAAATGGATGTCTTGTCTGTGTCAAAAGTGATTCAAGTTGGCAAAAGCCAATCGAGTTTTCCGTATTCGTGCTGAGATTTCGTCAGTCACCTAGCCATCAGCACGTTCGACTACTTCACTCCCTATCGTTAGTTCAGGTACCGATGAAACCCAATCTCGAAGCAACATTTTGCATTTCGAGGGGGAAAACCGCATACCAAACATACTTGCATTGTTGCTTAGGATGGTGAGGAGACTCTGCATTTTGTCAGCGTCTTCACCAAACAGAACAATGTCATCGGCATGTTCTAGGTCAACAAGCGTGTCTCCTGGTAGAACGTGCACAAATGAAAAGTCAGACGAAGATAAAACTGACTATAAAAGCATGTCTACGACAAAGTTATATAGGAGTGGAGAGAGTGGACAGCCCTGACACAAACCACTTGTAGTAAAGTATCCCGATGACCGTTCGCCATAGGCTCTCACTCGATCAGTGGTTTTCGAGTAGACAGCTTGCATAAGTTTAATGTACATGTTTGGTACCCTTTTTGATGACAGACACTGCCACAGAACCTCACAATCCACAGAGCCAAATGCCACCCTAATGTCCACTAAGATAACTATTGTCGGACATCTAAATGTGTGTCTGTGTTCCAGGACCAGTAGTAGTGTGAAAATGCTGTCTAACAGCTACGTCCAGGTCTGAAACTAGCCTGGTTTTCTCTAGTCTGCCCTTCACGAGCTCTAGTTAGGCATCTTAGTATAATCGAGGCTAACAATTTAGAAACTATATTAGTTAAAATGATTCATCTGTGATTGTCACAAGAGGACTTTTGTCCTTTCTTGTAGACTGGGACAATCAGGGATTGAGACCAGTTGGATGGAATTACGCCCAGTTCCCAGATTCTATCTAAGACCTCGGTCAATCTAACTGGCCCACTATCCTTAAAAATATCAGGCGTAAGCCTATGCGGCCCTGCTGCTCTCCCTCACTTTAGATGTCCTATAGCGTTTTCGACTTCATAAAGACTCGAAGAACTTATATCGATTTGCCATTCAGGATGACTGGAGGTCGTTGGCAACCGAAGTGTGGACGAAGGCCAGTTGAACTGATCACAGAAGTGTTCTGTCCATCGACCCAATCTTCTAGATTGAGAATAAATCATAAGCTCATCCTTTTCTTAGATAATTTCGCTAGCAGATGGATTTCTAATACCGGTTTTCTTTGATAATGCGGAGAAGTTGTCTACTGTTGCCTATCGCCGCCGCCTTTTCCATCTCTCTCGCTTTCGCCACCCACCACTGTTCGCGATCACTGTGTGGGCTTTTTATCATTCTGTGCTTAAGCTGACTTCGCTCGTCGTCATGTTCAGAGTCAGGTAGGATGAGTTTCCGAGCGTCTATCAGTTTGGTAGATGGTACTGAGATCCACGGCTTCTTCCTAGCCTTATGGTTTACCTTATTAGCAGATATCACTGCTGCTTACACAGCTTTTCGGATATCATTCCAAGCTGCTTTGGAACGAGAGTCGCTTACATGGACGGACGCCTAACTGTTTCTTTAGTTGTTCCTGAAATGAATTTTTAGCCATGCTATCGTTAGGCAGAACCCTAAAAGGATTTTTTGGCGGTGTTTTTATTGTACAGTGAGAATCCAAAATGAATCATGTTACCAATCGTAGATAAATCAAATATTCTTATTTTAAAATCAATCATTACTTGAAAATGTACAAGTGATTGAAATCGAATAATATGTTTAGATTATTTTTCAAAAAGTTGATTTAGGCTTATATAATCAATGAGTTTACAATAGAATCATAATCATATTATATCAGCCGATACCACAAATAAATTATATAAACCTGAATGAAGAAAAATTAGATAATGGTCTTTAAAGTAGCCTGATTCGGAGATATATATATATATATATATATGCTAATGACTTGTTATTCAAATGTGGGAAACATTCAGTTGAACTTCCCATTTTCAAACTTCCATTTTCAGTACGGTAGATTAGTTAATAAGCGTTTTTAACATTGTGTTCAAATGATATTTTACAGATAAATTGTTACATAATGCTTAATTTGCTTTGGATTTTTTTCGCATTTGTTTTGATTGAAGGTGTATATATATGTATCAACAGAACTCACCATCATCACATTAAAATAATCATTTTCTGTTAAAGTGTTCAGTATTTCAGCAGCTGTAGCATTCGAGATAATATCACTTCGCCCTTTCATACTGCCACTTTTATCAATTAAAATTATCATTTCTTTCGGATAAGAAGATGCTTGTAAATACCTAATCAAGTAAGTAAACGAATAATATCAATAATAATGATAATAAAATTATTTTTATTTCAAATAACCTTCCACAAATTAATTATGACAAATCTTATTTTTAGGGATTTTTCCAGAAATACATGAAAATGAATTCTGATCATTATCATATACAACTGCTTATTTACCCTATTTGTTTTATTTCGCTTTTTTGGGTAAATGACTAATTTCAGTCTTACAAATAAAGCAGTAGCTTAAACGGTTGACGTCACCTTATTTGTAAATATTCTAACAGTGTTCCATCAAGAACATGGAATCAGGGGCTGAATATCAAAAGAAAGAAGGTTTTTCACCAACATCTCCGACAAGTTAACACTGCATACTCACTGGATCTACTTTTCTTTACGTGACTGATCACAGAATAACGTATTTCCTATTTTCTTATCGATAACCGAGTGAGGTCACGCAAAATCCCTAGATTGATCAGAGTTAGACGTTAACACCGTTGGATGCCGGCCAAATGGTCCAGAGGTTAGACATTCGCGCGCAAGACTGATGTTCCTGGGTTCGAATCCTGCGGTCAGCAGGACATGCAGATGTGCATTTCTGAAGAGTCCCATACCAGGACGAAACGGTCGTCCATTGCTTTCATGTTTGTAATTGTGGTCTAACAATGATCCATTCATGATTTCAGCGTGTAAATCTAAATAGCAAAAAAGTACGTTTATCAGTAATGTTAATTAGGAACATAGGCTGAGGTGGCTTTTCTTTACTTCATAAACATCGGATATATGAAAATCAACTAGGTATTATCTTGTAAACCACTGAGTCCAGAACAGATTAATTGTCAGAACACTAGTGAAATGGATTCTGTTGGTCCGCATTTCTGCAACATATAAGTTTCTTCGTTAAAACTATTCCTTTGTTAGAAGTCGGTCAGTGAAATAGCCAGATAAAATAAGAGAAAATCAGCTAGATGATAATTATAGTCTCAAACAATTAAAATAACAAATATCGGGTTTAATGGATCAATATCGTGTTTTATTTTAAATCCCCGTTTAACAAATTTTTTTATCAAACATATAATGTTAAATCATAACGGACCATAAGCAACACATATTTATAGTGAGTACATTTGTAAGGTTCTCAACTTCATCAGTCAGTTTAAATCGTTTATCCTACAACAATCAATGCAAAACAGTTCATTCAAACCAGAATAAACTGAATACTTAGAATCCTTGCATGTATCTTACAACAGGACAACACAAGATCGATAGTGTTCATTGGATAAAACAACTCACCAAGGTTGAGAACGGCAATCAAAGAAATCAAGACGATATTCATCCAACTGAATTTCCCACATAGCACCTGTACGAAAAAAAATCAAATTCAAAAGGATGCACAAAATATCCAAATTGGTATTAAATGTTACATATGTGTAATCGAGATATTGATATGAATTCTCTACTTCCCTATTCTCTCCTCAATCAAGTTGTAGTTGACTAAAGCAAATAATACAAACTAAACTATTCCAGAAAATATTCATAAAAACAAATTACGAACATACAATCTTCAATGTTATCCCTTGTTATCCCTTTCATAATACATAAAAATATGTGTAATGTAAAGCTTATCTACTCGATTAATTATTTGAAATAAGTGAAATGTGGGTAATTTACCTGAATAAAGTTCTTCGAAAGAAAATTATTCAAGCATTATTAGATTAGGGTACCACAGTGCATCTAATTAGTTTGTTTAATTTTTTGTATTTTACATCAAAGCACCCATTAACACATGGACTACTTGCCATTTGAAACTTTTTCATTCATATACACAGCGTAATTCTTTTTTACAGAAAAATAGGAATCTAATCAGTTAGCGCTATCTAAACATTAATCTTCATATTGTAAAAAGTATATAGTAAGAATGAGCTTAAAACAGAGTCAAAAGTAGAAATCAAATTTGTCTTCGTTCACTGGGTGATCACATCTTATTTTTGAGGCGGAGAAAATTTGTACCTCAGGTAGATGATTATGGTAAATTTTGTTCTCTGAGATGGATGGTTCGATTGTGGGGATTTCACTGGTCTTCAGAATAAAATCATGGCAAACTTCAGGTAGAAGTGGAGTATTCGAATTCCCCTTATATGACTTGTAGGTCGTCCTATTGACCTCGATCTACGCGTTTGACTAGAGATTGATATGACATAGTTTACCTTATATTGAGAGATACGGAAAACTGTAGAAATATGAAGAACAGTCAGAGAATTTTTAGGAGCTTGGTACTCAGTCCAACCACTTATCAAGAAACACACTGAAATCGATTCGATTTATCAACCGATCAGAAAAATCACATGCAAACATATGATCAAGAACCAGATTAAAGGGTGATACAGACAACGATAGGTTAAAGGTCCATCACAACCAATCAAGATAAAGGTTCACAGGACAAGAGCTACAAACTATATGTGTAGAAACTCAAATACTTTACTTTTACCTGAGTTTTATGTTCATGATGTTGTTCAGAAGAACTATGAAAACTCCACAACCAAACTATCAATCTCAAAAAATGAAACTCCATAATAAATATCTGCTTTCACTGGTCACATTTTGGTTTGAAAAAAGGTAGTTTGTAGATGTTCGCTGGACTAGGATGATTTGAGTTTGTTTTACTACCTTGGCACGGAAGTCTGACATAAGGTCAGTTAATTAGAACAATTTTATGAACCAGTTTTATTATTCAAAAACGAGAATTTTGTTCTTGCAAGTTTGAATATTGGAATCAAAGTAAAAAACTGAGTTCTAAGCTATAGGTTACATATTAAATAATTAAATAGATAGGGGTTGTGGAAACTGTTGAGTTTCAATAAAATCATGAATCAATCAATGTTAGACCACTATTAGAAACCAGGAAGCACTGGACGGCCGTTTCATCTTATTCTAGGATTAGTAAACAATGCACGCGAGAACCGGACCCAGAGCCTTCGGTCTCACGCAGTGAAATGCACTGAAGCTCAAAAATCTCCATTACTCTTCAATGACAATCATCATGTGCTTACTAGCCACTAGATTCGTGAGAGAATTTCGGGAGCCCTAGCGAGAAGCCGTGACCAGTGGAGTTCAACTGTGTTCGATGTGAGACAGTTACTAACCGATGACAATGGATGAAGTCACGCAATATTGAAGTTAGACATTAACACCGTTCAATACTAGCTCAGTGGTTTACAGGTTAAGCGTTCGTGCACGAGACCGACGGCCCTGAGCTCGACTTCCAAATGTGCGGTCATGAATGCACACCACTGATGAGTCCCATACCAGGTTTATACTGGTGGTATAACATTGATCGGTTCATAATTTCAAAGAAAAAAAAGATTTAGAGTACATAAATAATGTTTTTTTCAAATTAAATTATACTGGCAATCATCACTATAGCACACCTCCGATCTTGAGAGGACTAGTGGCTTTTGATAAATTTGAAACCCACGTTATCCAACCTGGCAGTCTGAGACATTATCATTCAAATATCCGTGCAACAACTAACTTCCTACGGAACTGAGATATTCACAATTGATTGATCACTCAGTAGTTATCTATGTCAGGATCCCCAGCTGTTAGTGAGTACCAACTAGAATGAAACTAGATCCATTGCATCCTATTGACTATGTCTAACGACTTAACAGGATGAACCATCAGATATCAATCAACTGAGGTAGGCGTGGTTTGGTTGCCTGAAATTACTTTATCCGATCGCATTTAATCAAATCATAACCAAACAGGTATCTAGTGTCTCTTGATCTTTTATTTCTATGATTTAGTATACATACAGTAAATTCTAATCATTTATAGTTTAGCAATTATTGTACCTGGATAGTATCTGAGAAAACCTGTTGAACTCCCAAAGTATTGCCACTTCAATGTTGGATCAGATTCAGCGTTCAACTTGAATACTTTATCCAATTCAGTAGTCCAATTTCCAATTCGTTTTAGTTTATCTGCTACAAAATAAATTAAAGAAATTTTGTCCATTTGCAAGTTTGAAAAATAGAACAATAGTGTATCAAATAAAAATCCACATATCAAGTCGTTGTTCATATTAATAACTCTCATGATTTATACTATAAGTCTGAAACTCACTCTCTCATAGCAACACATTACATGTGACTTCTGTTAAGAAATCGTTTTGCTGATTAATAGAATTTGGATATTTCATGTTGTAATCAACAGTATCTATTACCCAGTTGATTTTCTTTCCATATGAATCGAACAGTTATGTCTTTGATTATACACTAATTGTATCAAGTAGTAACTAGCAGGAATATCCAAAATTTATTAGTCATTGTACGGTTGTAACTCTTAATCTTTGCGGTAATTTTTACATTTCTATTTCCTGTTAGAGATCTCGTTTACAAGACAAAGAATATAAAATCTAGAGAACAGACCACGAAATCATATTAATTTATGGAGTTGCTATTGGTTGATATCAGCCAATCATATTCCTTCGTTAAAATCTGTTAGACAGTATCGAAAGTTTACCAGCACTTTTCTTTTAAATCAACTCAAAATTAACGATAGTTTTATTTGTTAGCTTTAAAATATCTTAGATTGTAAATAGATGAATAGTTATTTTTATTCACTTCACGGCAGCTGTGTCTAAAAATTTATTTGTTTTACACCTAAAGTTGGCGATAAAAACAACATATATATGCGATGGTAAAAGCAAAGAGCTAAATATCCTTTTCGAAAGCCTGAAACTGATAACTAGTTTTAACCGAATCGAACATCAGCCTAATTTATTAGTCTGTAAGACAAATGAATTGAATAAAAATAATGTTCTTTGTAAATTCTCTGTCAGTGTCAAGGAACTTTGAACCAGAGTAAAACAACTTTCCTGCGCTTCCAAAGTTTGTTCGATTATTTCTGACTTATGTTTTGAAATTACTGGGGTGATGAAAATGTCACTGTGATAAATATTTCATTGAAGCAGTTCCTTAACCAAGACAATGAAAGGTGGTCTCAAAGTAGCGTGGATTTATTGAAGACCTATACATCACTGAATCTCAGATCAGTGTCCCAGAAATTAAGCGTTTGCAGGTGCAAATGAGATTCTAGGTTGTAGATGCACACTGCCGCGATGTCTCACACCACAACGAAACAGTTTCCCAGTGATTCTGGGTTTTCATTAGCTGCCAAACTTAGATTGGTTCGTGATCTCGATAAAGCTCAACAATCTCCTCCACCACATACTAGTGACGCACTTCTGAGTGTGTTTCTGATCAAATAAGCAAATATCTAAACTCTTATTAGTGATTTAAACTTACACAGATCATACACATTAGTTGGAACATGTACAACTGAAAAATTGTAACATACATATTGATTATCATAATGAGGACTTTGTTTTAGTGGAATATAAGATTTCATGCTGCAATTGTCAGTTTCATTTATTGGAGGAATAGTGGTTAATGCTTTCGCTCTGCAGTAGCACTAAGGAAAGAAATGATAAAATTTCATTGATATCGAAATAATTAATTTCAGTAAGCTTGTGTAAATTTGAATATTTTGAAAATGATTTTATCGAACGAAAATTGTACAAAATTGTGACAGGATAGAATGCTCAAATCCTAAATTAACAAATAATCTCTCAAAATTAATAACTGACTAAAATGTGATAGTGGACATATTTTATCTAACTTTTGCATTTGAAAGTCAATACAGATTTCAAACTGTAGCGCCTATGTGCAGTGGGAATTTGTTCATCATAAAACTGTATCGAATTCAGGCAATAAGCAAATAATTCATGGTTCTCTTATTATTGACACTAATCATTTAACGTCAGCTCGTAAATATAAAAACAATAATTCCAATAATAATTAACTCCTAGCGAAAATTGTTTTTATCAAACTTGACAAAGAATATTGTCGGTTCGAGCGCAATTGTTAGGCAACTGTTTCGATGTGATTTTATTGTTTCCATTGTCAAGTTATTCCCAGTTCACTGGTAAGTAACTTGATTTTTTTTTCGATAATAATTGTAGTATAATTTCAAGAAGTATTATTATTACTATTATTATTATTTTGTGAATTTGTTTCCTCACTTTGTATAAATTACGATTGGTAAACCTATAACACACTGTTGACCCTGAGGTCCTATCGACCAACCGAAAATCGCTGTCCAGTTAGATAGCAGTAAAAATATCAGTGGAATAATAACTTTGATCTGATGAACTATCAATCGTAACAATTCGAATTATTTCATTTTTTGCGAGAAAAACGTTAAGTTTACATTTTTAATAGTCAAGCAACTATTATCAGTTAAAGATGTCACCCTATAGAGTTTTTATCACACCAACCGAGACTATCTATAATGCAAAAAAGTTAGGGTTAAGTATTAACAATTAGTCTGGAGCTCTGAGTTCGATTTGTCACATTAGAGTTAGGATTTTCATCACGAACCAACATCAACTATCATACAATGCTTTATCATTCTACTCTTCAGAATATTAAGAAACTTACAGTTGAGATTAAAAAATTAGAAAAGGAATATATTATCTTACTTCATTACACACTCTTGACAATGCACTGAATCTCAACAAGTACTCTAAAAATACGATTTGTTTGGTAATTTAACTTTAACACGCCTTTTCGGTTGCAAAATTGAAACGTCTATTGATTTCAAGCATTCAAACGACCATATATTGTCAATTTTTAATTCATCAATGAAAACGTACCGAGTTCCTATTGTCGCACTTGACACTTCGCAAAAAATTCACAGGACTTTGTCGTAATTCCAAACGGTTAGCTCAAGGCGATTAGCATATTATAAATTTTCCAAAGAATTTAAGATGGCTCTTAGGCTAAGTTACAAATTAGGTCTGCTCCCTGGGCAAACAATGTGTTCGCGTACTTGATGTAATTCAGTTGCTCAGTGAATAGTATTTAATGAAGCTAGATAGTATTCTTTCTTTCAAACTTTTCCTCTTTATTTAAACCCTAAGTGTTCCGTTAAGTTAATCAACAAAAGAATAGAAAGGCATTGTCATTGGAGAAGAAAACTCTTCAGTATGCAAACTCAAAACACAAACTCACAACTCCTGATATGTAAACTTGATCTTTTTATTTGACAACAAAGAATAATTTTACATGTGAGGATTAGGTATTCAGAAAAAAAGCTAAAATTCTGCGGTTATTTTACAGTTATTTTTGTTATTATGAATTGTTTTATAATTAGGCATCGTTTTTTAACTGGTTGATAAGTCTACAAAAAATCATCAGTATGGTACACTTTCAGCTCAGATGGTTGGAAAAGGCCAAAAACTTTAAAGTCAGCAAATTTAAGTCTAACAGGTTTATTCAACAAAATCTTTAATTTTCTTTTTTTAGTTTGTAAATTATGCCAAACCAAATGTGAACTAACCCCAATCGGTTCATTTTCAGGTCTATTCACAAAAGCTTCTTCAGCTGCAACTTTGATATTCTATGAAAAAAGACAACAGAGACTAACAATGCTGATACAAACAGTTGGTAAGTAATAAAACATATAACAAAGAGTACTCTTATACACTTATGTAGATGTTCTTAAATTATGCAAAGAATCTTACGACAACAGTACTGAGTGATGAATATTTAAAATTTAAGAATTTAAGTTTGCTTTACTATTGAATAAATAAACACAAACATTCTTTTAATCTTTTGAAACTAGAAAATATCTAAAACAACTGATATGCATGATATGTTCTTTCTGAAAAAAAAACAAAAAACAAATAAAAGAAACATTTTTCACATGTTTCTTTTTTTTTTTTTAATTTCTCTTTCCAATATAGGTAAAGTGATAGCTGTGGTGAATTGATAATGAATTATGAATATAACTAAAAATTCCCTTCTTGTACTTATAATCTAGCATAATTAATTCACTAGTACAAATAATGCATCTTATTTTTATCACTTTAATAGAATATAACAAAATATGTCCATTTGAAAACACTTTTCTGCACCAGAACAGGATTAAACATGAGAACTCATAATTTGAACAAGAAAAAAAATCGAAAACAATTACGGAGTGGCAAAAAGAAAAATACATCTAGGTTACTCTGGTTTTTATTTATATATATGTTAACTTCTCTCTTTCATGTAACATTAGCCCTAATAACACATTTTCTAATTCATATTTTTTCACAACCTTTCTTGGTCATTATTATTTTATAGTGTGTCGATTTCATTGTATTGACTTACTCTATTTGTACAGAGTTATTTTAATAGAATTTTAAGCCTCTAATAATATCAAGCTTTTTCACTATTCTTCTATTCTATTAGTATTTAATTAAATTAAGAATAATTATTGAAGTAGTTTTATGTGCCAGTGACTCTATACCCATCCAGTTCATATTTACTTCCGGTCCTGTATTAGAAGAATCTTACTCAAAGTCCCTATTAAGATGCAATCAAAACAATACTGTATTAATGATATCTGCATTGCTTACAAACGATTAGAATTTTATTTTATTCTAGTAGGTGTGATGAAAAAAGAAAATATTTTTCTTTTTTCTTTATTATTATTCTCATGCTGAATTGTTTCGTTAAATGGCTCGGTTGGTGAAATATCATAGTCATATGTTAATAAAACCAAAAATGTGAATTATTTATTAAAAAAACTTGATATTATTTAAAATCAAATTAGTCTTTTGAGTGACGATGAAACGAATAAAACCAGTATTTATCCTAGGCATATTTATTAGTTGTAGAAACTGTTCAATTAATAAATACTGACTAATCACAACATACATATATACACAGAACTATCTAAATCCTCATTGTTACTGTCAAGTTCAGTGCAAATGAGGCTTGACATAGGACATACTAAATAACATCTACACAAATGATACTAATGAGGCTGAAGTTAAGTTGCAAAATGAAAAATCAATGAGAAATAAGTATTTATTAAAGTTCATAAATTAATCAGAAATGGCCCAGCTTCTCTGTAATTATTCATTTTAAATAGAAGATACTTGTTGTTTAATGGGCATTTGAAATGATATTCTTATGCTTAAAAGCCAAGAGACTCGCTTTTAGTTAAAAAATTAACTTACTTCTACTATTTTTGACTTTTCACTAACAATATTCTCAAGTCTTTTAATAGCTGTTTCAAGATATGTAGTTGCAGTTGTTTCGTTAATTTCTTGTGCTCCGAAGTTGGTAGTTTTATAAATCTATAAAAAAAAAGAGTTATGGTATATAGGAGAAGTATTTTAATTCCCCATGGAAGATAACATGATTCAGTTTGTAATTGAAATACAAAGTCATTTATGGATTGGAAGTTTCAATTACTACTACTTAGAATTCCATACTTCACCTATACAGTTTTATGCTATAGTAAGAATAAGGTTGCTCACCTAACTAATTTACACAGCCTAAATTTATGTTTGACGCTAAAGATAAATAAGCACTTCAAGAACCCAACTTAACATACCATTCATCAGATGATAAATGAAGGTAAGGTTTTACAATGCTTTTCAAGCAATCAGTTCTATTTGAGAATATTCTACGTCAGTAAAATGCTTGACCGTTTTGCTCAATAAAATTATTGTGTTAAAAGACAAATAGCTGACAAAACTATGAAATATACAAATAAAGAGTGTAGACAATGATATATATATTTGAAATTCATCAATTCAGTAAAATAATATAAATTCATTTAAAATTATACAAAATTAATGTAAACCGCCTGTCACACTGGAAAACAGTTTGAATTTAATCAATTAGCCTGGATAGAAAAACTAATTAAGGTTGTGTTAAAATTAATTTTTTTCAAAACTATTCCATTTCCACACTACACGAAATTAAACTAACTCCAGGTCGTTGGTCGAATATCAAACACTGATCTAGGGATTTCCTGTTTAGTAATTGACGTTCTTTTACAAATGTACTTAGTTCATGACATAACACGAGGTTAACAGATTGTAGATTCAACACTAGTGGGTTTCAGAAAGTTGAAATTTTGAAATTTCGAAATCGGTGACTATACTAGTCTTTGTACTTCTTAACAGTAACCTTAGTGACATGAACTCGTGACCTTTCAGCATGATATCTTGCATAATACTGAAAAGCTAACAAGGTGAAACTATTAGATCTCAGATTTGGATACAAATTAGTTCATGATATGATGCAAACTTTCTACAGTGTTATCAGTAAGTATTTGTCACTCATTCAATTTTATCGACTACATAGTTATTCAAATTAATCAAATCTAGGGGTAAAAAGATATAACAGATCATTTAAAACATCTCATTTTAATTTATTAAAACGTCTCGAACATGCTAGTTGATTAAAGTTAACTTCTTTCATACACACTTTAGATACTGAAAAATTAACCAAAAAAAAAGGTATATGGTAATTCTAATGTTAAGAAAAAATTAATAGTTCATTTAAATAACGTTAAATAAAATGTAACAATTGTTAGTGATCCATAAAACAAGTTTAAATTCTTGAATTAAAGCATTTACTGAACTTACAGATTTCAAGTATGGTTCACCAGATATACCGTGCAGTTCACTGAAGGATTGACTCAGTTCAGTGACCCATCTATCAAAACTGCAGAATGAAAAATAAAATGATGATTCATCGACAAATCAAATTGTTTTTTTTTTGTAGAACCGTTAAGATATCCATCAAATATCCAAAGAGAATTATTTTTGGAAGTCTAATTCTATTGGTCAATTACTACTGGTCTATATTATGGTCATCCTAGATATCAATGTTGCGTAATTCAATGTTGTTTCCCATTGGTCGTCCTAACTGTCAATGTCACAGACTTCAATGCTATTTCCTACTCGACCTAGCTGTATGAATATGCATTATCTGCGATGTTTTATGACCCAGACCCGGATCTCTAGTTCGGGATCCTGATTCTCTTCTGGACTCGGACATGGTAATTTCTGGATGCTTGTAGAACATATTTTCTACTTCATATCAAGTCTTCTTCTCCTACTCAATGGAGAGGGTTGAAACAATCGGATTAGAGTAGGCTGTCGTGTCACCGGTTCCTCTCTCTCATTTTCCGACTAAGATAAACTCTTAGTAGTTCAAGCATATCAAATGACGCGTTTACGTGCATTCGTAAAGAGTACCTAGAAATAATTTTCATTCTTACAATCATTTAAACTCTATTATTCATTTCTCATACTCCATTGACATTCATCTATCTGTGTGAGTTAATTATCTCATCTGTCGAGCTCCAGCGTCTCTAAGACCAATTCTAATCTAACGCTCCCGCATCTTTAAGGCCAACGCTAATCTACTTTCCTTTTCAGGTTCCTCAAGAAACAACCTTCCTTGGTGTGGGCAACCGGGAAGTGACATCCGCCCTCATACACCTACCAGCACACGAAACCAAGTCGGTCGCAATCAAATCCTTCCTACACCCGTTAACATCCCATATCTCCACGACTAACTCTTCTCACATTCCTTTATCACCTCGCACCGCTAATTCAAACGACTCGAACCCCCCAAACGTTATTCCTGGTCTCCTGAAACCCCGTTCTAGACTACATTTTAGAGCTTTTATTGTACAGACATTGTATCAAACAGGACAACAGGCTTCCCAAGCTAGGAATTTAGAATCTCAGGCCATCGATGTATTCTTCGTCTCCGAAACGCGCATACAGGATCAGAGCAAGGTCATTATTTTATTTTACCATGTCCAGATAGATAAACCACTCGTTTTACTCTTCACGTATCTGTAAGTCTTGATACTACTTCCCGGGATCTCGCTGGTGTACGTATATCACTGAGTTCTAGGGCAGAACTAGCGCTCCTAGACTGGATTCCAGTAGACAGTTGCTCTTCCGCTGTCCAACCAAACGGGGCAGTAAGGGCTTCGAAAGATGGGGACTCTCTTCGTCATATCTGCCTATACTCCCACTGACTGCAGTTCAGACGAGGTAAAAGATGAATTGTACACAAAGCTTTTAGACCTCCTCCAGAAAATTAGGCGCTCTGATATAGTGATGGTGGTTAGTGACCTTAATGTCCAAGTAGGCAGACTGAGCGATACTGAAAGACATCTGGTGAATCATATGGTGTTGCGACTCATAGAACAGCTAATGGCGACCGTCTGCTGTAGCAATGCTCAGATAAGTGCCTAGCAAATACTAACTTTAGGCATATGGATAAACAACTTTAAACATGGTAACCCACAAAAAAGTCCCAACGATGAATCCAACTATATCACATCGCTATCAGCCACCGGTGCACACCACCAAAAAATCCTTTTAGGGTTCTGCCTAACGATAGCATGGCTAGAAATTCATTTCAGGAACAACTAAAGAAACAGTTAGGCGTCCGTCCATGTAAGCGACTCTCGTTCCAAAGCAGCTTGGAATGATATCCGAAAAGCTGTGTAAGCAGCAGTGATATCTGCTAATAAGGTAAACCATAAGGCTAGGAAGAAGCCGTGGATCTCAGTACCATCTACCAAACTGATAGACGCTCGGAAACTCATCCTACCTGACTCTGAACATGACGACGAGCGAAGTCAGCTTAAGCACAGAATGATAAAAAGCCCACACAGTGATCGCGAACAGTGGTGGGTGGCGAAAGCGAGAGAGATGGAAAAGGCGGCGGCGATAGGCAACAGTAGACAACTTCTCCGCATTATCAAAGAAAACCGGTATTAGAAATCCATCTGCTAGCGAAATTATCTAAGAAAAGGATGAGCTTATGATTTATTCTCAATCTAGAAGATTGGGTCGATGGACAGAACACTTCTGTGATCAGTTCAACTGGCCTTCGTCCACACTTCGGTTGCCAACGACCTCCAGTCATCCTGAATGGCAAATCGATATAAGTTCTCCGAGTCTTTATGAAGTCGAAAACGCTATAGGACATCTAAAGTGAGGGAGAGCAGCAGGGCCGCATAGGCTTACGCCTGATATTTTTAAGGATAGTGGGCCAGTTAGATTGACCGAGGTCTTAGATAGAATCTGGGAACTGGGCGTAATTCCATCCAACTGGTCTCAATCCCTGATTGTCCCAGTCTACAAGAAAGGACAAAAGTCCTCTTGTGACAATCACAGATGAATCATTTTAACTAATATAGTTTCTAAATTGTTAGCCTCGATTATACTAAGATGCCTAACTAGAGCTCGTGAAGGGCAGACTAGAGAAAACCAGGCTAGTTTCAGACCTGGACGTAGCTGTTAGACAGCATTTTCACACTACTACTGGTCCTGGAACACAGACACACATTTAGATGTCCGACAATAGTTATCTTAGTGGACATTAGGGTGGCATTTGGCTCTGTGGATTGTGAGGTTCTGTGGCAGTGTCTGTCATCAAAAAGGGTACCAAACATGTACATTAAACTTATGCAAGCTGTCTACTCGAAAACCACTGATCGAGTGAGAGCCTATGGCGAACGGTCATCGGGATACTTTACTACAAGTGGTTTGTGTCAGGGCTGTCCACTCTCTCCACTCCTATATAACTTTGTCGTAGACATGCTTTTATAGTCAGTTTTATCTTCGTCTGACTTTTCATTTGTGCACGTTCTACCAGGAGACACGCTTGTTGACCTAGAACATGCCGATGACATTGTTCTGTTTGGTGAAGACGCTGACAAAATGCAGAGTCTCCTCACCATCCTAAGCAACAATGCAAGTATGTTTGGTATGCGGTTTTCCCCCTCGAAATGCAAAATGTTGCTTCGAGATTGGGTTTCATCGGTACCTGAACTAACGATAGGGAGTGAAGTAGTCGAACGTGCTGATGGCTAGGTGACTGACGAAATCTCAGCACGAATACGGAAAACTCGATTGGCTTTTGCCAACTTGAATCACTTTTGACACAGACAAGACATCCATTTGCTGACTAAAGGACGAGTGTACTGCGCAACAGTCCTACTATACGGATGCGAAACGTGGTCGGTGAGAGTAGAGAACATTCGTAGGTTACTAGCATTCGATCATAGGTGTCTCCGAAGCATTGTTCGTATATCCTGGGACAACCAAGTAAGCAATGCTACAGTTAGGAAACGAGTACTAGGTAGGGACGGCAAATCGATTGATGAAGTGTTGAAACTTTATCAGTTGAGGTGGTTGGGACATGTGTTACGTATGCCTAACCACTGACTGCCTCGTCCAGCCATGTTTCGAGGTGTAGGAGTAGGTTGGAAGTAGTCTAGGGGTGGTCAAACCACAACATGGCAGAAATCCATGAAGTCACTGACAAGTGGACTGAGTCATGTTGGTAGATGTAGGCTACCTGGTTAGGGTCGGCGAGACGAAAGTCACCGATGGTTAGAGACATTGAACGACCTGGCTCAGAATCGTTTGCAATGGCGCAGGTGCATTCATTGACTGCGTTCTCTCATGTTCTAATCTTCAGAATTCCTCATCATCTACATCTTCCTCTTTCTGAATTTATCTCACTGAATTATATTTCTTGAGTAATATCTTCGATCCCTAATCTTCTCCATGACCATTAATTCTTCTACTATCTCCATCACTATGGGTTTTGAACTGCCAGTGGCGTTTCTGTGCTAATGCAGTATGACAACTTGAACTTATGTACTGATGTACGAAATTCTACGTTGTAATTGACTGGTTGACTGACGATAAAACATTACTCTTAAGATCTATTATATTGTCTGTTACTTGATCATAAACAACACGTTGTGAAATATTGATAAGACAGGGACAGATAAAAATTAACTGGTATTTCGACTGGTTTCATGAATATCATACCATAATTTTCTTCCAAGTCGATTTGAATGATATGATGATCATGGTTTCTCAATCACAAATGCTCACCTGTAGCAATGATAAGATTTAATCTGCAATCTTATTCAACAGCACACAGTAATCTGCTAAGAATTTAGGTATATTTCAGAGACAGCATGTTAGGCTTGAGTATGAAGGAAATGAATTCGTTTTCTGAAAAACTCACTAGCTTAGAACGTTCACACCAATCATTTTAATGTGTCATGAAATTATCAATATCATTCATTATTCATTCAAAGTATCCCTATCAGGTGTTAAAAATTGAGAACAGGTCTTTAAATAGACGGCAGTTTCTTTAAATAATCTAATGAGTGGATTCTGCAGAAGATTGCTATATAATACTAATTGGCTGATAAATCAGTTAGTATTTGAAATGATTTCATCCGTAAGCATGGTGAACGAAAATATTCAGTGTACCCTTTATTCGGCTTTCAGAGAACCAACTAAATCAGCCAAATTAGCATAATCCAACCATAAATACATATTTTACCATAAATAACAATGGAGGTCAAGATAGTACAAAAAAAACTAGTTAGTAATCTTAAATTTGGATAGCTTAATCAAGAACGAATGGACCTCGATAATTTTTCAACTCCTCGATGTTCTTCAATTTTTGAGTAAAAAGGTTGCTAACCTAATAAAATCTGACATCATGAAATAGATTTTTGAATTTCTGTAGAATCACGAGTATTACACCAAATATCACTCCTACATTTACCACTCCCAAGGTGGTAATCAAACATAAAGGTGTATGTCGAACTTATGGCGAACTCATGACCTAAGAAATGTTTTAAGATTCATTCTTATTCATGAACCGGAATACCGTTTCTCGAGAAATTCATCAAATTTAAGCAGCTATTTTAGCTGTTTCAGGTTTCATTATAGTTAATAATAATAATAATGATAATAATCCGTGCTTTGCAGTTGGTACAACTATAAACGCTTATTATTTACTAGACTCACCTCTGTTTTACATCAACGTATACTTGATTTTCATTATCAAAACTCCTTGAGAGCACTAAGATTTGCAAGAGTACTAAGATAATGGACAAACACATGACAAGAAAATATTCTTGAGTTGTTTCTCTAAATAAATCTATCTTTTGAATGTGAATTTGTTTTTACGATACAGAAATGTACATAAGGAAAAATCCTATCACGTTATTAGCGACTGTAATTTTCTCATTTCAATGTAACTGAGAAATTGACTAGCTTTCTAAATATTGATCGTTTTGCTAATGCCTACCCAAACTAGTATGCCTTTTAATCTAACCTAATGTTTTGATTGGTTAGCCAATAAACATAACTACCAATCGGGGAGAAAATCATGTGATTTTAGATTGAGAATTTTGTCCCCATTACCATATGTATTGATTTAGTCTACTTAAATCGAGAAATGTTACTGGTTCGGTGATTAACAAAACTGATTCAAGTGGAAGGAACACAATGAAAGTGAAACGGTGTTGCGTAATATGGTCAAGTTTATTAAAAGGCTTCAAATACTTCTGTACGAAATAAATTTCAGACATCTGCAATCTGGTGATGAATCAGTGCACGCATACATGCCAGATTTTATTGCTGCCTAACAAAATTGACTTTTTCAAGTCTTACAGTTTGCATTAAACTATTATTTGCACACTGTTGTAATCACACCCCAGTAGATAACGATAATGAAACTAGAAAAAATATTTCCCATTATTGAAATATCAGATTCAGAAGTTAGCGTAAAGTCACGATATCATTTGGAGCACACTATCAATCATGGAATACAATGTTCCGGTTAAGAAATTATTGAAAGTCTAGATTATTATTTCGAATAAATTAGAGAAACCCTACATTGACATCTTTCAAGTCTGTCGGTTTGATTATATCCAAAACTCAGTTCCATTCAATAGAAAAGTCGGCAAAGCAACTGAACAGTGGTAACATTAAGGTGAGGTTGCGCAAAATCACTAGATCAATCAGAGTTAGACAGTAACACCGTTGGATGCTGGCCCAGTGGTCCAATGGTTAGGCGTTCGCGCACAATACCGAAGGTCCCGGGTTCGAGTCCCGCGAGGTTCAGGATTCGCGGATTCTTACTGTTGATGAATCCCACACAAGAACGAAACGGCTGTCTAGTCCTTCCAGGTTTCTATTGGCGGTCTACCGATGATTGATTAGTATTTTTATACATTTGAAATCATCAATCTCCATAACTGTAATTGAAAGTATTTTAAAAAAGTTCTTCAAGCAGATCATTACTACTACTATTAGGTATTTAATGTACAATCAGACAGTTATCATTCACTTTTGTATCCAAAGTAAATACATAAATGATGGTGAATGAAATGCTAAGAACAGTCATCATTTACTGTCTTCCATAAGTATGAACTGTAAATAATATGTTTCTCTTGTTTTTGATAAACATTACAGAGGTTAGATTAACATGCCTAAATTTTTATTGGTTGTTAATTAATTAATAAACTGATTACTTAAATATGACAGTGATTTACTGCAAAATGGCAATAGTCTAATTGGCAATTCCTTTCACTGTATATCTAGATCGATTTGATGAAAAGAAGATCACATTTGAAATGTTAATTTGTGTTAGTAAAAATTTGTAATGAAAAAAATATTGATTATCTGAATACTAATTAACTAACTTCCTTTTAAATGTTAATCATAAAAAATAACAATTCAAACTTGTTAAGCGTATTCGAAGTGATGCCTATGCGTAAAAATTTTCAGCTGAAAAACTATCAGGAAGGATTGATTTTTATTTTATTTTTTTTTTTTGATACATATATTATTAATAACGATTACAATAAACTGTACGGAACGTCTGAGTTCCATCAGATATACTAATACAGTGGTCTCTGAATCTTTTGCCATTAAGCCAAATCCTTTAACTCTTATCATGATTGTGATAATGTTTATTGAACATTTTTAAATGACATTTTAGACTCTCTCTGATTTCCATCCCATGGAATCGATTTTTTTTTCTTATAGTTTGCCTTCCTTTTATCCAATTGATGGTAATGAAACCACACTAGTACTATTCAGTGTATACTATTCAATTTAAAGTCAATTAAGTAATTTTTGTAATAATAATCAGTTTGTGCTAGTTTATGTTGAAATGTTGAAATGGAATTTCTTTGTTCCATACTTCCCTGGACACACATGTTATGACATACCTGAATAAATTGGAATGAGCCAACTGTTCGCATTTATTATTTGTCACTACAATTTATGTGACTTGATGCGAAATCTAGTCTTGATCTGGTGAACATTATAATTCATCAGAAAATTTAACCGAAAATCCTATGTGATTTTGTCAAATTAAAGCATAAAAATTATACTATATTAAATGTTGCTTGTATTCTTCTATTCTTAAAATTTTATTTCTACTTTAGTTTGAAAGGAAATGATTAGAGATACTAGAAAATATCAAATACAAAGATACTTTGTAAAATTTTGACTGACTGGACTAAAACATTTCAATCAACTTTCGTTTAACTTTAGGATATAAAACACATTTAGTTGACTGATCACTTCATAAATAATTGTACAATTTTAAATTCTTTTTTAAAACTATTAAGTAGAACAGTGTCATGGACTTATAGTCGATATATAAGTTATTTTTAGTACATGAAAATACTCACAAAATTCAGACTCTTTTAAAGACGTTTAATAACAATTCAAGCTGATTTTATAATTTGTTTGTTTCATTCAAATTGTATGGATCATTCTACATGAAAAGAATTTCTGGTTGCTGATTTTCTTACTGAAAATGAATTGATGAAATGCATTTCCATTTCAAAGTTTATCAGAAATTTTTAGTGATTGACCAACAAATATCAATATGAAAACAAATAGCTCATTCAATCAAATTATTTATCTTTCTTCATATGTATCAGTTTTATATTTCTTTTTAGCAAATTGAACATTGATTGATAAAATTAAAAGTTACGTAAACATTGCAAACATTTGATCGAATAGATCTTTAGAAAATTATTTGCCAGTAGAACCTTCGAGGCTACTGCCAGTCTCAAGCCCGGATAAAGGAGAAGGGTTGGGCATGGGGTTGGCGAACCCATCGCACCGAAAAACTAACTTACCAAAAAAATCGCTAACCAGAAAAAATAAATCAAACCATTTGATGCAGTAAGTAAACATTTATGTAACATTTGAATGAAAAAAAACAACCTAATATTAACAGATAATGGATTTAAATTTTTTAATAAGGTTTGTAACAACGTTTCGAAAATAAAAAAAAATCATAAAACTGAAATTGAGTTTCAAGATCATTTTGAAACCTAAAAGTTTAAGATACGCAGAACATTTCATGTTTCACAGTTGTAATGAAAAATACAGCTTAATGTAAAGTCAATCTGCACTTGCATTCTAATTCATAACATAATATCACTCAAATATTTTATCATCATCACTTAGCCTTTCTTCCATTGTTATACTAGTTGACGAACACAAAAAGTAAGATTACATACTGAACCTTACATAATCTTGGGTAGTGGATATGCTATAGTCTATCGAATATTAGATTAACTATTAATAACAGAATATCGTCTAGAACCAAAGTACAGTATGACAGATATCAATTTTTAACATTAAGCACACTCAAAATCTCACTTTCACAGCTTCAAGTCTCGATAAACAGGTTGTCTTTATCTCGTTTTTATTACAACTGATTGTTTTCTATTCTTTTCACTATTATATGTAAATGTATTCCATGTGCTTTCTAAATGGTAAGTTCACCAGTTCACTTGCTCTTTTCGAAGCCACCTCCTCTCATACACACACTCCATTTCATCCTTTCCCCGTCAAAATATATCCAATTCTCTGGAATAGCTGTTTGATTCACTTGAATAATGCACCCCTGGTCTATTTAAGTTAGAAACTTGTCTTGGTTATTCGGAGATATTTATATATAGTGTAAATAACCAATGTAAATGGAGTATTACAAAATTCAAACTTACATTTAAGGTTATGAGACAACAGCAAGTCAATCGTTAAACAGCTCAACGTAAAATAAAGTGTTCAAAATGGCTGTCTGATTGAAATATGTTTCAAACAATAAGAATATAACCAGTTTGTCGATAAGTAATTCAACCACAATCGCTGTCAAGATAAATAATCCCGGGGTATTTGAGGATTCTTCAATTTCTCTTTCTAACTTGCATATCTGTCTTATATCCGTTTGAACCAAGCATTTCACTGTTCACAAAGAGACACCTTATATAACAACAAACCATCAAATCCTTTTTCTCTAATTACTTTTTTTTATTTTAATTCTAAGTGCTGGCAAGTCCATAAACCTAATTACTTTCTCTACGATTTTGAAGTCACTAGTGACTGTCATGGACAACCTCTGCGTGCCGCAAATTGATTAAACGGACATAAAAATGATTCTGTATCTGGAGTATCAGATACTTTGTTATGCACTGTTCTGGAGTTTAAACAGACGAATTAGCATCCGTATCTTTTGTCAACCGACCGTCCTCATTTCACATACATCGGTTCGAAATAGTGTACTCTTGTCACAGCTAATGGACCACAATTAGATGTAAGCAGGTCTTTTGGTAAAGACCACATGGACTGTTGGCGCTATCGCAAACATCATTTTTTAAAGGTGTTGCAATTTCTGAGAACCGGGTTGATTACTTTATTAGATAAAATGATCCATTAATGCCCCCTTATTATCTAAAGCATATAATTTTTACCCCAAGTGTCCATTAGATTTATGGTAGTACCAAGTAGTGCTGGCATTATAATCGAGTGTCTGACTCGAAACTGCGAGCTGGCACTTTGTAAACGTCCATTGACTTTTATTATTCTGTGCACCAATGTGGATTGCAAATAGCGTGAAAGAGTGGCAGACTTACACAGCATATTTTTACCTGTGCATTAGTTCATTCCCTTCTCATAATTTGTACTTGAATTAGCTGAAATTAGCGTAGTCTCCTTATCAACATACTCTTTTTGTACTGGTCAAATGATATCAAGTTCTGCTGCACTCAAATTCATGACTGTCAGCTGATGTTTTTTGATTGATTTATCC